AATCTTAAAATAGTTTTTAATTTTTCTTTTCAAATATTAATTCCAATCAAATGTTATAAAGTCTTATCGAAAGTTAATGTTTATTTAATTTATTTTGAATTTCAATAATATTTGACTGAAATTCTTTATCTTAATATCAAAAACTCTTTATTTAACAAAATTGTTATTAAAATCTTAAAATGCTTTATAACCTTCAACTATCTACAATAATTGTAAATCAAGGTTATAAAGTTTTATCGAAAAAATATATTAATTTAATTTATAATAGATTTAAATTCAATTTATTTGAAAATCGTTTTATAAATAAAACAAATTATTCAAAATTTGATTAATTAATAAAATATCAAAATACTTTATAACTTCTCTTTTAATATAATAGTCCGAACTAAAAGTTATAAAATTTTATTGAAATATATTAATAATTCGATTTATAATAAATTGAGATAGAATTTTGTTTAAAATAATAATATAAATCAAAGAAATCTTTAAAAAATTTAGTTATTACTAAAATATTAGAATACTTCATAACTTCTTTTTCAATATAATAATTTAAACTAAAAGTTGTAAAATTTTATTTGAAATTATTATCAAGTTCATTTAAAATAAATTTTAAAAAAGATATATAAAAAGTGAGTATCTTTTTAAAAGAAATCTTTAATTATTTGAATTATTATTAAAGTGTTGAAAAACTTTATAACTTTTACTTTAAAATTTAAATCGTAATTAAACGTTATAAAGTATTTATCATTTTTTATATTAATCTATTTTATAATATAAATAATTTTCTTTTATAATATGGAAATAATAATCCTAACAAAAACTATCTTCTAAATAATGAATTTTAATTCAAATCTACATTCTTTATACTAAGAACTTTATAACCTATATTTTCTAGTAGACAATTTAAGTAATGTCAGGGAGCGATCACCTGATAGGGTATATATAGTAGATCTACTGTTCCGAACGTATTCGGAACACTCCACGCTTTTGTGGGTTAGTGGTAAAGTGGATCAACCCTAACAAGTAAAGACTATAAAGTTCTATTCAAAATTATTATTAATATTCTTTAAATAATCATTTATTATTTGAATTGATATTTTTTTAATTCAAAACTTTATAACCTTTCATTTATCATATCAAAAGAAAGAAGAAGTTATAAAGTTTTCTTACATTTTGATAATAATTTCATTTATAATATATATACAAACGGTTATTCAAGACGAAGAGTTTATTCATCTTATAAGTATATACTTTAAAGATTATAAGACTCTATGGATGAGGAACTTAAACTCAGAGACTATCAAATTATTATACTATAAATTTTATCTTAGAGTATATTTCGTCGTTAAATCATCGTTAAATGAGTACTAATATAATAGCCCTTTTGTATAAGCTCCCACCATTAGGAATCATTCTACGAAAACAAATTTTAACAACAAGAAAAATACTTACTAGCGATGGGGTAAGTTCAAAAAGCATGTAGAAGTTTTTTCAAATGAATAGGGTTCAGTGTCGTCGAGAAATAAAAAGATGGGTGCTAACACTTATCAAGTGCGACATCATTATTCGACTCTACTCATTGGAGAGAGCCACTATTAAAAAGAAAATCAATCACTGAGTATATCATAACCATATAGAACTATATTCTATCAGGAGAAGTGCTATACGTAGCATTGCCGTCGTGGAATAAAAGGAGGGGTGCTTGTTTGTCCATTACTATGAACTTTATTCGACAAACTTTGAGCTAGGAAAGGTTTAAATCTCACATTTAAACCTTTGTGGATCATGTGAGAGACTTCAAAGATCAGGTACACGTATTTTCAAAGGGAAAGCTGTTCTTTCCGTTGAGATATTAACGAGTGACTGTTCGGCTTCTATATGTGGTTTCACCTGCATCAAAGTTACAATTCAAAACCATTGATATTCAACAAAATTGATTACCTTCCGAGAATCACAATACTTGGAAGAATAATCCGGTGTACTCAGATCCCTCAAAACACTTGTCATTGTGAAGAAATAATCAAGTCGGTGCTTGCCAATAATGACCCAATTTGTCTTGGTACCCAATATTCATCAATAACAATGAGTATATCAATCACAAATCCATCGAGAAGATTCAGAAAACTCGAGAAATGTCGCAGTATGTTAGTATTTCTTCCAAATCATCGTTGTCATCGAGGAACAATTGTGTGTGTCCTCGACCATGCAGCGAGAATCGATCATTGCGGGGGTCGAAATTTCGGATCGCAATCACAACACATAAATAATACTCTGCGGAGGGTACTGAAGTTTATTGGATTGTTACGTATATAGATTCATCAATTCAATCTTCGTCGTCATCGAGAATTAGGCAAGTGAGTGCTCGACCATAGAGCAGAATTCAATCAACCCTAAAAACGAAATTTGGAAAATTGACCAAAACACATGATTAACGCTTCACCGAGGGTACCAGAGCTATTTGAACTGTTAGTGACATACTTTTATAGCTTCGTTATTCATAATCATCAAGAAACAGGCAAGTGGGTGCTCGAATCTTACTTCGAGACTGAATTTGCCCGAAATCATTTTTCTTCAAATGGAGTTGAGCAATGAAAACAACATACACTGAGGGCTCTTGAGCTTCAATGACGAGAAGTAGCCATTTCTTATTGTTATATCAGAACTTATCGTGGAGAAATGATCAAGTTCGAAACGTGTCTCGCTGACTGAGGATGATTATCCACCAAATTTGAGGTCCTCCAAACTGGCTCGATCACGTCACAACGGTGCTTCTGAAGATCTCTCAATCCCACGAATCACAACCGTGTAGTCTTCGATTGCATAACTATGATCTTCGTCATGTAATTAACGAAAACGTAATGACTAAGTTCAGTCAGACATCAACACACAGTACATTTCTGATTTTTGAAAATAAATCAAGTTGTAATATCAAAATATCTCAGAGTGTACTAGATTCTTGTAGACCATAAAAAGCCAAGTTTTATCCTCGTAAATCAAGCCGTTATCTTGAAATCGTTAAGTGGGTGCCCCATCTCCTCACTCGTAGCGAGAAGTTTCTCATTTGGGATTTTTGAAAAGCTATCGAGAGGCTAGCAGCAACCCATGCGAGAGGTTTGGAGTAGCCCAGAACTAGAATGAACCAATTATTTTTATTCTCTAACAACCCACTGTCGCGCAACCGTTAAGTGGGGGCTACTCGTCTTTATTTGACTAGAAAACTTTCAAAGTGAGATTTTCAAATGTGCTTTAACAGCAAAAAGAGTTGTATGTGAGAGGTACCACTTACTTGAGAAGTAGAACGACCATCTTTTTATTACTTTCCAATCATCCACCGTCGCTTAATTGTGAAGTGGGTGCTTTGCATTCTTACAAACTGAAAAATTTCAAATTGAGAATTTTGAAAGGCCTTCGTTAGGTAAGTAGATATATCCGTGAAGGTTTATTTATATCTCAGAAGTAGAAATAGCTATTCATTATCACTTTGCAACCATCCACCGTCGTGTAATCGACAAGTGGGTGCCTGACATCAAAATTGACATGATCTCAGTCGGAATTTGAATTTCACATACTATATCAGAATGAGGCTTCGAAGTTCCCCTGACAGTAATTTGTTACTCAGGTCTTCTACGGAATCATTAGAGTAGTCATATCTATCATCGTCGTCCTACGATCATCAAGTTCGGAAGCTACGCAGCTTTGATGATAAGTGTTCTTCGAGAAACATATTTCTCAATTGCCAAGTGATCAGACTAAGACTTACCACGGACGGTACCTAAGTATAGAGAACATCTATGACCTATATTTCATCTTTTAACTCCTACGCGTCATTGACAAACGTTGAAGTTCGACATCGTGTTGAAGCCGGAGATGAAAAGTCAAACTTTGAAATTCGGAAGATGAAGTAAAGAAGGAGCTTATAAGCACTATTAAGACATTATGTGAAGCTAAGGGACCATCTGAAAGTTATTTTTAAAGGTTATAGCCAAGCTTACCACGAAATCTGATTTTCGCGAAAACCCAAAATTCCATTTCTTCAAATACCAAACTTCGCAACGGAGACAATTAATATAGAAAAAAGTATACTCTGAGGGTCCCTCATCTACTAGATTGTCTTTACATCAGCTTTGACAATGTTGACTATTGACGTCGTCGAGAAACTTTGAAGTTCGGTATCTTTGGTTTCTCTTACCCAAATCCCTTACAAGCTTTCGAAATCTAGAAATGGACCATAATAATAGAAAACTACATCTCTTAAGAATCATGAGAGCTCTGGAACTCAAGTAGAGTTTTTGTTTTTCCAATAATAGTCATCCTCATAACAAACGTATTCTTATCCCCCCAAGGAAGAAAATGGTAACTTAACGATAACTTAATGACGACGTTAGGTATCACTAATGTAATGATATCATAAAGATATAGAAGATTAATGTTCAATATTTCATACTCTAGGATCTATCAAAAAACATGTTAAACTTTCATTTTTGAGCAGAGGGCGCGGGGGCGGTTTCAGGACATCAATGTTAGCTTTACGGATTCTCCACCCCGCGATAGATATAAGGAGCAATCTTCAATCTTTATATCTTCTTAGTCTTAATTGAATCTATCTAGGGTGTTTTATAGTTTAAATTTCATTCTCGTCGCGTACCGTCGGGGGAAGCATGAGGGAAGAGTGTATAATGGACAATGACTTTACCTAGCCACGGTGAGAAATTCTTTCATTGCTACTTAAGGTACATAGTTTAGTATCAAAGTAGCTTTTAAGATACATGGAAAGTTTCACCAAGTACCAGGCATGATCATATTTAAAATCCAACGTTAATTCAATAACTAGTCTCTAAATAAGTAAAGCCGCTCTTAATTGAGCCGCCCCACGCATCATATTTATGCCTTGATATCATGTAACTTCCCTTTATGCATTCATTTTATGGCTTATCCGAACTTCATCCATTTAAAATTTAGAAATCAAAGATCACCCTCCTTTCCATATTCTCCAAATTTCCCTAACCAGAAATATCATCTTCACCTAAAAGATTAGCTAAAATGCCTCCTTCCATAATTCTCCTATTGGCTTCCTTTTGAATGTCGCCTGTCTTTTTTAACTCCCCGTGGAATACCTCAGCGTCCCTGCAATTTTCATCCTCAATTTCCTCCGCAGTCTGATTAGTTCTCGAAATGGTTCCATCACTGTCCATATCGTAAAAGTCATTAAACTCATCGTATTTGAACAATTGATGAGCGGTACTCTCATCCATGGTAGTATCGATGGATGCAACCGTACTGTCCTTGTACAATGGAACAATAGCTTCTTCCCAAGAAAGGCCCTTGGTTCTTGGAGCAGTAAGCTTCTTGTGAGCTGTCCAATAAGACTTAAGTGTTACAAGTGCTCTAAACCAATTCTCTCTCGAATGGAGTTCATTTGGCGACGTTGGATTGTCCTCTGGGAAATGATCGGGGTAAGTTTTGATGATCAAATGCATGGCATGAAGATAACATAGATACCCTGGATTTTCATCCATGTTACCCACTCCAAGCATTTGATGGGTAATAGGAAATGTGTTGCCGGTGACAAATCCAATCAATCTTGGGTCAAGATCTTCGATTTCTTTAAAGATCGTTTTGGTGGTGAAGTCCTTCTCCGCTGGGTTGCTAGCGTTCTTGACGGGGCATCCGAAGGCGGTCTGCTTTGCCGTATACCATGGAGTTAAAATTCTCGGAAGGTTTTGGGGCTCCTCGAGCCATTTTGTAAAAACAACGTTATCCTGGAAGCCAAGATAACCAGCAACGTGCGCAGCATTTTCATGCAGGAGGCCAACGACAAGCACACCCTTGGGATTAGTGCTTGCCTTCTTGATAAGAGCTTCTAACTCCGCCGCGGTAAGGTTTTGTTTTTTGGTTGGAACACAGTAATTGAGGTTGTTCTTGATGCGAACTTCGTAGCATCCTGGAGGACCAATCACTTTAGAAAGATCGGGCCAGTCAAAATAGGTCTGTTCGACCGCATGCCAAATATCGACAGAAGAGTTGCTCCAGCTCATCTTGAAATGATTGGCTCCGATGTCCTAAATTTAATCTCAATTAGCTTCTCTGTTCTCTTACGTGGATTGTGGATATTTGAAAGGGGTACTTTGGAGCAGTTGGGAATTGAAGATTTTCAATGCAGCTTTTGGTGCCGTGACGGAGTTGGAAACCTCCATTCTATCAGAATTGGAGATACCAAATCACCGCTACTATTCCATAAACATCGGAGATCCTCAATTGAGTCTTTGCTACCGTGAGAGGGCTGGAAACTTCCAAAATCACCGGTATCAATCCATCAAAGTGGAGATCCTCAATCCATTCTTTGCTACCGTGAGAGGGCTGGAAACTTCCAAACTTGCCTTTGATGACTTGATGAGGTTAAAAACAAGAGCAATTTGCCCGAAAAATGATTCAGAATATCCCAGAAACTGCTACGAAACAGATCCTCAGAAAATCCGCCATATTTCAATACAAAATTGCCCACAAGATTGCGAAAACTTCGATTGAAATTTCTCCCAATCCATCAAAAACAAGGCTTCTTGAAGATTCAAATCCCAAAATCGGGCGCAAAATGGAATAGAAATGAAAGGAAATATGGAGGATGCTGCAAAGTTGCAGTCAAGCGTGGATAAAGGGATTTCAAATGTGATTTGGTAGGGTAAAGGATAAATTTTCAGTTTCGAAAGCGCTGGTTTGAAGATATTGAACTTACTTTGATTTTGAGATCGCAGAACTAGGCAATAAAATCTTGGTGGAGCTCTACTGCGAATGGAATAAGAGAAAGAGTAACAAAGCTTGAAGTTCTTGGTCGTCACCCTGAAGTTTGGGTGGTGTTGTTGTTGTTGTAAAGGTTTAGAAAGTTTAGGAAAAAGTTGGGAGAAAGACGAAGAGATATACTCGTCGTCTCTGCGGGGTAAAGAAAACCTTTCTTCAGAAGATGAGAAGATGATGTGAATGGAAAGTGAATATTTCCCAATTAGAAAATTTTTCTTCAGAAGATGATGTGAATGGAGAGTGAATATTTCCCAATTAGGAAGCAACGATGCTGTCGAGACGCGTGACCTGACCTCGCTAAGCTTTGCCGCCCACTAGTGTATTTTCCATATCCAAATCTTTCTCAACTTTCTGATTTCTTTTCTTCTTCTCCATTACAACTTATTCTCCTATTTTCTTACTCCCGTAGATCAGCAAAGGACCAACTGACTCCGGTCAGCAAACGCCCCTTCCAGTCATCATACAATCTTTGCTCCTCGCTTTTTCTGCTACTTTTAACTTCCTCGATTCTACCCGCCTTGCGGCTCCAAAGAGAAGTCTGGATCAGCAATATCTCCCGATCTTATTATCCATAATTTTCAGCCTCGGTGCGTCAACAGAGCAGCTTCGGAACACCCTTTTGTCATCTATTTTACTGACATTGGGAAATTCAAAGAGGTGTCTCTACAGATATATCCTGAAGATCGCATAGAGCTCCACATAGAGTTCTTTTTCCATTAGAGATCGATCTCTTTCACTTCCCACGTACGTCAGAAAGGCTTCCAATCACCCCCTGTTGCTCATTTTCGCATCTTTGATTCTACCTCACTTCCTCATCATGTCATTCGTTAACTCTTTGAACTATCTCTAGGAAGCCCAGCGCTCATTCCCAGCCTTATTTGTCCACTCACATCAGTTACTTTCCTGGATTATTGAATCTATCGTTAGGTCAAGTAAGTCATTAGATATTCATTTCTAACTGCCGTGATTCAGCAAATAGAACTTACTGACTCTTTCTTTCCTACAGCATGGCACCCGGAACCGACTCCCTCACATATTTTTTTGCTAAAGGCAACAAACTTGAAGAAGTAAACTCTATTCTGTTTTCCGGACACAAAGCTGGCAATGCGTATTCGCATTTTTCAAACTTCTACATGGAAAGCTTCGAAGACGGCAGTGGGATTACATACAGTTGCGGAGAAGCGTGGGTACAATCATCATTCTTTTAGGATCATACTGACATCCAAATTAGATACTTTCAGGCTGGCAAAGCTTGGCAGGTCCGGGACATAGACAAATTTGCCCAGATCGCCCATGCTAAGTCTGGTTACGACGCCAAGAGATTAGGAAACGAGGTGAAAGGACTGGATGTCGCTCGTTGGAACAAAAGTTCGTCGTATGTGATGAGAAATGCGTTATATCACAAGTATCGCAACAACCAAGCAAAGAGAGAGGACCTCATCAATACGGGTAACAAATGTTTGGTAGAGGCCAAGGATGACCTGGTTTGGGGTAGTGGATTGAAAACCGCCGCGCTTACATTGAGTACACCAATATCTCAGTGGCCTGGCGACAACAAATTGGGTGAAGAGTTGATGAGGGGTCGAGAATACTTTAAATCACTGCAGGAACAACCAAGAACTCTCGATTCTGTTGATAAGGCAGATGAATTTGCGCGGGAGACAAGTCAGGAAGATCATACCATGACGGAGGAAACGATAATACTTCCAAAGAATGAACACCCCAAGCGATGCGAGAAAGGAATTGTCGATCCATTCGAGGAGATCGAAGTCTCAAATGAATCAAATGAGAAAAAGAGAAAGTTCGACCAAACTTTAGATATCCTTGTAGAGAAAAACAAGGCTTTGTTGAAGAGAATGAGAGCAGGTAAAGGCTCTGAGGATTGAGATGGGAGAGGTTATTGAACTTGCAATCTATTGATATGGTTACTTAATGATTTTCGATGGTTTATTTCATTTTCGTCGATATCCAAGAACTTGCGGTGGTTGATTGCGTTCTAAAAATGGTGGATCACATAGGTCCTGAGGGTTTCAACATCTATGGTTTAGATTTCGAACTCTTTGGTTTTCTTATCAGATAATGTTGGGAAAACTCCACGCTTTGTGGCTTTCCATTTCACGCAGATGTTTCCTTGAATTATAGAGCTCCCTTTAATTAGCAATGCATTCCGATCAAATGATGAAGCTTTCCAGCACTGATTGTTTACCATGCAGGTGAAACGTGATGATCTTTCCTGGCTATGGTGACTTACCAGTATAATTCCGTGCTTTTCTTTAATGATGGGGGAATATAAAACTCAATGCATCTTGGTAATAGACTAGCAGCCATCAGATCTTTTTATGATTCTACCTAAGTAGCTAGGTAGATAGTCTTGGAGGTTAGCTCTTATAATAAGAAGGAATAATAGTATTATAAGGATAGTGGAAGATCTAGTCAGTTTTAGCTTAAGGGATAAATCGAATATATAGAATAAAAGTTGAATTGAAGTTAATTTAGAAGAGCTAGGCTGAGTTGAGATGAAATTACTTGCTTTTTTCTAGAATTCCTTTAAAGAATATTCTAGGTTTATATAGTTTATAATAAAATTTTAGTATATTTTATATTTATAAATAAAATCGATTTAAATTGTATCTTATAGAATCACTTTAGATAATAAAAAGAAAATACAATCAATCAATTTAACGAGATTTTTTATATATTTCTATCTAATTCTATTTTATTTTATTTTATTATAAATTAATTTAATAAGAGATATTATTATATAACTATATAATAATATGATTTTATAATATAAGATTATATTATATATATATTAGTCATCAATATATCCCTTATTTAATAAGATATTAGTAAGTGATTTAGTGGACTTATTATGAATCCTCACAGATAGCTACATCACATAGTGGATGTTGCCCGTGATTTATGATTCTCGGGAAACCGCTAGATTACCCCGCCATCTACACCGCCTTTGACCCCGCTTTTGAAAAAAAAAGGGGAATTGACCTGTAAATCATAAAGCGACCGTCACCGATATTTGAGTGGTGTGTTTAACCGACTATAAAAGGTGGAACTTTCTGAAGAGAAAATGGATTCTCTTTATTTTCCAACTTTCATTCACTACTATCAATAAGTTCTGCACCCGAACAGCGGGAACTTTCTCTCTTTTATCTTCTGGAAAGGTCTAAGTCTCACATTAACCCCGTTCACTTGCTTAGTAGTGGAGGATAAATCATCCTGCATCTGTTTAAACCCATAGATTTGTGAGAATTCATCATAAACTTTTAAAACTAACTAAATTTCTTTGACTTATGCTAACCGCTTACTTTAGGATGGATGCTTCCTATGTTTGTTGAATAACGAAAAATAGTAGAAATCCCTAATACATGAACGACAAATGATCTAACCATCAAACGTCTTGATGTAACTAATCATTCGCATATCCCTAGAAATCATCTTCAGTGTCTACCAATACCTTGGTTTTGCTTTCGCTTTCACCTGCCACTGCAGCCTTTCCACGACCCAGAGAAGTTGTTGAAAGAGTTATTCCGAGTGTTTCAAGACTAGCAGCAAATCTTGACTTTTTGATGTCTTCGATGCAGAATCAGCTACCTTTTGTTTCTTGGATGAATTTGGACCAGCATTCTCTCTAGCCTCTCTCTTTGATGACTTGGAAGGAGTTGATGTCACTGGTGCCTTACGAGGTGGGTCTTGCGCTGGCTTGGGGGCGCTCTTGACTGGAAAATTCTGAGCACGTCGTCTCTGGTTTTCTTTCTGCCTCTCTAGCATTAGGTCTTCTTCTCTCCGGACGAGCTCTTCGAGTTGGAGTCGTCTTTCGCGATGACTCTGAATTTCCAGAGCTAGGTCTGTATAGGCTCTTTCTTCCTCTGCTAACATTTGATTTTCCGAGATTGGTTCTACTATCCTATCCGCCTTGGACTCGCCGGTCTTGTCTTTGTCATTTCCGATGGTCGGATTATGGATAAGAGTCTCGGCCTCAACATCGCCAATATCTTGAGTAAGTGTAAGGTGCTCTCCTTGTGGACCTGGATCGGGAGTTGGTGCAATGGGTTCATCGAGATCCATGGGCTCAGGATTCTCATCTGCTTGTGGGTCTTGCGCTGGACCTGTGCCTGGGTCGACATGTGGTGCCGGTACTGGTGAGGGTTCGCGACTACGCGGAGGTCCATTTAAAATGGCAGCATCCGCCACCGCAGGCGCACTGGGCACTAAATTCGATGTCAGAAATGTATGCTCAAGTTCTTTTTCGGTACACGGACATTAGACTTACCTTTTGCCGTGCTGCTAATGCCTGATGAAGGATTACCACCTTGTAGTAACTCTCTAAATTTTAGGCGGATCTCCATCAACTCGTCACCCAATTTATTCTGTCCAGGCCAATCGCAAATTCTCGTTTTGGCGGTCTGAGTTTTTTTAAGTCCTGAGCCCCAAACCATATCCTCTCTTGCTTCAACAATCAACGCATCCCCAGTGTTAACCAAAGCCTGGATCCATGATTTCTTGTGGCGGAATTTGAAGTGGAGGGCATCTGCCATCACAAGGCTGGAGATCTGATTCCACTTCTCGACATCAATCTTCATTTTGTTTCCTTCTATCTTGGCTTTGAGAGGGGTGTATTTGATCAACTTGCGGAACAAAGCTTTGTCTTTCATCATATAAGCCTTTCCCGCTTGAAGATAGCTGCGAGGTATGCATTAGTCAAAACCCAAAAAGATCAAAGCGAGGATGTTACGAACTTCTCTGACGAGCGGTAAGTGTGTCCACTGTCATCAACAAAAGGCTCATCCCAAAAGTTCGAAAGCCATGGCCACTCCCCACCAGGACTTGCACTGCCAAATAAGAGTGCAGTTTTGGGAACTTTCTCAGCCCCTTTGGCATAAAATATGGTGTGAGAGTCAGGACTTGGAGCCATTTTTATATAACAAGATATCTAGGACTTGGTTATTATGAGACAGAGAAAGTAACAAGTTCTGAATATAGAAAACCAGTGAGTGGGGCGGCGACGAGGCTTCGCGCGGTTGAAAATTCATGAACCCATCGACGCTTCCTAATTAGGAAACCATTCACTTTTCATTCACTTTTCCCCTCAATAGATTTGACTTTTACCCCGCGCGAGCCTGCAACTTTGAATCTACCTTTTTTTTCCCTCTCAACTTCTCCCCATATTTCTTAACTTTTACAACAACAACAGAGACTTGACAATCCCTTCTCTATACCTTTTAAAAGAATCATTCCCCATTTTTATTCAGTCGGCACACGTACAAACTGTACTGCAACGATCTGCAGATTGAAAATCAGAGAAAGCTTTCAGTCTTCAGAATAGTCGTTCAAGATGATTCCATGGCGTCTCTATCAGGAGAATTTTCCGTCATATCCCCCTCCCACCTCATCACCTCGCTCCTCCACCTCCCCCTCTCCTCCTCAAGCCCGCCACTCACGATCCCCATATCCTCATCTTTATCTGAATTTTATTCACGCCAACCACCTCCCGACGAATGGTCCGATGATGATGGGGATGATAATAACAATAAGAAGACACCTCGAAAGTCAAAGAAGCTTGCGGACACGAACTTCGGCTTCTTTGAAGCAACCACTCCACATGCGTACTCCGCGGTCCAAATCCAAAGAGAGATACAAGACGCTACTCGAATAAATCCTCCAGGGGTGATGGTGGTTGGAGTACGATCGGAGACCATGGGTAGCGTTGCAGGGTACCTTCATTTCCAAACAACGGGTGTAGTGATTAAGTGGTTGGAAGACGAGGATAAATTGAGAGGACTTCTTAATGATTGGTTGGAAGGGAAAAAAGACGCGTTCGGATGTTCTACGAAGGATTTCGGCGTGACACAACCTTTTAAGATAATATTGGGACCAACATCCGAGCACAACGCTGGAGCTTGAGGATCTGAGTAGCGGGGATGATGAGGATTGGATCAAACGAGAGATGATGCAGGATACTTCTGTTACCTTCATGCTATTCATAGAATGATCGAAGCATACTCTGATCATTTTCCGAATGATACGCCTTTCAAGCCAATGGAAATTCATTCGAGGGAGAATTGGAACAGAGGCTTGATTACATTACGGGCGTTCTGGCAACAACACAAGGACGGTAAAGTCAGGCAGAGGAATGCCAGATCGACACCGGCAGCTAAGCCGCTCTGGTTGAATGATGAGGCATTGAAGACGAGTAGAGGTATCGACGATACTGCCTAATATTCTTTATATAAACAGAGAGAAGCAGATGAGATCATGGAACTTGATGATCTGAGTGGCGGGGATGATGATGATCCGTACGAAGAGCGACAAGAGCAAAACATTGCAGAGATGGAAGCGCTTCATCGATCATTGAACACCAGTGGAGACATCGCAAAAGAGAACGTCACCAGGTGCAAGGATCCCAAAAAGCAGACCCGGAAGGAAACTCCGCCGGAAGAGATGAAGGAGTGGATAAAGGAACTCAGAGAAAAACATGATAAATATAAAGTTGTCTCGGAGCCAGTCAAGGGTCCATCCACATCAGATCCTGAGGCGAATCATTTGATAACCAATGCCATTAATGTACAAGATACATTGGAATCCCTTGGATAGTTGTCAGTTGCCGAACGAGAGCAATTCGAACGAGATCAATTGGAAAGAAGTAGAAAGGAAGAAGATGGACGAAGAAAGGATTTCTCCGATCTTTGGAACAATTCGAAGAATAATTTAGGTTCTTGGTCGCTCTTGATCAAATCATCGAGGCAAAGGGTGGTGAATATCCCGATGAGCTCGACGAGCAGGTCGGAAAGTTTGCACCGGAGGATTGGAAGAGCACTTTAGGAATTTTTCAATGGCGTAGATGTCCACCATTTGCTGGAAATCCACTATTGAATGGACCTGAAACTGAATGTGCGGATAAATACATGCCTGAGTTGGAGAAGTTGGCACTTGGACTCTCCCCCGAGGAAGTGCTGGCATTGAAGAATGCTCCCGATTCTGATACCGATGATGATGTCATGCCAGCATTGGTGTCTGATAGCGAGGACAATGTCATGCCAGCCTTGGAGGATGAGAATGGCAACATTGCTGGAGGTTCTGGCGAGAAGGAGAATGATGGAGGAAAATGAATCTGTGGTTACGGTGGATGATGGCTTGGTAAGTTATCCATTTTGGTATCATGGTTTCATGAATAATTACTAACAGACTAATAGGTGAGAAGACATTATAGTATGGAGGGTGATGGGATGTACATGATTCCTTCATGGGGATATGTATGGTGCGCATATGGTATTTCACTTCTTCTATGGCAGCGGTAAGATCAATCATCATCTGATGTTTTGACACGTTAGCATTTTCCAGGTTTTTTCTTTCATTGGCTTAGAAATGTTCCTCTATTTAACATGAGGTTCATACATGGGTTAGATAATAATTCCTCAACAGCGCTGCTCACTCAACATGAGTAAGCTACATCAGTTCATAATGAAAGCGAAATTTTTCTCAATTTATTTTATTTATGATGTGACAAGTGGATGATTCGTAAATTTATTTCTTCCATTTTTGTGGAAAATTTCATCAAACTGAGACAACTCCAATCCCTCCCTGTTTCCTCGTTCCTTTTAACTGAGATTCTGACACTCTACTCCCTATGCATGATGATGATACAAGCATTCAGGAGCATATCTAGGATCCCATTCTGAGATATTTATTGACCCCTTACCATTCGTAAGATTAGAGACATCAATCAAGAGACCATCGCACTTTTTCCCTAATTCTACTAGAACTTCCTTATTGTAGATAGAGGGTAGCTTTGTATTAACATGCATCATAGCAGCATAACACAAAGCAAGAAACTTTCTCCCGGCGGAATTCTCCTTGGTATAATTGTACCCAAGTTCAATATGTCTTGGCTCAGGAAATAATTGTTTATCGGATCGATGCGTAGTCATGATCCGATTCATGATAATATCCTCAAGATCTTGGGCTTTATTTTTGTGGGCAAAGAGGTATAGATGCCATAATGTATCGATCGAAATCCCAGGAAACAATTTCCCATGATAGGAAAATTGGAGAAGGCGGACGAATACGGAACATGAGATGGGTTGGTATACATCAAACCAGCCTGACGAATCACCTGTATCAACCGATCTAGAGATTCGAAGACGACGGAAGATACGAGGTTGAAGATTGATAAGGTCGGCGTGAACTAGGAACTTTTTTTTATGGGCGCCGACGGTGATTGTGATCATTTGCTTTCCGAGTCTAATAAAGTTAGTATGATTTGAGATATGATCAAGGATAGATACTTACTTGAGGGAAGAGTTATCTTGCCAATCAAAATAGTTGGCCTTTGTGACAACCGAGGTAGTTGAGACTTGTCCAGTAGAGGTCATGTTCTTGTTGAACAGAGTATCATAGGTAGATTGAACCATTTTTTCTGATTTGGATGGTCGAGGAATGGTAGAGGAATGGTAGATAGATCTCAATGTTTCGGTAGGATGATAATAGAAGTTCTTGTTGATTGAATACCAAATTGACTTGCTTGATAGGATCTATTTCGTAGATTGAGTGTTTTTCCAGGATGAGAAGAGAGTCAGTCGAGTTTGGGGGGAAGAGTGGACTATGTACCTATGAGCAGATGTTACGGTCCTCATCATACAGCACAGCCAAACATATAGACCAAATTCAGTATATCGAGAACAAGAGGAAAGTTGTGAAATTCATACCGTACCATTGATAAAAGAACGCGTTAGGTACCGTAATGGATATTACTATCAGCTAGCGTGGACTAGCGTACACTAATATAGCTCTCTATCTATATATAATATCAAAGCGCGATCTACCGTTAACAAGTACGATGAGACCGTATTTTGTCGTCTCAGACCCGCACAAATGTCAATTGAATATCTATGATTAGTGAAGTCTCTGCTCTTTGCAAAAATCCACCGTAACTTGTTTATAGTACACCGTATCTAGTTGTGTTCGAAAGTTGTGCCCGAGAGTTACATCCAAAATATCTGCCGTATACGTTGCATGTTCATTTCGTAGCGAGTAGCCAGTTTCCACTGCAAAAAGATTTTCACACATTAAATCATAGGAATGGAACCAAGGCATGAGATTTGCAGAGGGCATCGAAAGAGATTTTTGTAAAACATGATATTCCATTGATTTGATTCGATATGCTTTGCTCAATCTTGATCTTCTAAGAAGATTCTCATGCTGATCCATGTGTCCAGTTCCCCCAGACCTTGATTATCCTGTACATTATAAAAATTGTCGGTAAAATAAATAAATAGTCAATGATTTTGCTCTCCATGTGCACTCATCCATCAAAATACATAGTCCAACCAGAAAACTTCTCCCTTCCCTTGATTCATAGAAGTATAATCAGTAGGGTATCCTCCTCTGAAGATTGCATTTCAGACATTCTGTGTGTTTTAGATTCAACGCACATAGCAACACCCACTGATCATTCATCCCCTTCTGTAAATCCCTCGAGTAAGGTATCCATTACTAACTCCGTCTCCTCATCGCTCCATGAGTTTCTGTTGATTCGAATTTGAGTCAAGGTGTAATCGAATGCGGAGTGTCGTGGAGAGTTGTCCTCAGGTCTGTTCGGTATTTCTTCCTCTGCCTCGTCCTCTGCCTCCTCCTCTGCCTCTTCCTCTGACTCCTCCTCTGACTCCTCCTCTGACTCCTCCTCTGACTCCTCCTCTGACTCCTCCTCTGACTCCTCCTCTGACTCCTCCTCTGACTCCTCCTCTGACTCCTCCTCTGCCTCCGCTCCCCCACCATTCTCTGACTCTGATTTAGTGAACGACATGTATTCTTTGAAGGTAGAAATCTTTAATGGTTCTCTTTCTAATAATCGAATATGTGCTATCCTTGATGTTTGTGGTTCCCAATAAATGCCAACTGGTGTTGGGGCATTGTAGTGTTTAAAATTGAAGTACCTTCTCATATCCACATACCTAAGGTCGTCATCTGGATGTGGTAAAGGAAATGATGAGCCTTCAACATGGGTAATGAAATTTGTAAGGCGCGACAACAAAACCGATGGACGACAATGGCAGGGGTAACCAAATTCACATCCACAATCTGATTCCCAATATCCCGAACACGACGTAAGCAGTCTGTCACAGAGTTTAATATCCTCTAGATGTAATGATTGAGCGAAAAAGTAGAACATTCGAATCCATGAATTACTTTTCAGATATTCCTTGGACTTGACCTCTTCCTTTGTAATTTCAATGGTCATATTGCTAAGCTCGAGTGAACGCAAAGAATGCGCGTGATTGAGTAAGAATTCTTGGAAATACTGCTCATTCAAATACAAACCTTTGAGTGCGAGACATTCCAATGACGGAAATGTTGTACTTGGGTTGACGAATTCGGAAATATCTTTCCCGGGATCCCCAGGTGGCCTATACATATCGTCTGGGTCGCCAAAAGAAAGTGACCTGATATTTTTCATGCAATCAAGAAGTGCGGGGACATGAGGGGCGAGGAATTGGGTGACAGAAAGGTGGAAATATTTTAATTTGTCGAGTTTTTCGATCTCCTTCTTAGAGAATGCTGTAATACTCCGCTCGTAGATATCAGGTTCAGATACGGGTAGTACTACTTCCAATTCTCTTGGATTGGATACATTACCAAGTACTAATTTCAAAAAGTTCCAGACTGTATCAAATGATCCTTTTGAATTGGGGGAAAACTCTTCATGAGAAGGATAATTATCCCGGATAATTCGGATATTTGTGACACTTGAAAGGCGCTTTAGAGCATCTGCCATCTCGGATTGATGTGAGAAGTGATACGCAGTATATTCTGGACACCAATAGTCTTCCGAATCTTCATTCGTATACACACACCGATAAGTGAGCGTTGAAACGTGGGGTCGAAGGCTATTGCTGTGGGAAATATTCAATAACTTTTGAAATGAAAAAGCTGCGAATTCGAATGATATGTGTCTGAACAAAATAGTCGCTGCTGCGCTGGAAAATTCCTTTGAGACAAATCTTAGATTGGGAAGGTCGTATCGATAAACGTGAGAGCAAATCATGCGGAGAATTTCTTGTGGAAACTTTGATTTTTGGCAGTCGATCTCCATGTTGGACAGATTCTGGGATGGGGGTGAAGCGATTTGCATTTTCTCCTTGTTCTCCATCTCGTCCATGCTCTCGACGGCTTGAATTGAGGTTTTGGTCGTGGGAATTGAGAGTCGTTGTTTCTTATTCACCTCTTCTTCCATCAAGGTTTCAGCTGCCGATAGTGATAAACGTCTCTTGTTCGTCATGGGGTTGATTTGAGTTTTGGTGAGCTGTCTGTCTTGAAAATAAGTAAGCATTATATCAATTTCAAGATCCAAGAAGTGTTATCATACAGTCAAAATAGATAGTACTAGGTAGTTAACTTGAGTGGTCTAAGTTGAACGACTCAAATAAAACCACAAGGATTTGATATGCGGAATAAGATCGAGGACTTATGAGGGTTCTCTTCCTATCCGCTGTTGCTGTTCCTGCGCGGCCGTGCTATTACTTGGATCGACTTTGACTTCTTGGATGAGATCGATGGCAAGCCGCAGAGGTAATCTCCGAGAAAGAACGTCGATGAAAAATATAATAAGATTTGTCTTAATAAAGAAGATTCACAAACGGGATGTAATTATTTGGCTGGCGATGTTAGATGGCATTGGAATTTGGGTCCTGAGATTTGTGGGTTGATAATGAAATATGCAAAAGAAATTGTGGGGGGAAGGACTAAATTTAAAGATTGTGTGGGGGATCTACGTGTCCTAAGAGCACTAGATTCACTAGAGCCAACACTAAATTATGATGTGTTTTAAGTGAATGAACCACTGGGGAAAGAAATACCGAGCTAAGGTCCAAATCATAATGAATGATAGGCAGCAGTAGGGTAGGGCATTTAGGTTTTATCCTTCACTCTTGAAATTCGGTGAATAATCTCATCATGGTGTAGTCATTGAGAGAATCATGAGAAGTGTCATTAAAACATTGAAAGGATCACATTCACATTGTGTTCCGATGGCTTGAAAATCTATGGAAATACTGATTAGTTGAAGCTACTCAAGTTCTTCCATTAACTTCTCAATTAACTCTTTCAAATTCCTACCCTCTCCATCACCCTCTCCATCACCCTCTCCATCACCCTCTCCATCACCCTCTCCATCACCCTCTCCATCACCCTCTCCATCACCCTCTAAAATGCCAACCCAACCATTCCATTGCCAACCCAACTCAAAATCCCCCAATCTGCTTGCAACTTCTGTTGCATTGAATTCTTCAAACTCTACTTTCCCAATATAATCGAAAAATATCTTCCACCTCTTCAAAAGATATCCACTTACAAGACCTCCCCAACTTTTAGATGCATAATCATTAATTACTCCTGCCGGTCCCCAGATGGTAATCTGATTAATAGCATTGTAGGCGAAGAAATGTTGAGTTTGGGTAAGATTTGATTTCGAATAATCATGAGATGAACGAAGAGAAGCATCTGTAAAATAGTCTGGCGAAGAAGAAATGGCGGCATTCACCCAAGTATCCAACCTGAAATGAGGAGAAGTAGATAGAACAGCATCCAGACTCTTCAAAATCCCAATTAGCATCTCACTCGTCTCTCCAAATCCAATCCCCGCTGTATATCTCTCAATCAAATCCACATATTCCAATTTAAATCTCTCCGCAAGTACTTGTCTTGTAATATCCACAATATCAAATTTCCATCCATCATCATCCCAAAGTTCTGGAACCAATAGCGATGCATTATATAATAATCTCCATGCTCGAAATAGATCAACAGGATCATAAAGATCGATTGTCAAGGATTGGCCCAATCTTCCATGGTTTTCGGTAATGTTAGGTTGCATTTCGAATAAAGATTTCGGAAGACTATCTGCAAGAGTCAGATTTGTGTTGTTGTAAGCTGTTGTGCGGAGAATGTCCCATGCTGAGTATATTTCTGAGGGCAGTTCCTTATATCCAGCGGTATGATATCTTTTTGCTACCCAAGCTTTGAAGTAATCTTTGGTATCAATAGGGGTAGAATTCCAAGCTTGATCCAAAAGTAATTCATACATCAGCCCATTACCATCTTGTCCTTCCATCGTATTTCCCATTCCAATCATCTTATCCGATTTTCGAAATGCTTCAATCGAAGAGTTTGTAACATTATATATCTGACCATATATACCAGCAGTACCACCATAACCATGTAGTTGACACCAAATCCATGGTTTTCCATAATATTGATTTGTATTTTCCCACTCTGGAAATGATTCAGAGAAGAGGTCAAGTATTAACATGCTCTCATTCTTTGGAACACCACCAAGGTAAGCTTCGACTCTCTCTTGTGTCCAAAATGATGAAGCGGCATAGAAAAGCCATCCTTGTAACATCCAAATAGCATTTGAATCGAAGGATTGAAGAGATTCGTAAGTTCCACGTGATATTTCGCCTAGATATGAGAGATTCTCAGACGCGGGAATATTTTCGTTAAATTGGTCGAGTGCATAGACATGAGAGATATTTCCAAAATATTCGGATTGAATTTTCAGAAATGTATGCTGCAGAGTTGTAAAAAGAGGATCGGTTGGGTAAAGAAATGTATCATTTGAATATTCGACTGGGAAAAGATTTCCCCAATCACTTCCATTGATGATATTTGCATTAGGAGCTACCCTTCTCAATTCTCTTGGTACAAAGCCAGTGAAAGCAGGTAAAGCAGGTGTAATACCTAATTCTACCATTCTTTGTACAATTTTCTTTTGAAGGAGATGTTGATCTTCAATCCAAGCAAGTGGAATGGTACCACCCCAGGATCCTTGAATATTACCAAATCGATTCCAAGCTTGAAAGGCAGGACCGGAGAAAAATGAAAGTATTTCATCTGTAGTGAGGCCGATTGTGAGGAGTGTGGTAAGTAATGTTTTCTCATAACCTACCCATGCGAGAGAGAGATTAATACCGTGAAGGGACATCCAATCTAATTGAAGTTCCCAATCTTCCCAAGTCCAAAAAGCGGCTTGGTATGAGAAAGTTACTAGGAAACGTTTGTTAAGATATGTTCATCATGTAGCACACTAATCAGGCGAAACTCGCTCGGAAGGGAATCATTGCACCTACCGGTATTGAAATGATAACGCCATGGTACAATACTTGATCCTTTCAAGGTAGAATTCAGAGTCGGTAAACGTTCGGGAGCAAGATGTATTTGAGAACCAATATACCACCAGATATCTACATGCAAATTGTCCGTGAAGTATTTGCGTAACCTATATTCCTAATTAAAAAGTTATACACAAAGTCGATATGAATTACGTACCCAGTAGCAATACCACTCAGTGAATTGCCTTCAATCAAGATCTTTCCTGCGGCAGTTTGAGATAAAGCATATTCATCATTCGTTACTCCTAATGTATGATTACCATGTATTTGAAACTCAAAGTCATTAACATGAGCAGGTAGTCTTCGTTCCAAGAGATTGATCAAGCCATGAGTAGATTGTTTTGTCGTTGCTTTTACAAAGACCGTTAATATTGTGGACGAAAATAACAAAACAAGCCATTGTCGTCGAATTAAATGCATATTGATGAAAATATGACTTCAAAAAAATTCATCCAAGCTACACCGGCTCTCACACCATTTTAAACATTGTAAGAAAGTAAGCATAGATTATTTGAAGATGTAAGAATTTAGGTGAATGCAGAGTAACCTTACGATATCCGTGAAAGGAAGAGATCGACTCGTGTAGGTGCATAGTATATCTGAATGTGGGAACGGTGGGGTAAACCTCACAACTCAAGAACGTAGAGCCTAGAGTAAGCCCATAATTCTTTGGAAATCTTAGAGGGAAAGTCTTGGAAAGTTACTTGGATACTTGGTTCATATCTCAATTTGTAGATTATGACATCTATATGATAAAACATTAGCGAAAGAAAGGGGAAATTTAGAGTCAGTCATTCACTAAAACGATGTCAAATGAGCTGGTGCTTTTGTTGACTTGTAAGTTTTCTTTTACTTCCAAATGCCGATTGGTAGGGGGAGTCTCGCTGACTGCTGATCTTACAAGCATCGAGGGGTAAGAGTTATTGATTCAGGAAATCGGTGAACCAAAGAAAGCTTATCATGCACTTCGTAAGCTTACGTCCCTGTCTTGGTGGAGGTATTGAATATACCAAATGAATCCAAAAACATGCGAGTTAAAACATGCGAGTTGAAAGCATCTTGCATCACCCATCAAGATTGTCTACCTATCAAAATTCGAAGAAGTTTGATGCTTAGGGCTACATCCCGCCAGCTTTTGAGTTCCCATCAACTCCATATTAAGATGAATAAAATTGGAATCTCAATGTGGAAATTCAGTCCATTAACTTCTTTTATGTTTTAAAGAGATTTTAAAATCTGCAAAAGCTTGTCGATAATTTAAAAGCAGCTTGCTTTTCTCCGGGAACAATCGACACGAGCATCAAAAACGGGGCAGCTTAGGGTTTTTGATTTTGCTGAATGACATCCATACTAGATAGACAGTTAAAGCAGGAAATATCTGAAGTGCGTGATACTCTTCTTGATGATGGTAACGATGTCGTCGACGAGATGAAACTCATTTAAATGATGACCGCCCTCCCCCCGCTCTTGACCGACCACAAAAAACCAATTGTCACTGTCAGTGATACAAAAGATCCGAGATCCATGAAAGGATTTCCTAGCTGCGCTTGCAGAAATATTATTATCAGCTGTCGAATTGAGTACTTTGTGATATCAAGGAGCACGAGAAACCAGTTCACTTGCCACTTAACAACATCTTGAAAGTCATTCGGATGCCACCCCAAACAGTCTTGAGAGTCCACGTATATTATGGAAGAAACTTCTGAACAACTCGTGGATGAAAAAATAGCCGTGAAAGAATTAATCAAAGCATACGAAGAGTTGAAATGCAAACTAAACTTTCACCGGATTCACCCGTACGAGTATCCGCATGGAAATATATTGCATATTGTTGTGGTTGGACGTTGCGATTGATGTGCTATCTAAAATCTAGACAAAGAGGCATTCAGTAGAAGCAAATCTCTCAGCCAATTGTTCGTAGATCACAAACAAGCCAGAGACTTGCGGGAAGAAAGAGGAGTCATCTCGTCGAAAATGCGCCCTTCTGGTTCTTTCCTAGAGAAGATGGAGCCTTACTGGAAGGAAAATGTAAAGCTTGTGGTCCCTGATTGGAGTATTGAAATTGTACACGGGTGCGACGATATCATGCCTTCCGGTCACAGTAAGAAGAATCAATTATCGTGATTCTAACTAGTGATCAATTGAAAACCACGAGTATGTAAGTCCGCTGGTCGAATGATTCGAAGAATGGAAAATGTCTACTATCTCATATGAAGTGTCGTTTGAAGTGTCGTATGTAGCGTCGGAATATTGCCACTAAAGAGTGTTGACACGTGACTTTTACAAAACACATGATGGTCAGGTTATTTGTTGCACATCTTAAAATCTTCAGAGGTCCGGGTGAATATCGGAAGCGTCACTGGAGTTTCGAGATGGATATCGGGGAAATGCCATGGTTACATAAGCATAAATCCAAGTACTGGTGTATCTACCTAGTAGGCACCTAGGTATTTCTTCTTGTACATCATAACTCATCAATTAAATGTACGGAGATTTGATATCACTCTTGAATCATCACCGAATTAATACTGATAAACCCCTACATTTCCAAGCAAGTCATTCATTCATCGATATATGAACACTCGCTTCATTCCCTTATGTTTGGGTATCTTATCCCAAACCAAATCACCAACTCCTCAAAATCCATCATAACACAATGTGTGCAAACTAACATTTTCATCATAACTTTGTAGTGTTCCATATCAATTGTCTCCATGATAGCCATCAACTGCATCGACTTCAATCGCTGAAGCTTGTGGATCCGTATCGATCAATTGAATGGAATCCTCCTCTTGTCGTCTTCATCGTCAAGTCTCTCGAAACCCTCCAATTACCGATATCTTCCTCCCTAGAGTCATCAAAGGTAGCTGGCACTATACATATCCCCGGATAACGCACAGTTGCTCCTTCCAAATCATAGCATTATACTGGTAGCTTTTCAGTCGGATGTGATACAAGATCACCTGGACAATTGTCGCACTTGCATTCATATGCAGCAGCATGAACTTTCAATTGCGGATTTGGTCCATTTTGTGCACGATGAAATTCCAATAGAAGGACCAAATCAATTAAAAGATGTTGTAATCGACGCAATCTGAAAGTCGCAACGGGATCTTGTCGTCGACGTGCATCCACAAGCATATTGACACCTCTTTCAATTGGTAGGAACCACTTCTTGAAATCGGCATCAGTATGATATTTCTTTGAGAAAGCAGCAAATCCCATGCAATAAAGTTGTTCCTTTTCTTCTTCAATAGTCATTACTTCTCCGATGGCCATCTGTTGTCCTCGCCAGAGCATGAATGGATCCTCCCCTGCATGTCTATCCCAACTGAATTGATCCGTTATAGCGTCCAAAATTTGATTAAGTTTTTGATTTGTCTTTTCCGTTGAAAATTGCATGAACTGTGCTTGTCGACGTAGAATATATGTCCATGAAAGATATTGTCCAATCAAAAAGGCGGTGTAGACATATATATTCTCTTTCTTTTCTTCATCTTCATAATAGTCAAGTAATGTATTTACAAGACCCCAAATTCGAGACTGAAGATCATATGCAGCAAGTGTGAGAGGATCTCGATATTTGTGAATTAAAGCTTTAGTGGCTTTACGTTGTTTGGCTTGGTCCAAATAATATGAGATCCATCCTGTGAAACCTGCTGCCACGAGCGAGCCCAGGAGAGAAACGACAGCGATGATGATAGATACAACGTCGACCATGATGATGGGAATTACTTGGTAGGGCTATGCCGCAGGTCTTTATGTAACCGTTGTTTCTCCGAAAAGCTTCCCGTTTCACGAATAAGAATCTGGAAACGTTGTGGTCGACACAAAGATGGTTTTGATAGGATTTTGGAAGTGAAAAGTCGCCCTTTGAGTTAAAATTAATTTTTAGGCTCGTCGAGATATATATGAAGGGGTTTGAAATTCAAAAATGGCTGAAATGCAAAGATTAGGTCCTCACGTAAGAAGCTGGCGCTTACAGTGAGATTGAGGGGCCAATGGACTATGGGCTATGGAATATGGGCCCCATCCACAAATACTCGAGAAAAAGAATAAGCAATGAGCCCATGATGAATGCATTTCAGGGCGGCAATGGAAAACCCCAACGGCGTATACGGAGAGATCGGTCAATCACTTTTGTATTGGTTACTGGATATGTATGCAGGGCAGGGTTAAAATGGAGAGTTCCAGGGCATTCAAATTCGACCCCCAACTATGTGGCTTTTTCGGCTTACACAAAAGGGCTGAGACAGAATATCCACATCGGCCCACAAGCACACGGTGAGGAAAATCCTTACGCCGTACATCATTGTACGTACTTCATCACGAGATTTTCATTCTCAAATCGTGTTCTACTATGATATGTTCATTTCTGCATCTCAATCTCTGGCTGAGTCTTACCAGATGCTACCTAGCCAGGTGGCAAGATGATAACCTTATCCACAACTACTTTTAACATTACTGATACTTACTTGATACCAATACATATGATCAATGAAAGAAAGCGTCAATGGGATTTCGCATGTTTCGAATCTCGATGTCGTGAAAAAGGTGGTTGGGTTAGGTTAATCATGAAATTCTTCCCGACTTTGTGGGTGAGAAGTTAGAAGTCCGGGCTAGTTGGTGGGTCTTCTACCCGACATGGTAAATGCTATTGGTCAAGGTATGAACCTATGAATCTAGGTACAAATGGGGTATCTAGCACGTGCCTGGCTACGAGGGTACTTCATACACATCGATGATCCATAGGTACTACCTCCACTACCCCTACATCCATGGATCCATTGGATGAACAATATCCGTCAAGCCACTGTGGCTAAGAAATTTAAAGTTTTTTGGTTCACAATATCAAAATGACCACGACCGAGTACGAACGCAAACAATCTTCATATTAGCATACTTACCCCAATCTTTTCTATCTAGAACATATGTACTTGAATGCCACTCAGAAACATAGCTGGTAATAAATCCTCATTCTCGTTCAAATTCATGATCGCAGCCCTAAGTCCTTTTGGAACCTGTTGAAGAATAGTATCATTCAACATTGCATCCAATCTTTCACCCCAGATATCGGTCAACGTTTGTACAAGCTCGGCGCCAATCAGTGTCCCTCTCTTAAAAAGGAAGTCTTTGAGCTTTTCCTTATTATCAGAACCCTCATGATCTGAATCGTCATCAATCTCAGTTTTGATCCCCGAGCTCGTAACTGAGTCTGCATATTGTCGAGCTACCCGTCCTTGAACCAAAACATTTACAATACGACAAAGTTCGTTTTTCTTATTTCTCATATAGCTTTCCCAGTGCTTCACGAGTCCAGGTTCAGGTACCACATTCTCAAAGTCAATTTTATCTGTAGCGATTCGTCGTCCATAGTAACTGTGAGTTGACCCCAGTTCCAATTGACATAGGAACCATTTTGCCCCTTCAACGCCTGTAAACCTAGCGAGAACCCATTCGCCCACAATGAGGTTTATGTCATTTTCTTGGACAAAATCCAACATACGAACCACACGAAGTTGTTCTGTATCACCGTCCAAAGATTGAACTCGAGATGCGGGATCTGGAGTGGAGGCGTTTTGATTTTGTTCTCCTGTGGGATCAACACCTTCAGGAACTTTACCCATTAAACCAGAGGACAATGAGGTTAGCTTCTTGTAATAACTATCACTTTCTTGTCCTGTGGTAAGAGCTGGTCTGGAATTCATTAAACCAAATGTTCTCTTATCCTCTTGATCAGACAGAGCTCTCTGAACCACATCACAAACATCTAATTGTTTCTTCAAGGCCCCTACTTCACAAGTAAAATTCACTTTTATCATAGAAAGTGCAGTACTGATTGTACAATGACCGCTTATCTTTTGACTATCGTTCACTGCGCTTTGTACTTGGTATCGGAGATGTTCAGGATTTTGCATCTCGATTATGACCCTTTGAATATCAAAGACACCTTCAATACCAGAAGTTGTAAGCATGATTGGATTTGGACATATCATACTAGAACCTAGAAGTTCTCGAGTTCTCTGTGGCTTTTGACGTTTCCCCATTGGAGGACCATTCAATTTTGGAGCTTCAATCTCATCAAAAAGTGGTTGAAATTCTTTCGGAATGTTGTTGATATCTTGATCTTGGGATAACCAATGATTCACCTCATCGATCAAACTTTTTGGTTCTTCTTCCGTTGAAGGTTTGACCTCGGAAAGTTCTGGCTCGACGTGAAGGACTGGTGGAGCATCCACACTTTCCTTCATGGGGTTCAGTGGTTCCTTTGTCTTTCTTCCAAATCCCCCAAGTCCCATACTGAGCTTCGGCGCGGAAATGTGTGGCATCTGTGGCATCTGTGGCATTTGAGGCATTTGAGGTCTTTGAGGTGTTTTAAACCCAAACCTCGAAGCAATGTTTCCGTTATTCTGAGTTGCTTGCTGCTCTTCTTCATGGACAAGTGCTTTTTGAGTCTTTTCTTTCTCAGTTCTATAGCCAACTTTTGGTTTGTACTTCTCGAAACTCGGAGTATTCTCGAGGTATACAACTAGTTTTCCAAGGTTGAGTAATTGAGGCCTAAGTTCCTTTAAGCTAATATCCTCAATAAATTTGAGAATAGTTTGGAGTAAGCCTGTTGGAATATCTTGATGAGCTGTTCTTTTGATAAAGTCAATGGTTTGACGCAATAGTAAAGTAACCTTAGATGCTGTATCTTGCAATCTATATCTCTTTTCCTTGGATGCGGCCGCTAATTCACCATTCCTCGAAGTGAAATAATTCTCCGTTTTCTTTGGACTAAATGCGGTCAAGCTTGATGGATATAAAGATCGTCCTCTAATAGGGCTTCCAAGATCTTTCCCTGCCCAATTGAAGATTGAGACATCATTGGTAGTAATAACAACCTCGTCAAGTAGCCGACAAAGTGCTTTGGTTGGACCTTCTGCATGGAAAGCTGAAAACTTTACGCCGAGAACTCCCATAAGTGAGTAAACTCTATCAATAGGAACTGTACATTCTCGATATGATGCTAATGACAAGGTATCTTGAGCTGGAAGGGTTGGTCTGCTAAGTCCACGACAGCACTCAGGTGGAGGTACATTGGTGAATTCAGAGACTTTAATTCGATCTGCTTCAATAGCAGGGGCACAATCATCGACTAAGTTCCTAATCAAAAGTTTGATCAAAGTCCTTACTTGAGCTCGGATTGTATTAGGATTCAAATCGAAACCAAGTGTTGTGAACAGTTTCCGGAGGGTCTCAGTGGTGGGTGATTCCATATTGATTCGAGATTCGATTTCAGACCCTGCTCGAGATATTGTATCCCGAATATAAGCGCCTGAATTATCGTCGTTCATTTCTCCTGGAAATTGAACTCCGAGGAAGCCAAGAATGCCAATGATTCTTCTTGATTTCTCTAGGCCTTGTGTCGAATCAAAGTAAGGGATCTATGTTTTTATTAGCTTATCTGAAACTCTGGTTGAAGGCATGGTCTCATGAGAACCTGGTGTATATACGCACCTTCTCACAGGTATCCATGAGTGATTTCAGGTTTTCTAAACTGGAAAAGAAAGATTTTGCTTCTTTGGGCGCATTGGCTGTATCTTGTTCGCGTATATGCTGTTGAATATAAGAACAATGATAGTAATACGGTCCCAAACCTTCTACAACTCTAGGTAAAGGCTCCCAAAGATTGTTTACATAAAACGCCATCTTACTTAGGACCAATTCCTGTAAAGTCCAACCTCTAGTCGACCATTTTGGTGATTTCACGTCTTCAAATTTGGTGAAATTTGCCTCACAGGCCCATTGACCGGGACTGTCGATTTTGATACTATTCCAAGTACTATCCCATTCTGTTGAGCTTGATGTATCGAGATGTACCAAACAAAAGTCTGCATTATTGTACCACTGTCCCATCATGGCAAGTGATTGATTTTGTTCATTCGCATCGCCTTTATCTATGCAGATGGTATCGTTCCAAAGATATTGTTTACGACCATTGGACGGAAAGAGGCCTGAACTAAGAATTCTCCTTGCTTCGCGGATAGAACTTTCAATTTTATACATGGACTTTCGCCTCTCCAAGATGGGGAGAAATTCTTCAATCGCGGATCGTAGGCCCGGGATTTGGTTTAAGCTGGCGCATTTCTCTGTTGCGTTTTCGAGTCTTATTTCGGCGAGTCGCATTTTGTTTTCAAGCTCAAGAAGGACTGGATCGACCTTCAATGAATTCTTGCTATGGTTCAGACTACTGATTCCATTCACCTCATTCTCGATCGGCGTTTCTAAATCATCGACTCCCATGTCTTGCTTTGCCTTCTCCAGATTCTTATCTGCCTGTTTTTTCACTTCCCCATCTTTTTTCTTCGCGACAAGTTCGTTGTGAAGACTTGTTGTTTCCATAGTAGCTTCTTTGAATTCGGTGAAATCAGCGAGAAAAGTTCCTGCATTGGAGTAATCTGATTTCTTTCCAGAACGAATCAAGATAATGTCAATTTTCTTGATCTGCTCATCAACATCTTTCTTGCATTGAGCAGCGAGTAATTCAACGTCACTCTTGCCAGCTTCCAAATGACCAAATTTCTTGACTTGGAAACTGGCGAATCTTTTTGCATCCTCGTCCTCATCATGAGAATCTCGTATCATCTCATAGAGTTCTCTCTTCTTTGCATTCTCCTTGATCTTTTGAAGGAACGGAAATTTAATTTCTTCTCCTTTCCAACTGTGACTCAATATTACATACTGTCCATTGGGCCAATCTTCCATGTTTCCAGTATCAATGTTGAACATTCTATTAGGACGTGGCACTCCATCCGTATTCAATATCGCCGGGTCAATGATTTCTTCTTCAAAACCATTATCGTCCAAGCCTATGCCATTGTCTTTTGGATCAATAAATTCCGGTACGAAATTGGAATTGATGATCCATTTCATTGATTTGTGAACTTTATCTTGTAATAACGGATCAAGGACGGATTTGACGTAGGCATCGCGAGCAACATTATATCCTACGCCCGTAGCGCTAGCGAGGGATGAAATGAGAGATTTCTCGGTTGGTGTTGGTGTACCTGTTGTATCGAGGATTTTCTTCCCAAAACGAAGTAAATCATTCTGATCTGCCCAGGAAGTCATTTTGATATCCGATACTTAGTAGCTGGCTAAGAAAATTAATATGAGAATAACACAAGAATGGGTAGTTTGAGGACGAGAAATTCTGAAACGAAAGCTCCAACAAGTCATTCTGATAAACTTGACGTCTTAGACCCAACCAGCAAAAATATCACATGCTTGCTTTACGATCGAGATTCGAAGATACCCTCGCAATAATCGATCAATCAGCTATCTCATCATATTTCATTATTTCCGCCATCAGCCGTCAAAAAGGTATTGCGATAGTTTCCTTAAAACGGCACTGAGAAAATTGCGACGCTGAAATCTTACCCCTCCAATCACCCCACGTTTTCAGGAACTCCTCTACACGTGTCTTGCAGAACATTACCCCTGACTTAGTTTCTCAGCCAGCCACCTCTCTCAAAGCATGCCTTTATTGATTCACTGGCTATCAATGTAACAAGTTTTCTGAATTCAATACTTGATATGTAATTCTTACACGAAGCCCTTGTCATTTCGGCACTTGGTCGAATATTTTGATGGGGAGTTCGATGATGTGCCGATGGTATCGGAAGTATTGATCCTAAATGGTGGCATGGGTAAGGTCTGCTGGTCTGCTGTTCTTAGAGTTAGATCAAGAAGGTTTTGAATAGAAACCATTGTTCACCTCTTCAAGGAGGAATCTCAGTCGGTTGATGTGCTGATGGAGCAAAAATGGCTTCATATCATCGAATCCTTAAAGTCTTTGGCAGATCAATTGAAGATAAAGCATTACAATGTGATTGGTACGCTATTCCTTTTCCTCAAAAGTGAGTAACTTCGTGATTGGAATACCTCATTAAGTACTTCTGTAGTGATATACACCCATGGGAAATTCTCATCAACGGAGATCGCTGGTCCGGTCGACTTCGACTTATAGGCTTTGTGGATGTTTTCTTTCTGATTAGTTACTCGGAGAATTCGAGATTCCATAGGGGGATAATTATCTACAGTAAGTATACAACTCCTACAACAAGCAAAAGATGGTATAGCAATAAAACTAAGAAGAATGAGAGGATGACCAGCACATATCGAAACTTCTAGATACAGTCGGGAAGGAGTTCAAGGACGGAAAACTCATACCCAAGACCACCTCATCTGAAGTCGAATCATCCAACCCGGACATAAATCAAGCTCCAAACCCAACCTACACAACATTTACTCGTGACTCTGCCGACTATACGACTTCATCCATAGGTCATCCCATCAGTCTCTGCACCAAATACTCTTCTGCAACTCTTCAAACCTATACCATACATCTACGTAAACCTTCCGATCCACTTCTAAAACAAAAATACAAAAGGGCACTCAAGGTACATGATACATTGGATATGATACAAGATGCTGTCAAACTTGGATTGGTAAGTTACGCGGAAATTTTGGGTCGGGGGATAGGGTATATCGGTAGAGGAAGTAGTACTTTGGACATTGGAAAGGGATTTGTGGGAGGTCTTGGGGCTGGAAATGAAAGTCCAGGGTGGGTGGGATTGAGTGGTGATAGGGGGTAGGAATGGTAACGAAAGAATAAGATTTAAGAGAATTAATGAGATGTTATCATTGGAGATTGAGCTTGATAGTTTGAATCCACTGACATTCTAAGACCACGAATCAAACTCGGTCCTTATGCACCAAACCTCTACTTTACTTCATCAAATGAATTGCTAGAACTTCTTGACCTATGCTTATCAAGTATGAATGTGAAGATGATTTAGGCTTGAATTTTCCACAACCTGACTCACGAACCAACGGACCACTGTAGTCATATTGTACATAAACTAAAGATGTACAACACAATCCACATGCCTAGGTTAACATACTATTCTAACTTCGGCGCCATTCCTGCGACTCATTTCACATATCTAACCGACATGGAAAAGAAATAGATATAAATACAAATGATTTCAAAAGAATCAATACATGACAAGACTAATATGAACCAAGTCCATACAATCTTTATTTTCATCCACCAAGTCACTACAATCCTTTACCAATAATCCATCCAATCGTTTCTGTATCTTTATGATAACGAGTTACTCTTTGACCTTTATCAACATCTCGATCTTCTAGCCATCTCCTCAATTTTCTTGTCCTTTTTCCCTTCATCTCTTTTCCAAATTCTCCTAATTCTGCCCCTGTTGGCATATCATCATATCTTCCTAACCTATTAGGATGTCCCTCTCTTATTCTAGCTTTCTCAATCAATTCCATTTCATCAAGTCCTCTCCAAATATTTGATGCATTCCACTGAGCTAACTCTCTGGATAAAAATCTTCTAAAGACTTTGTTGTTAAAATGTAACCATCGAGTACCCCCTCTTCTTTGTCTTGCATCATCTATCCAAGGTTGATTTTCCCCCTCCTTGTATGGGCGATGACCAAAAAGTCTCTTAACTCTGGGTTTAAATTGACGGTCCGTAATGATATTTGAGAAATAACCAAGATAAAGATCGATCGTAATAATCATTGCCTTTCTCCAATTCACAAAATCATAGACTGTGCCATAGAAACCCATCAATTCCCCGGGACCCATTGGGTAATCCAGACGAACATTGTGTCCAAAAGCTTGACCAAGAGCATCTGTACAAACGTGAATTTGACTTCCTCTCAATCTTGCAGGCATTCGGTCCGAAACATCATCCGCTCCCCAATTCTCTCCAGTTCTACATTTCCAATCTGCGAGTTCAAGCCAAGTGGTATCTCGATCTGGATCAACACGAGAGATCACATTCATAATATCACCTATTATGTAATGCTTATCCGGATGATCCAAATAATCAAAATACTCTATTGTAGCCGCTCTAGGAGTTACTACTATCAAGGCACTGTCTGGTTTCACAGAGAGTTTCGTCGGAAATGGTGTGATATGAATGAACAAGTGGGTAAGAGCTCTAAGTCTTTGAGGTGGGAGACGTGCTTTCGTTCTTATGAATTTTGCTCTATCTTCTATGTATTCTTCCGTGGGCGGATTTGTCGGTGGAGCCCAAAAGTCATAAGGTAGATAAGCCACTGTTGGATAATCATCGCGCTTATTTCGGATTGGTGAATGGCTATTTACAAATAGACATATTTGACGGAGATAAGCATCGGTTACTTTGAGAATGCTGGCGCCTATTCTTTCATTGTAGACCATAGATTCATCTGGACCGTTGACTGGACCGCAAAATGATAAGAATCTTTGAAGATCGAGTAAGGACAATTGTTGAAATGGAAGGAGATTGGTGTCTTTGGGATCTCCACTGGGAGCTCTTGGTGGCCCTCTTTCATCATCATGAAGGGCTTTTTCGAGGATTTCAAGAGCTATCTCGTCTGGTTGTTCATACGTTTGTCTATGACCCTGAACAATTAATACTTCATCTCTAAATGACAAGATAGGCCTAGCTGGATCTATCACTTGTTCCGTCATCTTGACTTAATGATGAGGCATAGGATGGTAAAGTTTAAAAGAATTGTAAGAACGCAAGTAAGTGTTCGATATAATCGCATTCTAATTTTCAATACAAATTATTTCATGAAAAGCTATACTCGGACTATCAAGTGATGTCTTTGTTGTGTTGGTAAAGAATTCACAAAGAAAACAAGCACAAGTCAAATAGTTATGGAGGATAAAGGCTCAAAGACTTTTTATCGTTTCCGGAAGTCCCTTTGTGATAATCGACAAGAAAAAAAGAGAAATGATACTCTTGAGGAAGCCTTTTCGGATGTAGACCACCTTTTCCCATAACAAGGAGATTGATGGCACAAGATGAATTTATTCAAATGAACAACTTTGATGGCAGAGGTCGAGTAGAGCAAGGAGAATCTCAACTTTGAGCGATTGGGAGTTCTACTACTCTTAAATCTACCACAATCATATGAGTATTCAGAGGTGCGGCAGAACCCTATGGTCCAGATATCATCACACGTGAGAGTAGATCAATTACCTTGAGTCATCTCAATCTTTCAAGTGACTCCAGAAATATTTGAATCCCCATTATTAGACTGTGATGCAGTATATTGAGTATTTCAAGCAGTGGCATACATGGATATACACCAATGAATAGAAGGACTACTTGACCGATTCATTTTTGCAGTCATCAATGATTGTAGATTCTTCGCCGGTTGACTAAAAGAGTGCAGAGTGGCAATCGCATCAGTTTTGATTATGCAAACCCGATCTCGTACTGAATGCTTGTAATAGGTGGTCTTAATTGTTGTTGGATGACCGAGGTAACACAACAATATGGAACGTTACTCGAAGAGGTACTTCCCAAATAAGATTGATATCTAAACGACTTTCGAGTGAGCCCAGGTGTTTCAAACCAATCTTACTTATATATGGAACCACCTTCACTCTGAGGACCTTAAGTCGGGGACTCTAGTAACGGGTTTGTCGTAAATTTTCTGGTTGGCTTCATGATTAAAAGAGAACTCCGACGTGTAATGGAGTGGCTGAGATAGGTACCGTGTTTTCTGATTCATTCGTTAGTAGTGTCTATCAAGGTAACGATGTTTGAAGGATGTATTCTCTTTGTGCCATCCTCGTAAACAATGCCTACCAATCTTTACTCCATGTCATGTTCGTCCTCTTCGCTCTCGATAGGCAGGTACACTCATTCGGTCGACAGACCTAACGAAGCCTCGCCATTTAGGTCGATATCTTGATACTGGTATGGTAACTGAAGCCTTCGATACGAAATACGAACGAGTGATGCATCTGAAGCATAGTAAATAGTTAGTATAATCTCGTAGCCTTGGCTTCTAGTGACCACAACACTGAAGCCGAGGAACATACCAAGTATAATTATACTTTTTGCTTGGTTCGGATCAAGACTCCTTCCTCCCTCTGTCAACGTCGCTCCGTCAGCATCTCCAGTTCATGGATTGATATAAGCACTCAGCCCTGCAGTCGCTCTCAGTCATCCCATCACCCGTAAAATCCTCACTGTCTCAATGGAACTCTTGCAGAGAAGACCGACTCCAGCAGCATCCGTCGTTTGAGTCATTCGTGAACGCTATAGTTTCGAGAGCAATATCGACATTCAAATGAAAGAATCATCCAGGCTATCGGATTTCCGCTAAGGATTGTATGTGATTTTCCATCGTTCCAACTCCAAGAATAGTATATCTGCGCAGTTCGTTTATGTGTGAATTCTTTATATGCATCAGGCAGAAAGATATCGCTCCGCGGATGTCATCATCGGCTTTCAAGATTTCTGTGGGAAGGGAATCCTTGAGATTTAGTTTGTCAATCTAGGAGAGTTCCGGGGTCAATATGTAGTTTCTATTGAGTAGAAGCTTCGAACATCAAGTAAAGATCTCAAGTAATTCACAAGTTATCCTTTCGCCATATCAATGAGTGAAATTGATGGTGGTTGGTTGAAATAAGCTATTCGTCCTCGCAGAGGTTACCTAACTAGGCAAGCCCTGGAGCTCATCCCTGTGGCTGAACAAGCTAATTAGTCAGAATGTGTGGCTCTAGACAACATCTATTGACCTCGGGAAACTTCACTACAAACAATTTTCATCTTCCTTTCAATATTTCCATACAGATTTACTGATATTATTGAACTCATGTATATCTCACTCTATCAAGTATATCCTCACCTTTTTATATTAAGTAAATGTTCGTTGATTATCTTGTCCTTTCTTACTACAGTTTGATTTATGATTTTGCACCGCAGATTTGTCAATGATTTCCTAGGTATTCAGCTTATATGCTATCCCTTTTTGTAAACACATATGAATTTTCATGTCAATTAGGTTGAAAATTGAGATAGTTTTTGGTTATTGACCTTTTGTTATTATCATTTAGGCCAGGTTAAAGAACCAGCATACCCAAGTGGGAACACGAACGAACGCTGGCTAGAATGACCCTCGAACCTATGCTAGTAACTATGGAGAATGAAGACAAGTCTGCCACTCCAAAGAACGCCTTCTAATGCCATTACAATTCTTCATTATCATAATTCAGGCTTCATCTTTACCAATTGGTACATTAGTCAGAAGATTCCTTTTCGCCATCTTGCTCCTTTGTAACTGTTGGCTCAACCAATCCCTCAATGGTGAGCATTGGTGTACCATAAGCATAATCCTTCGATCCACTGATGTAGTCAACGCCGGGAACTCGATTGTGGGTGGATGGATATCTCTTGGCACGCTCAAGGTAATACGCATCGTGGTTGTCGCCATCGACTGCACGGTTGTAGGTAGCATAGAGAACTCGACGATCATCGGTGCTGTTGTTGGGTCCACTTCTATGAGCGAAAGAGGTTCCGAAGATGAGGATGTCACCTGTAAAAACTTTGTTAGTCTTGGTTTGGTGATTTGATTGAGGGGATATGTCTTACCAGCTTCAAGGTTAACTGGGATCCATTCCTGAGACTCGACCCAACACTTCTCAAGAGTCTTGTCAGAGCTGATTGGGATGTCCACTTTGTGGCTACCAGAGACCACCTCCATGCCGCCGTTCTTTTCGTTGGCTGGATCAATTGCGATGGCAATAGACAAGTGCTTAAGGTTACTAAAGGCACCATAGCCAGCACGATCAACATGTGCAGCAAATCCACCAGAACCAGCAAACTTGTAGTTCACTTGAAAAGTTAGCAGAGTATTGAAGGGGTAAAAGAGCTTAACTTACGCTTATCCTTGAATAAGACCATGTGACCATTGGCCAGCTGGGAAACAATGCTGACAAGCTTCATACCACGAAGCAGCGATTCAAAACCCGGGATAGCAGTCGTGAAGTTTTCGACTCGGCACAGCACACGTTCTCCTTTCTTGTTGATCTCATCGTACTGGAGGTACTCACAGGAGTCCTTGGCTCGTGGGAGATCATGTGCAGCTTGTGCCCAGACTTTATGATTCTCAATCTCTTTCTGATGGAGAGCATCAGTGATGATCAAGTAACCATTCTCTTCAAAAAAGAGATGTTGCTCGCGAGTGACAACATAGGCGGACTCCATTTTGAAAGAAGTGTATTTGATAAGGTATCAGATTAAAAAGGTACAAAGACGAAAAGCTCAAAGGTATTAAAAGCAAATGGAAGCAAGAAGCTCTAAAAGACAGACTGCAAACAAGCAGAGCAAGTGCTCAAATTATTGTGTAAAGGAAGCAATTTTTGAGAAGAAGATTGAAGAGCGCAGAAACTTGTAGGAGAAAGAAAAAAAAAGGGTGGGAAGTTCAATCAGAGGTCGAATATAAAGAGAGAGAAAATCTTTTCCAAAACACGGGACAGGTTCGAACTACAAAGGTTGATATTTTTTTTCTGTCCCGCTTCCACGTGGTGCTCGATTGTTGATGAGAAGGGGAAAGGTTGTTCCGATCTCTCACTTTCAACTACCTACTGAGTCTCAAGTATCAACAATATTGGATTTTGTTTGCTCTTGTGTACGTTGCCCTAGCAATCTCTTTCGACAATTGTTGGAGACATGATAATAGGACACCCAATGAATGTCAAATACTGAGTGAGATACAGATTTCTTTCTAGAATATATTTGGTTAGGAAAGGAAGGACTCTATGGAGGACTAAAGGTTGTAGTTTGTTACTTGATACACAGAAGTTCATGTCATATAAGCTATCTACAGGGCAGGGCCAAACAGAACGACGACTTTCATATCTCCTTTACTATTCAAGTTATTTTGAAACTTTTGAAATATGATTGTGGTCTTTTTAACAGTATTGTGGTGGCTGGTGAAGTAGACTTCTTTGAGGTCAGTCAACATCACGAAAACTTGCATGATTATGAATTGCGGACATTCTGAATAGATGCTATGAAGCGATTTGATTCTCATCATATTCTTCATGAACAAGAAACGTGATATATCAGCTCTCTTTATTCTAATTGACATTGGCTATGAGTTCTGACTTTGAAATCTTCTCGGGCCGTACATTTTCCAGCCAGCTTCATGAAAAATAACAGGATAATCGAATCCAACTTACTTCGGATGAGAATACTAGTCCTTCTCCGATCTTCTCAGATTCCAACCTACCCAGCACCGATTCCAACCTACCCAGCCGATCGAGGGGGACCAGTGTGCGCTTGTACTCAACAAAAATTGCTGAGATTGATGAGTGGGGCACACAGTTTATATTCAATCTGTTGTTATTTTCTGCTGACCAGGAGATTGCGTGCGTTTGCTCTTTTTTCTCTTTCGGTCGTTTTCCTAGATTTCCTGCTACGTATATACATCTACCTCCTCTAATTGACTAAAAATCATGTGATTCGATAATTACACTCGATCTAAATATGCTCACTGCCAGCTTAAAATCTTTAGGTAATTTGTCAAAGTTCCTTGCCCTTCTTGTTTGACACTTCTGAAATCAAACGACGATTACTTTCAAACATTGAGAACTTAATCATTCTCCATCAATCAAGGAATCTTTTTGTTTGTATGTCTTTATACTCACATGGGAGTGAAGTAGTGAGCGATATTCTATCTTGGGTAACAACACATGAGCTTGTAACTAGGTACGTAGATACCTCACAAACACCACTAAGCGCGGGTGCATCTTACAACGTGTTGTCGGAATTGAGGTATGTTCTACTTCTCTAATTATCAAAAGTACTTCACCAATAAAAGGCTGTCACCGTGGTCTGAATCTCTTGGAATTATTACATGTCGTTGAAAGACCGAGGCACGTGCACTAGCGCTATATATCTCTAGCGCTTCTATTTTCACTCCCAGTTCTAGAGCTTTAGATTTGGATTCAATGCACTCAATCTACATACCTAGTCATAATCATAGTCTATATCACATACATTCAACTAACCTGCTTCCTTAATGGGATATATATAGCCATACATGAAATGCCCGCCCCTTCCAAGTAATCGCACAGCAAGTGAGTCACACCGACGCTCACATGAATCTCCCGTTACAATTCGTGACTACTTAATACTTACTTCCTCCCATCAAGTACTCCTCACCCTCTCTTCTAAATCAAAAATCGCATCAGTCAAATAATAAGCCGCCAGGTTCTTCCTCATCAGATTTGATGTTGATATCGTGGATTCCTCGCTAATATTATCGATGAATAGACTTGTTATCACGAAAAACGCGGCTTCAATCGGGGGTTTGGCCTCGAGCTTTGGCCCATGATAATTTGTTATCTTCTACCGTATCTTCTACCGTGTAACAACCAATTGCGTCTAGAGAATGATTACTTTCTATCATCGATTCCTCGGCGCACTCAACTCCTGCCTATTTTGTCTAATATATTGGAATAATTCATTGATAGCTTTTCTTCGAAAATGGTTTAAAATCGACGATCTCGAGTCATTTCATGAACATTTATCCAATGACTTTCGTGATGTTACCAACCCGTTGGTGCAGAGCTCGGTTGATTTGCGGCTTCCTGGTCGTTTTACCCCACTATTGCGAACCATATCAGTGTCCTCCTATCTTGCCTCGAGCTTGCTTGCATGCATGCATGTAACTTCATTAGCATTCAAGTTCCGTCTATGAATGTCGCTGCAAGGTATCTTGTGACAGTTTCCTGGAAGACTGTAACAAGAATGTCTGTACACTTCCAGGATAAGTGGCAAAAGTGATGGGTATCGGGTAAACGGATGGTATATGTTTTCTGTGAAGGTGCAAAGAGCAAGTGCTCATTCCGGGAGTCGTCAAGGGTATTTCAGGTTCTAAGCCATAATTCTTTGCCCCTCGGGTTCTTATCTCTCAGCAGGATTAGTTACTTGAATTTTGAATGCAGAGGGCATGGTTTACCGAATCTATCGAAAATTGTAGATCTTCGGGTAGGCTACCTATTTGGACCAATACATCCACTCTTGAATGATAATATCCACGAGTCTTTGAGGTTCTCGATATCTCGTATGCATTAGAAAAGCGTGTAATCTGATGGTTGCAACCATTTCAAATTGCCGCTGTGATGCAAGCCCCTCAATCAGTAGATAAGGCTTTTGAGATAACACAACGGCGGGGTATATAAAGATATATGGTAGAAGCAATCCACAAAAGAATCTTGTATTCAAGCTATCGTTGAGATTGTGTATTCTTCTTTACTCGCAGACTTGTCTGCATTATGGATACTATCAATGTACATCCAGGAGGAGGGGACTCTGCATCTCAAATTTCCACAGGGTCCCCCATTTCCGACAAAAAGGCTGCCGATATTGAAATTGAAGCCATTGACTCAAACGAATTCCAAGATATCTCTGACGAGAAAATCATTGTACCTGGAGAAAATGATGTCTTTATAGATCCTCGTCTCAAAGATTATCCCATTCCATTGGTGGCCAAGACAGTTGACTTGCACAATGACCCTACGTAAGTTCTTGCTGCAGTAAAAGTATAAAGGTTTAATACTGATACTTTTATTTCTGTTACAGAGAACCGATTCTTACATTTCGATTCTGGTTTTGCTCTACATTTTGGGTTGTTATTGGATGTGGAATCTCTTCATTTTACTATTTCAAACCATATGCCATGAACCTCACGAGTTATGCTGTACAACTTCTCTCATGGGGTATGGGAACTCTAATGGCTGCTTACCTACCAAAAAGAGTCTTCAATACCTTTGGTTACAAATGGAGTCTCAATCCAGGACCATGGAATGCAAAGGAACATGCTCTCGTTGTGGTAGCTTATTGGGGAAGTGTAAGTGTACCTTGACAGCCATTTGCTTTGATCACGCTGACTCCAAAAAAGTGTTACACAGCATATGGTCTCGGTCCACTTTCAGCAATGGAGTTGTACTATGGACGTAAGATGAATCCTGGTTGGGGAATTTTGTTTCTCATCACCACTCAAATGATTGGATACGGATTCGCAGGACTCTTTCGTGATATCCTTGTTCGACCTCCAAATATTTACTACCCAGGAGTGTTACCAAACGTATCTCTTTTTAATGCTATGCATAAGAATCCCGCAGTTACGAAGAAATCTCTCAAATTCTTCGCTATTGTGGCTTGTTGCGCATTCTGTTATGAGTGGCTTCCATCAGTTATTTTTCCATTGTTGAGTTCCATTCCGTTGATTTGTTATTTTGGTCATGGAAATTGGAAAGCATATTTAATGGGTTCAGGTTATTATGGTTTTGTAAGTTCTCATTTCTAATGCGATGACCATAATGTACTGATGATTACTTCAGGGAATGCTCGACATCAGCTTAGATTGGAACTACGTCGCCTTCTGGTCACCACTCTATACACCACTCTGGGCAAATGCAAATCAATTTGTTGGTGCAATGCTAGCCTGTTGGTTTATATACCCTCTTTTATATTTTACCAATACTCTCAATGCCTTGAACTTTACAGCTATGGGATCTGGTACATATGATAGCACTGGCGCCTCTTATAACATTTCTCGAATCCTCAATCCGGATTATACACTGAATCAAGAAGCAATGGATGCTTATTCTAAGCCATACTGGTCCGCATCATATGCTCTTCAATTCTTCTTTGGCTTTGCTGCATCAACTGGTGCTATGGTATACGCTGCTTTATGGTATGGTAAGCCTGCTTATCAAGGAATGAAAGATGCTTTCAGAAATCGAAGAAGTAATTATGATGATCCTTATCTCAAGCTCATGGAAGTATTTCCTCGCGTTCCACATTGGTGGTATGGAATACTCTTGGTTGTTTGTTCTGGACTTGCCATTGGTCAACTATATGGAGGAGAAATGCAGCTTCCTTGGTGGTAAGTCTCTTTAAGTTTAGTCCAATATTTCATGCCGACTAATTGGTTAATGTAGGGGATTTATCATCATCTCAATAATCTCATGTATATTCACATTCCCAAATGGAGTCTTATGGGGTGTCGCCAATATGCAAGTTGGAATGCAATTTTTGTCAGAAGTCATTGCTGGAGCCCTTTTCCCAGGAAAACCTCTCGGAGTTCTTACATGTATGGTCTACGGTCGACAGATCTTGGAACAAAATCTTAATTTGATCTCGGACTATAAATTTGGTTTCTATATGAAAATTCCAGAAACCGAAATGTTCATAGGTCAGGTCTATGGTACACTTTTGGGCCCCTTTATCAATTATGGCATGATGAGTAAGTTCCAACGTCTTTCCATCTAGAAATACTATAGCTAATTTACCATTTCTAGGATTTATTATCAATTCTGAAGGTCCCAAATTGACCGGCGCCGTTGCTTCTCAAGCTTGGAATGCTGTTAAAACTCGGAATTACTACTCCCTTTCCGTAATCTGGGGTGTTCTTGGCCCCAAAATATTTTTTGGCGAAGGTTCTATATACTCTTGGGTTTATTATGGATTTTTCGTAGGACCTGTGCTCGTCATTCTCACATACATAGTCCATAAATGGAAACCTCAATGGAAGGTTGAAGAGAGATTCAACCCGACATTGATTTGTTTTGGAGCTACCTGGTTTCCGGTTTATCAAACTACGAATTTGATGACTAGTGCTGCTGTTTCAGTATTCTTGTATGTATTATTCCTCATATCCTTTCCTCCCTCGAAGTAATTTGCATACTAACAATCGAGAAGCATGGGCTACGTATATCGCTATCATCCCATCTGGTTCAGGAAGTACAATTACCTTCTGGGAGTTGGTCTAGATTGTGGCACACAACTTATGCAAACGGTCATGGTATTTGGACTTAATCTTCCTAATGCGACATTTCCAAATTGGTGGGGAAATAATGCAGTCGCTATTGATAGATGTTTTGCACCAGGAAATATTCCAGTCAATGCCATGGGTTGAGGCAAGATATAAGGGTTCTTTGGCTAAGAGAGGATGAACTGGAAGATCTTGAAAGGCTGGAACAAGGTACAAAGGTTTTTGGAAGTAATTAGTCGATTATCCGTATAGAGTTTTTAAATCTTCACCCTTTCAAAGCGCGAACTTCAAACTCAAAGTTTCAAACTCAAAGTATACTCATCACGGACGTTGCTAAGTAAAACTTTTGATAACATTGTATCTTTCAAAAAGTTTCTCTCGGTTAAACTTTGGCATCTATTCTATAATTTGATCCCACCACCAGAGTTATGTTTGCCACAAGTGGGGGGAGGGGAGATTTCAGCGCGGGTATGAGGGGTTGCGCACGGAAGTTTGGTTAGTTGCCAGGCCAGGGCTCTGGTTTGTGCCTTCTCGAATAAACTCAAAACTATTCAATAATTCATTTAATAGATGAAAGGAGCTGATTATCAAATGTTATGTCTTCGTGGTTTGTTGGATATCTGTGACCTGCAATTAGCTACAAATCGCATCATTTTCTATAAAATTAACGAAAGCTACAGAAGCTCGCACGCGACTACTCAAAAGAGGTCGGGGACCGAAAGATGGCCTGTGTTCTATTTCCTTCTAGAAGCTAAATTATACAGATCCACGAAGCAAATCTATTAGATTTGGTCACATCATCAACCAGACTTATAGGGAAAGATTGAACTAACTCATTTCCAAAATTTTCTTTACCTACCTGCCTTTTTTTATCAGTCACATCTGTGCCTCTACTTTGCACGGGCAACATCACTTATCTCTTCCCTCTGCCCGATCCATTACCTCTGAACCCCACGAACATCGTACTGCAATGTGATTTCAGCCTTTCACTATCAAGCTAGAATACCATGTCCCTTCAAAGTTACGTCTGTGCTACTAGATTCTTTAAAAAAAACCAATCAATCTCATTCTTTTTGAGCTCACTCATCTGCCAAGATATGAATGTCAGCTCGGATAGATTAGATGAATGATTAGACAAGATAAGTAAAGCCAAAATAACTGTTGGAATATCCACCCACTGATAATTGGGAAATTCCCAGATTATCTTAATCAATACATTAAACGAGTATTCTATTTCCAGATGTGGAAAGTCCTTATCAACTCAGCAGATGTCGATAACAATTCGACCTTCTTATTGTGGAGAGTAACTTATCATCCGGCTTGGCTATCCGGCAGGATGTAACCTAGCCAAGCCAAAACGTTTGTCTAGTGTGTATGAACGGCTGATATCCCGTTGTGAGAGGTACGATACAAACGATTGATAGTGTGATATGAGATTCGTGATCAGCTAGGCGATTGAAGAACTGATCGGTTCCTGTTGAAGAGTTATGCCAAGGGCTCTTCTTTGTGCCTACAAACGTACTGTAATCACATGCTGTCTGAATCAAGAGTGATATTCGGGTGGACATCTTCAAATGACAGCCACATTTTTGACCAGCGGAATTACCAGAAAAAAGTCGTGTGGTCGTAGTTGGGTCCGTGGTAGCAACAAGCATTTAGTGCTGGGTAAGGTATCTTTCACGGGTAATTAGAAAGGTCTTGGAAACGAGACGCTTTCGTTTTGCATTAGATCCACTTATCCATGCGCATGCCGACACACTGACTAACATTCTCAATCTGGACGGACATGCCGTGAGATAACATGATTTTTTAATCGCCGTTGCTACCCCCCGGGTAAACATCTACAAGGAAAGTTGTCGAGGAAAATGATCTCAATGGCTATCCCACCTATCACTTCATCTGAATCTTTACACCGATATATATTTTTCATTTCAGATCGCCTCTGACTTCAGCATTGTATCCGGAAGTATCCGAGAGAGTCCCAAACTTTCACCATACCAATGTGATCCAGCCAAAACCTATCCAGAGAATAGCCCGAGCAAATATTCATACCCAGCGGTAGTGTAGGGTTTGGCGCCATCCAAATGGTAACAATTCATGCAAATGACTATAAATTCAGTTAGTATCGTCCGATGGAACAATATTCCATGTTTATTCTTTTCCAAAAGAACCATTTTCATGTGGCAAAGTACTTTGGATTCACAAAGTCAGTTGGGATTCTAGTAAAGGCGTGCGAGGTGGCCACAATCACACAAGGATCTCACTTGCCTAATCGTGCTGGCACGAGATATGGTTTCTGTATTCCGCAACACCAAGACTTTTATCTTGCATTGGCAAACATGGGTATCACCAGAGGGCTGGAAAGACACCATATATGAAAGAGTGTGCAACGCTCTTTGAAGTTTCTATTAGTGTCTCAAATAATCATTTTACTTTCAGCCGCCAACAGGTTGTGACTTTCCAACCCAAAGTCAATCATAGTCAATCCGATAATATGCCAGTTGCTAATACTGACATATCGGTTGTTGGAGCCTTCAATCCTGTCGAGGGTCATATAGTTTCTGTTCCAACACATCATGAAATCGACGAGAAGCTACGTATCTCGGCTGATAATCGAGAAATCTCCAAAGATACGTTAGACATTGACACTAAGGAGTTGTCTGATAAATCTAGAGATGACGATAGCGACGATGTCATCATTGTTACTGGTGCGGACGCAGCTGCTCACTTGTTACCGCTAAGAGATGATGGGCAGCCAGCGTTGAGTTTCAGAAGTATCTTCTTGGCCACTATTCTATCGGGATTCCAGGCGGTGATGTACCAGATCTACTCTGTAAGTAGTAACTTCTACTGTCCTCAGTATTGACAAAAGCTGATCTTTACATTTAGTTCAAACCAACTTCTCTGGGAGTTATTCAAGGTACCTTTATTGTACTGATTGCCTACTTCTTGGGAAAGACATGGGCAAAGGTACTTCCTCGCGGTGACAAATTTGAGGCTCGTTGGAGAGAAAGAGGTGGACAAGGCAGTATACCATTACACATCCGAATCATCTCCTTCTTCAATTATGGACCATGGAATCTCAAAGAACACGCCATCTGTGCCATTACTGCCACATCGGCATCCAATGCAGCCGAAACCATCACAGTCTTCGCCGCTCAGAATCTATTTTATGGATTACCTCTCAGTGCTACCACTGTTATATTGGCAGTTATATCTATTGGCCTATTTGGATATGGACTTTGTGGAATGCTTCGCCCAATCATGGTTTGGCATCCAGAGTCTGTATACTGGAGTACACTACCCACAGTAAAAACACTTCAAGGACTTCACTGGCAAGATTTGAAACATTCCAAGCCTCTCAGATACTTCTGGTATGCATTTGGAAGTATGTTTGCTTATGAATTCCTTCCGGCATATATCTTCCCTTGGTTGAATTCTGTTTCAATTCCATGTTTGGCAGCTATGAATGCTACTGGAAGCAAGGCGGCAACACTTACCAATATCTTTGGGGGTGCGACAAACAATGAGGGCCTGGGACTTCTTACCCTATCATTCGATTGGCAATATGTAAGTCGGAGACTACTCGTGATTTTCATTTGAGATTGATGTAAGGAGAAACTAATCAAAACCAATTGCTAGATCACATCTTTCAACACTTCTCTTCCTCTCAAGACCCAAGCTCATAGTTTATGCGGATATCTTGTCTGCTTTGCCGCCATGCTTGGTATTTACTATACCAATGCTTGGGATTCAAAGTCACAACCATTTATGTCAACACAACTTCGTTCAGAAAATGGCTCAAGATATCCAACTGGACAAGTCTTTACCAATGGTGTACTTAACGATACTGCTCTGGAGGAATTCGGCAATCCAAGTCTAACAGGAAGTTTTGCGTACGCTATGTTCATGGCGAATGCTGCTGTAAGTATTTGTCTCATAGGGTCGTCTTTTCCTTTTCGAATGCTAACTTGACCCTGTAGATCGGTGCTCTTATTACTCATTGTTTTGCTTTCTGGGGTGGGGATGTCATTCGAGCATTCAAAAGCGCAAAGGCAGGAACTTACGAAGATCCACATCATGCTCATATGGCTAGAACTTATAAAGACGCCCCATGGTGGTGGTATGTTGCTGTCCTGGTTATCAGCTTTGTTCTTGGCCTCGTCGTTGTTATCAAAGAGAATATCACTCTCCCAGTCTGGGCGTATATCGTTGCTTTATTGTTAGGATGTTTCATCGCTCCTTTGGTACGTATATCTCGACCAGGTCTCATCCGTACGACATTCTAACCTTTTTGCAGAGTAATCTTCTATATGCTCGATACGGAAACGGTATTGCCACAAACAACTTGTCAAAGATGTTGGCGGGTCTCATGCTTCCTGGACGCCCAGTTGGAAATATGTATTTTGCGGCTTGGTCACATAATGTCATTGCCAATACAGTCAATCTTTCCAATGACCTCAAATTAGGCGAATACCGTAAGTATCCATAACTTTCTATTGACCAACCACAAACTAACTTGTCAATCAGTCAAAATCCCTCCTCGTGTCATGTTTCTTACTCAAGTATACGGTACTATCTTGGGAGGTTTCGTCAATTATGTTGTGATGATATCCATCGTGAATGGTAATCGAGAACTTCTCTCCACAGGAAATGGTAATAGTTCATGGAGTGGTGCCACTATTCAAGCTTTCAACACCAATGCAGCTTCTTGGGCTTTGGCAAAACAACTCTATAAGTCGGGAGCAAAATACTCCATTGTCCCATTGGGTTTGGTGGTTGGTGCTGGAATTGTTCTTGCTCATCGTATCGTCGTATTTGTAAGTACTCTCTCGTTTTTTCTTCTCGTCCTCTAGTCCCACCCTCTGGAAATCACTTACTTATTAAAACTTCAATATAGTTCATCCCTAAGATCCGTGGTTTTGCCCTAACGGAAATCAACATGCCTCAATTCATTCAATACGCTGGATACATTCCCTACAACCAATCTCAAACCTGCGTAATTCTCAGCCAAGTGCTAGCAGGGTTCTTTACCCAATTCTATCTCCGTAATTATCGACCAAATATCTTCAAGAACTATTCTTATTTGGTTACTGGAGCTTGGGATGGCGCGAGTTATACTGTGCTTTTCATTCTGAGTTTTGCAGTTTTCGGAGCCGGTGGATTTGCGGCACCATTCCCTTCATGGTGGGGAAATAATATTAATGGTAATTATGATCACTGTCCTATTGCGGAGTAGATGGGGTCGGACTTTGAGAGAGCATAGGAAGGATTATGGGCGTCGACTTCTGGAAGACTTCGTTCAATGTCATGGGAGACTCTTGGGTGGTCCTCTTTATCCCGTACGCGTGGATTTTGATAGATAAACCATGGGTAGCAGGAGATAGACCTCCTTTTAATACAACTATGATGAGAATATTGCCTATACTTGTTGATTCTTTTCATTCATTCTTTTGTAAGTTACTACACAAGTGAAATGATCTTTATAAGCTCCATGTTTTATATCATCACAACAATATCTAGGTGCCTAGGCGTAAGCGTACCGAGTGACTCACTTGCCGATGTTCGGATATATCCGGTGATAAGGGGTTCGGATACGAGTCATGAAAATAAGTAAAACAACCGAAAATGACCTCGAAGCACCAGCGGGGCTAAATAAATGTAATGACCTGCAGGACGGAAGGACTGGAAGCCTAAAGTGTACTTTTCGACTTTTGAAATCAATTCAATTTATTCTGCGAAATACCAAATGCTACTGATAAGATTTATTTGTAAGCACTCGTATGATTTGTAACATAATTATATATTTACAATAGATTCAATTATTCCCACCTTAACATAAAGTGATATTATTGAGTGGTTGGTGGCACCGCTTTTTTCATCCACATTCCCATAATTTGCGGGGTAGACAAACGCGGGGGCAGGAACCTTCCGTGGTTAAGTCGGATGTACCGGTATTACCTTGTAACTATAATGCTACATGTACAATGTATCATCTTGGATAGTGATAATGTTTTTTGTCCTTTTCTATTTTCTATCTTGACAGATCAATTAAATTGTTGTATTCTCTGTTCTAAATAACAATACGCACACAAAATGCCCATTTCCTCTCGTTGGCATCTCTCCATCCCTCCCATCTCCCTTCCATCCTACCTTTTCACTTCCTCCACTCATCCGCTACCAGATAAACCGGCGTTTATCGACGCTGCGAATCCTTCTAACCTTCTCACTCACTCAGATTTCCGACTCTATTCCCAAAGATTAGCTGCTGGATTAATTAAAAATGGATTACAACCAGGTGATCGAGTATTACTCTTTTCAAGTAATAATCTGTTCTTTCCAGTAATTATCATGGGAATTATTATAGCAGGAGGAATCTTTACAGGTGCAAACCCAGGGTTTGTGGAAAGGGAACTGGCTTATCAACTAAGTGATTGTGGAGCAAAGTTCCTACTTTGCGGTGAGGAAAGTTTGGAAGTCGGGATCAAAGCAGCGGGGAAAGCGGGCTTGGGGAGGGAGAATATATTTATATTTGAGGATGTCAGCAAGGATGTTGATGGGAAAAAAGACGGAATGGAAGGAATAAGGAGTTGGTGGGAACTACTGGAGAGTGAGGAGGTAGGGAGAAAGTTTCAATGGAAGGAGGATTTTGATCCAAAGGAAACGGTTTGTTGTTTAAATTATAGTTCTGGTACAACTGGTGTACCTAAGGGGGTGATGATAACGCATTATAGTAAGCTCTTACATTTTTCAAATCTCCATTCTTCCAAGTAAATATTGGCGAGGGTCGATATGGGACTGACAATAATACTATCCAGATTACGTTGCAAACTCGATGCAATATAGACATTTACATGAACTTCATCCTGAAACGCCAGAAAGAAATAAGAAAGCGTAAGCTTCCAAATCAAAAGTCGTTATACTTTACTAACATTCTTTACAAATAGAAAATGGTTATGTTTCCTTCCTTTGTACCATGCAATGGGTCAAACAATTTTCGGAGCTGTGGCGCCTAAACGAGGTATTCCGGTTTATATCATGAAGAAATTTGATTTCAGGAATTTGTTGGAAGCAGTGCAAAAGTATAAGATTACTTCATTGAACATGGTGCCTCCAATTGTTGTTGTTAGTATTCATTATCCAGTCACATAGAATGAAGGGCACGGAATTATGAACTAACATATGCGTAGATGCTCGTCAAATCGCCGCTCACTAAACAATACGATCTTAGTAGCGTGATTGATATGACATCTGGTGCTGCACCACTCAGTGGTGAAGTGATAGATGCGGCAGAGAAGCTGTGGCCAAGTGGGAAAGTCAAACTTGCTGTAATTTCTTCCCCATATTTGCTCTTTTCAATTATTCAACGGGAACTAATTATCAATCAAACAGCAAGGATGGGGAATGACTGAAGCGACTTGTTCTCTTCTAGGCTGTGATACTCGACATGATCCTATACCAAACTCAGTAGGCGAACTTAACGCCAATTGTCATGCGAAGATTGTGGATCCGGAGACATTAGAGGAACTCAAACAAGGTGAACGGGGCGAGATTTGGGTTCAAGCACCTAAGTAAGTAAATTCAATACCCTTAACAATCATTTCCCCCTTATTAGATTAATATTTCACATCACTCATCATACAGCACTCATCATACATCACACAAATCATCTAACAAATCAAAGTATAATGAAAGGCTATTGGAACAAACCTTCTGCCACTCAGGAAACTCTAATTGATTCTCCATCCGGCATCTGGCTTCGTACGGGAGATATCGCTTACGTCGATTCTCAAAACCATTTCTTCATCGTTGATCGAATGAAAGAACTTATCAAAGTAAAGGGTAATCAAGTAGCTCCTGCGGAATTGGAAGCACTATTACTAGAACATCCAGAGATTGCGGATGCAGCCGTGATCGGAGTAATGATCGGAGATGGAGAAGTACCCAGGGCTTATATTGTGAAGAGTGGCGGGAGTGGAAACAGACTAAATGCGGAAGAAGTGATGGAATGGGTGGAAAAGAGGACTAGCAGGTTCAAGTGGTTGAAGGGCGGTGTGGAGTTCGTAGAGACAATTCCCAAGAATCCAGTGAGTTGAAATCCTCACTCTAGGACGATCGTCTAAAGGGGTCCCATAAAGTACAAGTACTAACGGGATTTCAGAGCGGGAAAATATTGAGGAAGTTATTGAGAGAGAAAGCAAAGGAAGAGATCAGTAAGAATAACGTTAAAGCTCGACTTTGAGACTCGGTATCTTGGGAAAAAGATTTTGGCAAATTGATAAACGTAATCTCAAAAATGAATCAATAAAATTAATTGAAGACTGGTTTACATATTCCTGCGTGCACCTCGAAAAGCACTTTCAAAATAATCGACTGGAGGGAGGTATGGGAATTTCTAAAGCCTTTGCTACCTCAAACTATCATATCCAAAGCAAATAATTAATACATGTTGTTTATGAACAAGATCACAATCTTTGAGGAGATTTCACACAACAAGAATCATTAGAGTCACAGGTTACGATAGTTTAATATTACAACGGTCAGGCTAGGGTTAGAACTAATTATACGAGTGTTTGGGAAAATCGCAAACATGACAGATATTATTTAATAGTCATGATTTCATATAAATAGTTTGTTACAAATACATATCTTGATGATTGCTCTATTGATGAATGGATTGAGCCATCCCACTTATCGTTTCAAGTACCGGGAAAGTCTCGGGTAACCCCTCTTCCCCGTGGGGTACTACTCAACCCCCACGTTTTCGGCTTACACGTAGTATGACGTGAAAGAAACTCCACTACTCCCTCATTCGTCCATTTCTTTCCACCAAACGAAAATTTCCCCGGAAGTATATCATGCGGACAAGACTATTCAGGAAATCCGCTGCAAAGTCCTAGTCGAAACATGCTTCGAATCCCGGGGTTTTTCCGCAATGGTCTTATTTCATGATCGCTTTCTACTGTAATACCCCGCGAACAATGGACGTCTACGCTCTAATTAGTGAAATGGCGGGTTAAATCTATGACACCCCAGATCATCGTGGTACGAGTAATGGCGTGGGGGTGGATTGAAAAGCGGGATTGGTTGACGGCAATGACTGATTACATTGCATGATAAAAAATCGATCCACTTGCTGTTAATACAAGTAGATGTGGAAGAATGAATTAAAATCCATTTTCCCGCTCGTCGGTTGATTGTTTTTGATCTCTGTATCTCTCCTAATTAGCAATTATTTTTTGTATTGTTCTTTACTACTGAAAGACATATTGGACGAATTGTTTTTGGAATAGTCCATGAGAATTAAAAACAATTCCCACGATGTCCGCATCTCACACTCTTGGGTCATCAAGCATCAATTCTCACAATATCATTGAAACATCAAATTCACCAAAACCGTCCCGTTATCGTCAATTCATCGATGATCTATCCATAAATCGCAATGCATATTTTCTCACAGTAGTCGCCTCATTTGGCGGCATGTTTTTCGGTTGGGATACCGGACTTATTGGTGGAATACTTACGATGTCCTCGTTCAAAGATTCCTTTGGACTAAACGAAGGGTCCTCAAGTTACACTAATGTTTCGGGAAATATCGTTTCTGTCCTGCAAGGTGGATGTTTTTTTGGTGCTATGTCCAGTTTTTATATTAGTGATGTTTTTGGGAGAAAAAAAGCATTGTTTGTAGCCGATTTCATCTTTTTGGTTGGTTCGATCATTCAAACTACCAGTGGAATTGGAACGACGAGTTTAGGACAACTTTATGCTGGAAGATTTATTGGGGGGTTTGGAGTTGGATTGGTGAGTGCGGTTGTGCCGACTTACATTGGAGAGAATGCTAGTAAGGAGATTAGAGGAAGATGCGTGGGGTGTATGCAATTATTCAATGTGTATGTATCTCCACATCATCGTTTTGGAAAGTTGATGCTAACAAATCATAGAACTGGTATCATGCTCGCCTACTTTATAAACTTTGGCATGAACAAAAACATAGCCGGCAATAATCCACTTAAATGGCGGATTCCTTTCGCTTTACAAATGCTTCCCGGTGTATTTCTTGGTCTAGGACTCTTCTTCCAAAATGAAAGCCCTCGATGGCTCGTCGAAAAAGATCAACATGAAAAGGCTCTTCATGCACTTTCCCGCGTCCGTCGTCGTTCTCCTACCGATCCATTGATTCAACGCGAAATCAATGAAATTATTGCCGATTTTCACGGAAAAGAGAAACTAACTCTCCTTCGACAAATGAAACTTACGATTTCCAACAAATCTTCGTTCTATGCTGTTTCTTTAAGTGCAATCCTCATGTTTTGGCAACAATGGACCGGGACAAATAGTATCAATTATTATTCTCCACAAATATTCGAAACAGTTGGTCTGAAAGGTACATCTGCGGGACTTTTTGCAACCGGAATCTACGGTGTAGTGAAAGTTTGCATTACTGCACTAGGACTCATGTTTGCGACAGAGCAAGTTGGAAGAAAATGGTGCCTGATTGTAGGAGGATTAGGACAAGCTTTTGCTATGTTCTATATTGGTATAAACCAAGCTGTCAATCCTCCAGTTGACGGAGCACCCTTGAACGGAAACTCCATCTTCGCAATTATCTGCGTCTATCTCTTTGTGGTATTTTATTCCTTCGGCTGGGGACCCATTCCATTTGTTCTCAGTTCTGAATGTTCTCCCAACCATCTACGCAGTTTTAGCATGGCACTTGCTATTGCAGTACAATGGTTATTTAACTTTGTCATCTCGAAGATTACACCGTATATGCTAAGTGGGATTACGTATGGAACATTTTTACTTTTTGGCGGATGTTGCATATTGATGACTATCTACGCGGTTATTTGTGTTCCGGAGACGAAGAATGTCCCACTAGAGAGAATACATACGCTCTTCGAAGGAGAGATCATAAAAGAGGCATGCAAGGATACGATACCTCGATTGAGAAGATCTAACATGTTGAGGGAGATGAGGAGGGACGGAGAAGATGATGATTTGGGGAAGGGAGATGATAATTGGATGAGCGTACATGTCGAGAGGGTGGATGGAAGGGTTTAGAAGAGAAACGAGAGGTATTAAATGATGAGAATGAACTTGGTTAGAAAGTATATATGAGAATATTGGATGAAAACTTTTGCGTTCTCGAACATGAAGAAAGGCCGGTATATCAGTGTGAACCTCACCCTCTGGGAACGTCTAGAACAGTTCTCCACATCTCTGGAAGAAACACAATTTATGATTCTGTTTCAAAATATATCATGCAGAGCTACTTGTTACATCTTATGCTACATCATGAGAGCAATTTCGGTCGTCTATACTCATCCGATACATCATTGCAATCCGCGGAGATGATTCACAGACCCAATTACCATTCTAAAAACGTCATAGATACGGTCAATCCTGGACAATGATACTTGGCCATGCAGTTGAAGCAACGAGAAAATTAAATAGCATTACTCAAGATAAATGGGTATATCCTTGAACTAAAAGGTGTTGGTTCACTACTCGCTTTCCAACCTACAGACTGCGAAAGATCTATCGAAAATCAACTGAAGACGATGTGTCTTCTATGTTGCCAATTCTCAAAGAACTCATTTATTCTCCACAAGAGCTCCTTCAAGGTTTCCTCCCATATACCAAAACCCTATTACGACATGTCAGCTTATCATTTTCATTGAGTAAAGGGAGAAACATAGCAGTAGACTATTACATACCCCTCGGAATAGCAATGGATTTCAGTGTTTTCAATATCTGCTCTCACCCCTATCAAAAGCTCATTTACCTCTTCTTTTTCCATTCCCAAGACTCTTGTAAAAAGTGCCATACTCAAACCTTCCAGGCCCATCAAAATATTTCTCTGTACCCATACGCTCAAGACTTTATTTCTTTGACCTTTTGCCCATGGACTCATTGGTGCATATTCCTTTCTTTCCACAATATCAACAAACCCAGTTTCTTCCATCCACTTCTGATAATGTGCTCCATTTGTCCAAGGGCGCCCAGCTTTTGTAGAAGCTTCTACTATCATATTATTCCATTTAACTAGTGCACAATTCTCCGGCGGCGGCGACGCATATTTGAAAGGAAAGATTGGATCTCGAAGTTCAAGGTATCCTCCCGGTGCTAGAGCTTGGAATGCCGATGCAATGACAGTTTTCGGACAACGGAAGCAGGATAACAAGGCGCGGCCGTGAATCAAGTCGAACTTTAAGTCGTCAAATGTCCATGGATCTTCAGCGTCTTCGATTCGGAATGAGCAGTTCGTGGGGATACTAGCTTCGGGTAAATATCTTCGGAGAATTAAAATCTGAGGAATTTTGATACCTACTAATGCGGCTGTATGGGGCTAAGATCAGTACCAATCACCGTTGATTTAGGATATTCATCTGCTACGTATTGTTAGAGATGTTGTTAGGAATGTTCCATCTCAAGATTCAAGAAATTACCGAATTCAACTGCCCAGATACCAGTTCCAGTAGCAATATCCAACACATTTATTGGTCGATCCGTGTTGATTGGCGATACAAATAACTTTCCATCAATGCTCATACGTAGAAATCTGTGTTGAAATTCTACGCAATCATCAGAACAAACTATCTCGGCCGTGAATGGTACGTAAACACATACCAAGTCTGTTTTGTTCTAGCTGAGTGTTGCAGATTCTATCAGCCAATGCCATTTCACAAAATGTTACTAGAACTTACTGCATCATTGGGTAGCGGATATTCTGTTCCATGAATCATTAGCTGCCGTTGTCAGAAATATAATTTCATCGGTTATCACTTACGACCATGTTTATAACGATGATACGTTCTTCCATTCTCTTCAATATGACGATAAAATTCCGATTCGACTGTGAAGTTAGAACTCCTTATGTATCGTTAAATCCAGTTTAAATCTTCGATATCAGAGTTCATTACCTCAAACTCATTCCGCCAAGAGCAGAATCAGCATCATTTTCTGACTGAAATTGATCAACTCTCAGACCCGAGCATTAGCTGGAAGATAACTCACATCTAACTCTGGTTCTCCTGCATCTACATATGAACCCAACTCCTCAACTAGATAAGAATTAGGGGAAGGAACCTTTGGCTCATTATCTGCCTCCATGATATGATTTTGAACAAATTACTTTTTGGTGAAGACCAATCGAAGATTTCCAGAATTTCCAAAAACAATGATAGATCAACTGTCAAAAGAAACGGCACTTTTCAAATCCACTAGTATTTCCACTTGACCCACAAATCGGAATGTGGATTCATCTTCCGGATGGAGACATAAGACACCTTACCATATTCAACGATAAGCGGGATGTGAACATGCACGGGATGAACGAAATAAGTTTCACACATAGGATTCTTTACAGGTAATTTCTTACTGTGTATATGTTTATCAAATGGTTCAGCGTTCTAATTTGGATCTAATGACAAACAAATAATGTACTCTCACCGTATCAAGTCAGGTTGGATAATAGAATACCTTTGATCTTAGAAATTCGTTTTGGCACGGGGCGTATTTCATCCATGCAGTCATGGCATCTCGGATATTAAATTAGTCAAGTGCAGAGGATCTGAATAGATGCAAGTTCGCTGCCTAGAAGGACGAAAATGATATGTGTTTGGTTTTTATTAGTGGATATATACCGAGGAGATGGTTTCTAGGTGGGGATAACTCAGGGGTTATTTATGGCACGTGCCAATGAGAGGTGAAATATTTTTACGAGCTGATGAGCTGACGTTTCCATTATGTTGGTTTTGTATGCGTGGAGTGGGGTTGTTATCGATATTGCAGAAATGGGACTAATAACGATTTGGGAAAGATGCAATTCTATGGATTGAAAATTCCATACTCTGATTTAAGATTGGTCTAGAAACTCGAGGGGTTGAGCGCGTGCGGAGGTCCTCTCATGTCTGTAGCATCACGATCTATTCATGGCATTTCCAAGTATCTTTTTGCAATTAACGTCAATAGAACTGTTGCGTCATTCTTTACAGACTACTTTTCTATTGAAAATCCATGCAATCTCTTCTCAAAACGCCTTGCATAAAAGCATCGCATAATGGCCACGACCTGCGCAACCGCGGGGTACCCTTAAACTCAAATAACACGAAAACCGTTTTAATAAAATGTTACGCCTGCGTATCTGTTTCCCTAGAAGCCAGAGAAGTTAGTTCGTCTGCTTGAAGAAATGGGAAATGTTCGTTTAGATTTGAAGGCTAACGAAGATAAAACTTAGAAGTAATGCCACCGTTGAAGTTTGTAACTAAAAACATCATAATTTACTCACCGAACTTGTATCACAATTATCAAATGATTGCCAACCAATAATTCGACCATCTGGCACTTTCGAGGTTATAGTTGGAAGAAGAAACCAGGTCTTGTACCAAACGGAGGAAGGGTAGTTACTCTTAGCATCATTGGTTATTCGTACTGAGATGTTGTGTACTAATGGTGTTTGTCGAGTATCAATTTTAGTGTCAATGTTGAATTTTAAACCAAGCTGGACCAAGATCTTTGCATTGGCATCGAGTTTTCTATCACAGACGTAAAAGTTGAAACCTTTGTTATCTTGAAGTATCTCATATACGTAGGTGCACGAGTTCGCAGGCGGTGGTACAGTACCATACCAGCAATTTACATCTTTCGTGGAAAGATCACGAACGGCAATCTCGGTCGATTTGGCACCACTGGTAGATGGAGTGAGTGCGCCAGAGCTGTAAGGGTGTGGAGCAGAGCTGCTATTGGAGATAAAGAGGCAAATAAATAAAAATAATGCTTGAAAAAGCATTGTGATTTTTCAAGGCGGTAGAAGGGCAATGTGGATTTCGACTTGTTGCCTATGAAATATTTCGTTGTGGGCGGATTTGATGAGGTCGATATTTTGGTATGAATATTTTTGGAGTAGACGAACGTGGGAAGCCAGTGCGAGATTCAAAGTATAAGAACTTAGTGGAGGTAATTGGCGGTCGAGTCATCACAGTCATATGAGGGAGGCTAATACTACACAATGGTGAGTCATGTCAAAAAGTCAGGTTATTGTGAAGATTCACCACAAGTAGGACGAAATATCACAAACCATCTATAAAGAGTGTATTGCGTCATACGTTGATTGGACCAAACAGCTTCTGGGATGAATAATGATATGGATCTGGACTAGTAAGAATGCTCCAGTCAAAGACTACCAACACTGAACCTCTCATCAATACAATTTTCGAAGATACAAAAAACTTATCATCCACCCCAAGGCTGGATAATTACACGACCTCCAACTAACAACCGCCGCCTACATGGCACAACATCTAAAGTCCAAGTCCGACATTCATCTAGTCTACGTTTGGGATTCTGAGACGAAAATGATGCTGGTTGTCAAGTATAGCCTCTAGTAGACTTGGGAAAGATCCTCATCTTCAGCACGCTTGTATACTTGAGAGAGATCCTCGTCTTCCGCTCTCTTGTAAACCTGCGATAGATCTTGATCTTCAGCTCTCAAAAAGGCAGCTGTCGTTGCATTACATGTCATGGATCTTACGACGATATCATATTTCCAGGACAAATTACTTCGTACTCAGAAGATCAACCACCACAAAATAAACTGTAATGTAACGGCGATGCTTATCTAATGACAAGCACGGTGTTTCTTTTGATGCAATAGGTTGTTCTCGAACAAAGGCAATTCTGTACAGTCACCTTACAGCGCTTACTCGGTGGCGGCAATTTCACCACTCACCCATCGGCTATGTCATGGTCCGATCTCGCTTCTACATCTCGCCCAGTAGCTTTGCAACCCCGCATAATTGTTTTTGTTCAAGTATGTCAGCAATATACTGCTTAGGAAAAACAATGATTGTTTGCAAGATGTTAGATTAAGGTTGGTAAGAGTGAGTAAGCTCTGGCTGTTGAATGAGCAGATGAAGTGCGCCACCCGTTCTCCACGTTTCACTAAGATTAAGTTCAACGATGCACATTGGAGCTATCAAAGCATGCTTATTCTATTCCCGCGCCATAGGCTATTCAGAAGTTAGTAATCCAGGTAAAGTGGTATGCGGAAAGTTAACTGGTGTCAGCAAGTGCGACTCGTGCTACTTTGTTTCGGTTATTCACCAATTTTCCTGCAGCTTATTGTTGATGACATGTAACTACTTTCACAACTATTTTGCGGGGAGGCCGGGGGGAAGGGGGGAGAGGTTTGCTACGGTCTCGCATTGCTGATATTTCTTTTATGCGGTGATGATACTACTTAATAAATTTATTGAGTAGTTTAACTAATAATCGTATGATTCTTAATGGCAACTTTCCTACGATCGTCGTGCATCTAACTCATTATGATGCGAAGTCATAATGCCATGTAATCAAGCTGCATATGATCAATAACATTTCTTCACAAGCCTAAGACTTCCCCTATGCGATTGAAATACTTCAATCTTCTTTTGAGCGATTTACTATGATGGAGACCCTGTATAAGAAAATTCGTTCAGTAAGAATCTCCATTCTTACTCATAGGTCTCTCTACAAAGATGAATCTTCCAATGAAGACGTTTCCAAATCATCTGAAGGACTACTCGAATCTAATGACAACGAAACTTTAGACTACGATATTAGACCACAAAATGAGAAGCAAAGAAGTTTGATGTGGGGAGTTGTGGTTCATTCTTTTATATTCGCGACGTATACTATTGGAATTTTTGCAGCGACTAGCATTTTTAGACATAGACCTGGGCCACCTACACTTGTATATAGCAAGTGAAACCTCTCTAAATATCTTCGGAGCTAGAAATGCTAATTTGGTGAACAGCACCCGCAGCAGAAGCTTTGGAATATGAGAAGGTTTTTTATAATGGTATACTTTTCGCAAGTTGTCTCTACAAGGGAGATCCTCGTCCGGTATGTGAGCATTCTTGGTTATTGTATCTTTATTTTAGCCACTGACCAGCACATACTGATTGATTTCATAGGAACTCGATCTTGCATGGCATAATTTAGTCAAAAATAATAATCTCCGGATTAGCAAAGGAGAGCTCGACACACTGGGTAGGACTGCGCTTCCTCTTGCCGATGGCTCTGGATACTATGGCCAATTGAATGTTTATCATCACTTGCATTGCTTGGTAAGATATTCCAAATTTCAGTTCCTCATGGTAAGGGAACGTAAACGACGTTAACTTTGGCAGAAATTCATGAGGGAAGCTTTCTACGCTGAGTATTATCCTGATGCCCAAGGCCCAACAACAAAAATGCACGTCGGTAGGGCTATCATTTGAGACTTGTCTTTAATTCATGATGAGACTAATATGTGGATAGATCACTGTATTGATGATATTCGACAAGCATTGATGTGTCACGCCGATACCTCCATAACAACATTTGAATGGGAAGAAGGTATCAGAAGACCTATGCCAGATTTCACAGGGTACGTATTTCTCTTCATTAACTGTTGCCACATGTTTTCCCTCGTTTCCGTATATTCCGAGGGCAGGACTAACAAAAATAGTTGGCACACGTGTAACAATTGGGAAAAACTAGACGACTGGGCCACTGCTCGTGCATTCTCAATGTTCGATCAGGTTTCCTTGATCAATCCTACTTATGGTGAGCCTCTGTTCTTTCATTTTACTTTAACGATTTGAACGATCTGTACATTTAAGAGCTGAGTTGTGAGTCTAATAATACATTGATAGGGATCGCTTTCCCAATGGTAAATGGAGCGATCGATTACACGCCACCTGGTCAGGAAGGATTCCGTACTGTCTGGCCTGAAGATTTGGGAGGCCACGTTCATGGTTGATGATGCAATTGGGGATTGCTAAGAAATTATAGAAGTTATTGATCAAGTCTTTTGTGCATTTAATTTTCGAATCCATCAGTATGAAGACTTCATGTATAGTCAAAAATTGTCAGAAATCACAATTGAAATGGTTCAAATGGTCCAGCTGAACAAAAATTCAGTAGAAACGAGGCATTTGAAAAAGCAACGAGTTTGATTATTATGGAAACGGCCAGAGCTAATTCCAGATTATCCTGGTTTCCCCCAGATTCTCATGCCACAACATGACTTCCGTATCACTCCGAACAACATCAACATCAAGATTAGACAATTTATCTCATGTGACAATCAAAAGGTGCAGTATGAATTGTCCTTGCATCAGCACGCGCAGGAGGATGCCAATATAATTCCTTTCCATCTGCCTTCATCTCAGGCTTACCATTCACGACACTTTTGATCGTGAACTTTGTAACCGGATCCGTTCGTCTGGAATCCGTTTCGAAATCAGCAAGTTTGGATCCTATGTCTAGATTTCTTGCACCACCGAGTCCGTCACCGCAGTTGTTATCGGTTACTTGGATGCTGATTGGATGAGGCTTCGTTAAATCGATGATGTATGCGATGGTACATGTTCCGAGATTTTCTGTGTGGCACCACTTGTATCCTTCTTGCCTAGGAGTGAGAGTTGAAGGTGTGGAAGAGGGGTGAGCCTCTGGAATGAAGAGGGCGACGGCAATTTGGAACATACTGGCTAGTAGAACCGCGAATGCGATAATGTACTGGTTATACATAGCGAATAATGCTTAATAAATATGTGATTTGAGGTGTTGGCTTCGAGAACTGTGGAGGAAATGTAAACGCTTTGAAGTTGTATCGATTCTTTTGAGGTTTAGAATGTGAGTTGATCTGTGGGCGAAAGATAAGTCTATGAGAAGCACTAAATATGGCCTTCTTTTAAAGATTCATACATCCGCATCGGATCATGGTGATAATTGATCAAGTAATTATTATTCACTACCTAGTTATGCCTTTTCTGCTCAACAAGTCACATTAATGTTCTCTCCTAAGGAAATAATTACCAAACATGTGCCAAAATGTGTTAAGAACCCACCTTTCCGTGGCTTTTTATCTCAAGAAAAGAATGCTCTCAAACGTGGGCAATAGTTATTTCGAATTGGAAGACGTTGGAATAGTGCATGAGTCCTTGGAGGGTATATAATAGTCATCAATGAATTCACGTCGCACTAAATGCTCGATATAAATGCTGAACAAAGATCACACGGCACATGGGAAACGATAATAGATATGTGAGACTTAAAGCATCTGCAGAGAAGGGTCATATCATGTAAAGCAACGATATTATTATTATCTCCAAACCTTCCATCAATGAAACACAACTGAATCTCCTTTCCTGCGTCGCATTTCCTCTAATATTTCCCAGGATATCTATGACGAGCACAGATATCTAATAATGATACCACGAATCACCATACTAGATAATGTAAAACATCTGTATGGCTCTGATAGCATCACAACTTCAGACATTTACTTCTTGCAAGGATAGCTAGCCACCCATATCAAATGATCACCGGCAGCTGGCCAGGTCTTGGCTACACGAGTTATATTTGTAACGGGCAACTGGTGACCGTCGATGCTCAAGACTGGAGCGTGTACGTCTCCTTTCAAAGGTCCGTACTTCTCAAAATTTAGTATGACATTGTTGTAATCTTCTTTCGCGGTATTTGAAAAGGTTGTGAAGCCGATTGCTTGATTGAGACCATAGTATTTTGTTGATTTCTCATGGTTGAACTTCTTCAGAGTATTGGCTGGGCATGGGAAAGCAAATGTGCCCACTTCAATAGGGGTGTCGTCTTTATGTCCAATATTCGTGATACCATACGCGACCATGCATGCACTTGGCTGCTCGGCGGACTTCGAACAGAACTCTGAATATTTAATATTGGTGATAAACGTCGAATCACCCCGGGATCCAAGTAAAATCTTCTTATTCGTTCCCGAAGAGGTGTCGAATCGATCGATGGCAGAAGCAAATGAGAGGGTAAGAACGCAAAGAATAGCAATAGCCGATGTAATGTGTGAGAGATGCATGTTGAAGTTTAGGTAGACGAATTATTGATGAAGTGCTTGATGTGTTTAATTCAAAAGCGTTGGTGTTGATATCTGTAGAGGTTCAAGTTGCTAATTTTGCTGTTTGGTGTAAGAGGGCTTGTAACTAAGTTGAAATGTTTTTGATTTTTGTTATCTGTAGAATTGAGTAGAAAGTATGTGAGAATGAAAAGAAGGTGGGGGAACTGAAGCTACCAATAGAGAATATTGAGTTTAATGAGATTTAGGCACTTGTGACTCGACATCTCAATGATTCGAAATCATGCTTGGTTGCTGATTAGTGATTTATATGATGACTGAATGATTCAGATTTTGGCCTTGCACTCCCACGGATTTGCAGTCATAAAGTATTTTTGTGACTCTTTATCCGAAGGATCAAATCATGCTGTTAATCTCATACAATGTCACCCATAGACCAATCCACAAGCCATATCTTTCAAGATTGAATGATGGCACAGTTTTGAGAGGACGGGAAGTGGGTCTGGAAGAAAAGCAGTCAATGACAGATAGCATCATCGGTGAGATATAAATGCGTATGTTACGAATTTGGACAGTGATAGAATGGCATATGAAGCGATCGTAGAAGCAGTATTCATCAGAGAAGGAAGAAGAATGGTCGTAGCGAGGTAAAGAGACCGGAGCGACATTGTGTGAGTTTGTGAGATCTGAGTGAATTCACAATGTTAGCTGACGAATCGGCAGTTAATCTCAGTAAATCCAAACGTATCCAAATGTATCTATGACAAAACACTAACTCTGCAAAGAATCTAGAGAACTGCAGTCTATTGTCTCAACAAACCAATCAAAGACCGTGTCAAAGTCTGTATACATTTCAACTACAATAGTTCACCGGGTAGAATTTTTCTGAATGTCCTTGGATTAGCTATATCATTTGCTTTAAGAATTTTTCATATAATTTTAGATAGCGTACTGTTTCATAGAGCGCACTGTACCCATCTTCAGTGTGAATATTGATCTTATATTCCGTTTAGTGAAGAAAGCCGTATATAGTATTTTCATTATTAATACAAATAGTACATTTACATAAATGTGCAGACCTTTGTGACTTTTCAAACAAGATATTGAATTGAAAATGTGAGTTGGTTTCCCAACTACTCTATAGTGCAAGTAAGTATCATTATAAAAGTCTCTTGAATGAGCTAAGATCCGTTCTAGACTGCCTCAGCAATGGGGAAACGATCATGTGCAGGATCATTTTTCCTGGATGCTAGTAATACGTCTTTTTGATATGAACCTTCTCACCAACTATTGAAAACCAAAAGAACTCAGCACATAAACAGACTTGATTTTGACATGCCCCTCAACTTCGAAGGTCATAGGCAAATCCGTCATTCAATCATTACTTTACATGAAAAGCTTGTGTAGTTGTAAGTGTAAAAATTTGCGGCAAGTCTGCGGATTTCAAGTAATCCTTCTTGACACAACACATTCAGATGAAATAGGCTGACATTGAATGGAAAAAGAAGCAGAAATAGCTTTTTGTTACAAACAAACATCATAGCTATGGTTTTCAGCTGCCATTCCCTTGGGATTCGACTTTCAACCCCACACAAACGAGCAAATGGAGTATCAATGGAAATGGCAAGCTCATCACCACTCAGTGTGGGCACTGAAGAATATAATCAATCTCAATTCATGAACAACAACGAGTTCAAAATTCAAACGCATGGTTCGCAACGATTTCTCGAGCAGTGTCATGTATGTGGAAGAGAAGTTGTTGCTGAGCATACTCTGGGAATGAGAAAGGGTATTGATGACTCAGCACAAGCTAGGGCCTGGTGGGCCACGCTTATCTTATCACAGCCCGCGTTCGATCCCTTGATGCTAACAAAGTTCAGGCTTGCCATCAACAAGTGTAACGATAGGACTGACAACTCATTGACCCAATCCGCCTTGAGCTCCATGAGTATTTCATGGAATATCACAATGTTATCGTGTGCTATGTGACGAACAGTACATGTGCTGAAGGTCCCTCGAAGAATTCATCGCGAACTATCAATTTTTAGCCACCCAGACACACCACTCACAGCCTTTCGATCCCGACTAAGAGATACATTTAACAACAAGGGATTCAATGGATGATGTCGCTGGATAGGGTGCTCGTCTAAATAAACAGAACAATGAGGTGGAGGGGAGGAACAGGCAGTGGTGTGCCGTATATCGACAATTTGGAAGCGTCGAAGTTGAAGTCGAGGTCAAGTGTCGTTCGGGGGAAACAGCCAGGAGAAAGGTGAGATAGGGGCTGAAGGGTGGATGTAAGACAATATTTGTGGAAGAATATATGTGCCGAGTGGTTGCTGAACCTGTAGGCCTTCAGGGTAGAGAGGGTTTCATCTTTTGGAATCAAGCATATGTCGTTAAGGTGTAGGGTAACGTCCTGATCTCGTTCATGGTCCTCGGTCACTGCTAGACGTGAAATCTTACTCCTTCCGCAACCGGTCGACTATGGATGCACTAATCATGCCATCATTTATAGAGATCATAGACAAGGGAAGACAATCATGGTAATGAATCGAAGAAATCAGGAATGTTGGGGGGTTGGTTTTTGGGCCGTTGGTCAACAGAAAGCAGCCAGGTAAGTGGTGGCTGCTAAAATTGTGAAGAACTTGCGATCTGTTTCATCCACTTCGATTTGTTATTTTGGTGGAAGTCCGCCCATTGGAAAATTGGACCATTGGATATTTTCGTCGTTTTTGGGTGTCTTTCAAAAGGCTTTGCCTCCTTCAACTTTGGTTTCCTGTCTTTTCTTTTTGCAATTTCTCCGTATGCGCCATATCCACTTTAAGGAGGTAGATCTTGATGCGAACTTCCATTTCGATAAAGCAGCAAAGCAGTCGATATGACCACTTTGGGCTCAATAGGGTTCAATTCATGAATATCACCAAGATGTAGGTTCGGGGCGCAAGCATTCGTGCTGGGGACTTTTTGTGTTATTTGAAATCAAAAGTTCACCTGAAATTTTACCTCCGACAGCAGACGTCGAGCTGATGTCCGAAGTGCGGTCTAGTCTAGGTGGCTCTACAGGTGTAGACTTTGAAGCTTAAGATCTCACTCTGGAAAGGAGATGTTCTTAAGTGCTCGGCAAATTTGACAACGCCCCACGGAGTAGTTCTTATTGAAGCTCAGTTCATCAGTTCCTCCGAGGGGATTGAATTCTATGGATGAAATTCAATGACCGTTTAATGGTATACATAGAAGTAAGAAAGACTGAATGAAAATCGTTTTGTCTGTCCAAGCTCTGTCTATGCTGAAAGCTCTCCACTGAAAGATGGACCAGGGACGCACGAATAAGAGTATTAAAGAATATTTTGATGGCACTTGAATTGCCATACATCTCCACAGAGTTTGTTGTTATGAGCTTGATAAGCTTTGTTTCACCAAAGAAATCTTTCAAAATAATTGCAACCTGGTTTAGGGCTTCATGCCGGTTCACAATATTATCTCATATGTCAGCAGGCATCTTTTCCTATCATTTTATAATTTTTATTGACTTTCTAACAATAAACTCCCACATCGTTAATGCGAGCAGGTGTTATAAACCCAAAGCCTCCATGGGCATCCTGTTTCCAACCACAGGTTCTCGACATCACGGACAAAAATGTCAGGATACCATGCAGTTTCTTGGGTGTTATCAAGTGAAGAGTCGGAAAACTCAGAAACAAGAAGAGCAAAAAGTCTCCTTCGGAGTATTTGATCGGACATTTAGTTTCTCAGTCCAACATCCGTTGTGAATCATGGTTACCTCCACCTTCCGTTGCTCAATTCTCCCTTCTTTACTGGAAGCCGAAGTCCTCGAAATCATCATCGTACTCGTAGTTGTCTAGGGCATGTTCTCTGGTTTGAGCACCCATAACACTAGGTGCTGGAAACTGAGCTTGAGATTGTAGCATTGGATCAATCAAGCTATCGGGAATCATTCTTCTGAGTTGGTTTGGGTGGTATGCATGATCAGTCGATCTAAGGACCTGCTCATCTTGTCCAGCTAGATGTGTCGAGAAGCCATTACCACCACTTGCCAATGGTTCATGTGCAGGATTCATGACAGCTTGAGGTGCCGATGTTCTGTTTCCATACATTGGCGCAGTTGGGCGTTGTGGAGGCTGAGGCGGAAAATTTGTAAATCCTTGGACTGATTCCACGTATGGTGGAGGAGGAACACTATTTCTACCGTAACTAGCTGTAACCTTTTGTTCGGGTCGACTATGGAACGATTCGGGGTGTTGGTTATGGCTGTATACAGCCCGAATTTGGTGTGCTCCGTCAAATTCAGGGCGACTGCTTTGGCTCATGGATGGATTTGCAGCGCCGGATGGAGGCACCGAGCCTAAGTCTCCATGTCGTCTCATCCCCGTGCCCATCACGCCATTTCCCAAAGAGGGGTCGGTATAATGGCCGCCAATATAATTATTGCCATAATTGCTGCCGTAACTATTGACATCGCCATAATGATCGCCATAATTATCACCATAGTTGTTGATGTAACTATTATGGATAGAGCCGCCGCTGGTAATTCCCTGGTTCATCTGGCTTGTCATGGGATTTGCATTGGAATATGGGTGGTTACCCATCCCACGATTAGATCTGTCGACTACAGGCATCGAACCGGCACATGCGACGTGGGCCAATCCCTCATTCATCCCTCTGGTTTCAGGATGTGATTCGAACCGATCGATTCCTAGCTTCACTTTTTTCGACTCGGGCTGTGGCTCTGCCTCCGACATCTCGCGAGCCTTCCTCTTTCCACGGAGCTTGGGCTTTTCCGTAAAGAGATCACGACCTGACTTTCCCTGGGTAAGACGGCGACTAAATCATGAGAGTAAGCACATATTCATCAATGAAATACATAGTATCACTGTAGGGACTTACTTGTTTAGTCTGTCCTTCTCCCAAACTTCGATGTGAATACCTCCTTTATAAGGCTTTTGTACCTTAGGCTGAGGTCTAGGCATCCCTGCCTTTTCAAGTGCATCTGCCTCGGCCTCTTCCTTCAATCTCTCCTCCGCAGCCTTCTTTCGCTGAGTTTCGAAGACATCACGTGGTCCCTCGTTTGGTCGGAGCCACTGATATTCCTCCTCAGTCATTCGAACTCTAGGTCTAGCGGCATCAGGTCGCGTCTCCCAGCCGGCTCGTTTCCTTGCAACTTGGCTAGCTTTACCACGTTGGCCATTTCCATCACGTTGAGATACAACATTGTTGCCGTCGAAATTTCCATTCGATAGATCAGGATTCCGATGCGGTGGTGGAGCATACGTCGAATCATCTCCACTCTGCATTTGCGTGTTCCGATTATACCCATCATGTTCTCCTTGGCCAGGCAATGAATGATGCTCAAATCTGTTTTGAGCGTCTCCAGCTTCATTCTGACGCAATTCTGTTTGCTGGACACTCAAAACAGGTGCTGATTCCCGAAACTCACTTGGTGGTTGAAATGTTGATCCCTGATGATTGCTTGCGCTAATTTGATCATGGTTCATTGGCGATGATTGTATGGGCCCCGCCGGCAGGAAATTTTCATCGTATTGATCGAAATTCCGACCTTTCGATGGATAATTCTTTTCAGTCCATTCGACCAACGAGTTCAATTGATCATCTGTTGTGACTTCATCTTTGGATTGAATGGGACTGGGAGTTGGATCTTCGAAGCTATTCAGGATACCGGTAATTTCTAATTGCTCCGAACCTTGAAGCACGGCATCCCGGGCAGGAGGAGCCTGCGAAGTTTGAGAACTAGCAATGTTCAATCCATCCTGGTTTGAATAGTTCGCGGAGATTTCATCAGCGATAGCTGGTCCAAAAGAATCCAATATTGCTTGATCTTCTTGGGTGAATTCAGGGACATTTCCTTCTACATTTAGTTCGGGAAGTCCATCAGAATCTGCTTGGGTCCCCATTGCATCCGCATACCAAGAGTTTTTCTCCGCCGGAATAGTTTCATCAGAGGGATTCAAGAAATCATCTTGTAGTTCTTGAATTAATCCAAAGTTTTCATGACTTGGAATATCGGCAGGTGGTGGCGTACCAGCGGTATGTTGCTCACTGCTTGTCTCATTCGCAGAAGTCGACAATGTCACAATCGGATGCTGCTCGTCAATTGTGAAAGGAAAAGCATTTAGATCTAGGTTTGAATCAATCGCGTTGAATTGATCAAAGTCTTCGTCTTGCCCCTTCCAATCACCATTGAACATTGTCGTGCCTTCAAAATCATAGAAAGATGAGTGTTGTGCTAATTCTGCATCGGCGAGGGTTGGTGCAGGTGCAGTTGCAGTTGCAGGCGCAGGCGCAGGCATGGATCCTTGGATCCTCCTTGATTCATCGAGATCTTTTCCGCCAACCTCCTTCATGGTCTCGAACATCTTTTCTGGATGAGGAATTCTGTCTTTGTCTCGAGTGTTGGACATTGACAAAGCTGTTGAGCGGTTGTTAAAAAGATTGTTAAGAGGATTGTTAAACTTGTAATTGCTGTGTGAATTCAAGTATGATGTTGGTTTATTCTTCAAGGTGTGTTAAGTCTTTATCAAATGAAGGTATGATGAATTTATTTGGAAGTTAAAGTCAGTTTGAACGCGGTACTTTTGTATTATTTCTATTTTCATCACGGACCGTTCCTAGAAATCCTAGTACTGTCTATGTATGATCGTGATACCATCGATCGCGGCTCCAAAAGGCCTGTATACATTGTCTACATTGTTCAATACAGCAATAAATTGGTTCGCGGTGTTAATTCTGTCACGCGTACATGAGTTTTCTATGTTTGCTACATGTAACGCGTCGAAGAATTACCGTATATGATTTTGGCTGTATTGCAAATACTCGTACGGTCGATGCTTGATAATAATTGGTATATTGTTAAACCATCAGAATGATTGTGTACGGAAGTATCCAGTGAATATGCTGATGCTACCGAGTGAAGGGGTAGGTAAGGTTCAGCCCCAAGCTTTCAAACTAAGGGTTGCGATAATTCAACTTTGCCTGAAGTTTCCAGTTGTCTGGAAATTTGTCCATTTTTTCCTTGAAGTATCTCTTTCAAGCATTGCAAAATACACAATGAAAATTCCTCTGAGAAGTTATGCTTTGCTCATATATATATATATTAAGAATCTTCATAGTTCTCTGTGTCGGGCTTTCTGACATCAAGAGCGTTGTGAAGAATTTACGAAGGGTCACAAATCTTCACTTCTCACAAGATGGGAGCCTCGTCATATGAGAGATATTTTGAGATAAGTTTTCACTATTTTCACTGTTGTCAGGTTCACTTAAAGGCAAGATATTGATGGAAGCTTTTAAAGGTAATTAAGCCGCGAAATGGTTACCCGCGGGGCGGATAATGCCCTCGACAGATAATCTAAGGATAGTCTGTCGGCGGGGCGGGTGACTTATCTTGAGACTTTTAACATACATATAGATAGATTATAGAGCTTGCATAATTTTAATAGAGATCTATGGTATCAGTTTAAGCCTTATCAACACGTCTAACCACTTGCGATTCGATAGAAATATATGTGATGCTTCGAAACTACTCAAATAACTTTACAACGAGCTTTTGATATCTTGTTATTGCAGAAAAGAAGATGAAGGAATCGAAGGCTAAGAAACATTTGGAAAATCTCGAAAACTCAACGAAATGATTGGTATTTATAGTCTATTCACAAAGATAATTCGCATGTACTAGGGGTTACTATGCGCGTCTCTTTCAAGACTCGTTCTCGTTTATTGGCTCCCTATAAATTTGGCTCTCATTTTGAAAATTCAGATAGGGAAGTAGTATTGGTGATTATTTTTGTGAGTTCATGAGGTTTTACTCAATACGATTTTGAAATAAATGTAACTAATTCATGGAATGTCAATTTTCATTGAGTAGAAGTTTTTAAGATCTAGAATTCGCAAATCTTCTTTGCCTGTTTTCATAGGATCCGGTTTCCTCTTCCTTTCTTCGTGCTGCTTGAAAGGCTTCAAAATCCTTGTGCCTGACGGGTCGAAGCTTGAAGTCTTGAGGGATTTTTCTACCAGTATAGTTCTTCCTTTCTTCTTCTCTAGCCTTCTGACGGTGCCTAGTTTAAATTAGTATTGACATCTAAGAACTTTTCTGGGAAACTCACGCATTAAGTAGATTAATCATTCTTGTGGGCAATAAGATTGTTTTCATCCCAGTCTGCTGCGAGCGTTTCATTCTTTCGGGAAGAAATGTTTTATGGGGATGTTTATCATAGTCAGGATCTATGGCCTTGATCTCTTCTAATGACACACTTACTCTAGACATACAATACGAACGTTGTTCGACTCGCGGCTGAGAAACGTACTTGCTTTTTGCCACTTTACTTCTCTTGGCTGGGTTGTGAGAATCCCGATTGATCTCATCCATTTCAGATTTATCCTCCAGGTCGGATAGGCGCTCAGAAATATTCATAACACCGGCTTGTACCGCCGTAGTCTTTAAGCCACTGGTTTGGGCGCGCTTTCGAGGAATTTGGCTTTGATTCCATTTTGGATGTGGATGATCTGTGCATTGAGTTTGAATTTGCGGAAACTGTGAAGGCCTAGTGGACTCTGGAATTTGATCGGTAAGGTCAGGCATCCCATATTGGTTGCACAATTGCTCCAGTCCAGTCGAGGTTTCTGTGGCTAATAGCCCACTTCCTATAATTTTCTCTTGGTTGCATCCTGACAAACCTGCCATCCGATCGCCGAAAACGGTTCTATCCCATGTACCATAGAAGCTTTGTCCCAAGTCGCCATTGCTTGTATGATAATGTGAGCTGTTATTGTCACTCAAGATAAGTGATTGCCTTTCATTACTGAGAGGCAAAGATGTTTGAACTTGTGATGACACATTACTATCACCTCCTGTTTCAGGAAGATTTCCCCAGAGACGCTGCGTCTCTTCTGGACCCACGATCTCAAACTCGCAGTCATCATCCTCTGTGGACTCAAAAGCTGACACACTTTGCACAGTTGGAAGATCAGCTCCCTTTCGGAAGCCTTGGTTTGGGTTATCTGCATGCTGCGATTTCGGCGGTTGATCACTTAGTCTTGAACTATCAGAAGACGTGGATGGGTCTGTAGAGTCTAACAGTTAGTTGGAGAGTTTGATTGTTATGTTTAAATGCGCTTACCATCATTTTCAAAGATTGTGACAACGGAGTTTAGGATTCGTAGCCTTCTTTGATCGCCATCTATATTAGATGCCGGGTCATCTTGGCTGCGTACCATGATTTTGCCGTTAGAAGTGTGTTGTTCGGCTACCGAATTCACGCCGGATTCATAGACCTCATTCTGGTTCGTCGTGTTGAGGTTGGTGTTCATCTTGCTTGACTGATGGTTTCGTGAAGAAATTTTCAAGCCCTTCACAAGATGTGTTTAATGAGGTTTATTGTTTATTACACACGTCCTGAATAAATTCAAGTTGTAATTTATAAGATAGATGAAGCGTATTTAAATATTTTGGTACCGTAAATAGAATATGTGAAGGGGTAGAGGAGACGTGTAGACGCGATCGCATGCGCTACTTAAGCGAGATACTACTACCTGCTACGGCACCTAATATGTGCCTCTGGCATATGCGTGCATACCAAAGAGAGTATCATACGGCCTTAGGTGCCGTATATACCACTAGCTATCTTCTTGGTCAGTATTGAATAACTCTAGTGAATTTTTGCTTTTCAATCTCATAATTCTCCTCAAGCCAGGATCTTATGATTCGATTCATTGAATTTGCCATTTTAAGTATCTTATCTGTAATATGTGACTAGTTCCTTTGTTCTATTCTCTCTGCTCTGCTTTCTCGTGACCCCTCGGAACTCTGTCATGAACGTATTCTACAGATTATTGCTAGTATCACATTGTCAATTGAAATAAAAGACACTTTGATGAAATTCTAGAACGCCATGGGATTGTGAAGCTAAGGTTAGAAAGTGATGACAAGCATGGTAAGATATTGGATTGATATTTCTTTTGTGCGAATGCATCACCTAATTCGGATTCACGTATCTAATTGTACATTCATTCACTTGAAACTGGACGGAATCTTCATTCTGAACTTGTGTCGGGAGAAAAGGGGTTGTAAAACTGATTAATCAGTAAGTTCATCTTAGTAAAAGACTAGTATGACATACTGCGAGCACACGAGACATAACCTCCCTACCATAGCCTCAATGTTATGACCTGTCTGCCCTAAATGTTACCTCCTGCATTTGTCAGCCAATATCACGATAAACGTAATTGCAGAAAGAATTAACGGTTTCTGGAATATGGATCAAGTAACCAAAAGATATACCTTTCATAGAAATGAGATTTAATGGATGTTATTTACAGTCAAGGTCTTCCGGGTAAAGGAAACATCGGATAGAAAATCTCTGAACACGAAGTTTGAATAATTGTGGCATTTAGCATGATAGCTAGTTCGTATTTTATTGTCTCACATTATCCATGTCATTGAAAAATATAGACAATACTTAGGAATTTGTATTAAGATAAGAATTAGAAACTATTGTGTGAGGTTTTTGGAAGTATCTTGAGCAGGCAACCTCCTTTATATCTCTCAATTTTATCCAACAATCGTTGAAGCTGTATGCAACTTGCCCTCAGAGATACCTTTTATTTCTCCCTATTTTCTCTGGGGTCATGTCTTTTAACGCGTGGCCTCTTGACTTCCTTCAGAGAGTTGGCGTAATTTTTCTTTCAAAAATTTGCATTATCTGAATGTACGACCACGGTTGTATCTGGATAATCTTCAAGCACCAGATTTGAGATTCGATCAGTCATCGTGTCTCAATTTCTCAGGAATTTGAATCTAATCACTGCACAGAATCACCCTCTAGTTGAGGGTTATACCGCGTATGGTCAGCCATTCGTCTCATCCGATTTGTCCATGAATCAGAAGCGTCTCCCATTTGTTTTCTTCTCAACCACTCGTCACGACATTCTCGAAGTCTACCCTTTGGACAATAGGGCTTAGGTACAAAGTTTTTTGCGTATGTTCCAGGGGCGGACCGCTTCATTCGCTCCTTTTCCTGATTTGCGACATGCCGACGGTGTCTAGAGATTAGTTAGTGAATTTCTAGAACAAACGACAAGGAAACACGGTGACTAGAAGATATTACTCACTCATTCAATAACTCTACTTGATCCCAGTCTATTTGGAAAGACTTCATTCCATTCTTGGCGTTAGTCATATCTTGAAAGGCCAATCGAGGATTCTTCTCATAATCTGGATCTATGAGCTTCATTTCTTGTTCAGTCATCCAAACACGTGGATAAGCGGACTCAGTACGTGTTGTCCAAGGTCTATGCTTTCTCTTAGATGCTCCCTTATTCTTCGACTTACTAGTCTCTGGAGTCTCGCCATCTGAACCATCCGATTGAGCATCTGCAATTAGGTTTTCATTTTGCGTTTCTTGCATGTTTTTGTCAATCAAGTTCTGGCTCCTATGGCTTTGGTCTTCCGTCGTGATGGTGTGGTGGTTATTGTAGTTTTTGACCGGAATAGAATGACCAGCTGCTGAAACAGATGGGGCAATTGATGCTTCGGTACTTGTCTGTTGAGCTAAAACTGAATTATCCGTTCTATTCAATACATTGTGGGCATAATAGGGCTCTGTGGGTGCTATTTGGCTGTTAGTTCAAGCTTTTGGTTTTCCAGAATGGGGGTTATGCTTACCATTTGCATTTGGAACTTCCGGATACAATGATCTTGGATTATCTTTACTTGATAATGGATCTTCTAATTCCCCGTTTCGCTGGCAAATCTGCTCAAGGACTTCCGGTGAAGGATCGATCCACCGTGAATGCTGTCTGTCATACGTCACATGAGTCGGATCAACGCAATTGCCGGACTGATATTGTGTCAATGGATGAAGATAGACCCGCTCCAGAAAATTTTGATTATCCTGAATTTTCTGCTCGGGTGTCATACCATCCATTCTGTTTCCATAGTTTGTGTACTTCATTTTTCCTGTTTAGGAGACGAGAATGGAGAAAACGTTTCGAAGTAAAATACGGTGAGATTTAAGATGTTGTGCAATAGTTGCAATGTTTGATGAACTAATTTGAAGTTAAAAAAGTGAGAAGTGTTGATTTTGAAGATATTAAGACCTTGACAACTGACGAAGAAAGTTGTTTTTGGATGGTGAAAGATAGTAACATCGATCTATGTCTGAACGAAGCCTTATATGTCAGTGTAGATGAACATCTCTACGGCTTCCACTGCTAGACATAATGTTTGCACTAAGTTAGATAAACATGAATTAAGTAAACTATCATTCTATGGTAGCAATGATACAGTACAGCGCCGTAGCATAATCGGCGCGCGAATCAAAAGAACACTTATAGATTTAGAGAGACATGTACGATTCTACAGTACGCGCTCACAGTATCATAAACAATTATAGTGGCATAAAAGTACGGCCTTATGGTTGCTATTGTAATTCAACTCTTCTAGCCAATTGCAGTATCAAAGAGATCAAAAGAATTATCAAGTTACGGTCGCCTACGATTAATTTGAGATGTCCTTACCTCATTTCCATGTAAGACTTCTTGCAGCTATCTTTTGGGTTGTATTTTTTACAGTTTCTTATGCCTTGAATATGTTTCTTCATTGGTCTTATTTCTTCCTGGGTCTCAGTACTCAGGAAACTACTCTAGGTTCTTTAATACCTAAATGTTATGTTCAATAAACTCACAGTGAGGCAAGCCATAGTTTAAAGTTAGTTGATGGTCTCTCCCTCTGAAAAAAAATAAGATAGGAAATTCCCGAGTTATAGAATCACGTACCCTCATTGTCATATGCCTGCTTTGGCAACTCAGAAGTTATTATGCCATGGAATCTACTTCGAATCAGCTTGCCTGTTTGACAAATAAAACTTTTAGAGTACATCTAACTACTTGATGAGACATGACGCCTCAATCAGAGCAGTTTCTTTGAGCGAACTCGGCTACTTCCGACTGTGATTACCGTGGTAGATATAATAGAAGACCACTATTCGGTAAGCAACACGCCTTATATCCATCTGATTGGTCCAGTATACGTCTTAGCGAGTTCTCGGATAATTAACTTACCTACTGAAACCGATATGCGTAAATGGTGGATTGAAGTGGGAATTCTGATTCGGAAAAATGACACGAAATTATTGACTCCTCATCGAGGTGATTATTGCTCGTGTTTCGCCTCATTACTCTGATGGCATAAAAGACAAGGTCGAATGCTGTTAGTCTCAATTCAAAGACTATGACCTCAACACAACGTGGGGTCTCTGAAATATTTATAATTCAGCAAATAAAAATCTATAATGTTTGAGGACGGACATTTGAACTTTATCATGAGGTAGAGCACTTGTTTCTAGATCACGAGGGTATTAGCTACCATTAGATATACTATAAAAGGAAATTAGAGAAATTTCCCAGAGATACGATCATAATTCTTGTGAACAATTTTGTAGCTACTTAAACACGGAAGCTTAGAGCCCCCCTGGCAATAATTAACGAACTCATTCAGATGACCCCGCATTTCGCTAAGATTTTTCTCAAGCTTGATTGGTCATCTCTAGAACGTCGCGTGATTGGCTAGCAAGATTCTTCTCTTTACAAAGTTTGACACAGGACAGCAGGATAAAACGGCTTAAAGTCGAGATTTCAATGAACTGGGAGTGTTTTTGCCAAAAGGAATGTCGCTCAAGGTCTAAATTTCTGCAAGCTAAGGTTGTTTACCTTCGAGCGAAGGAGAATTCCACTCGCTGAGAAGAAAAAAGTATTCTACGATGTGATTGGCGGATCGGCCCAGAAGGATGGGGGGTAGGCACCAGCTTATCTTTGAACTCCTGCAACGAACTTCAACAACAGTTCTCATATAACATCAAAACATCAAACATCCTAATCGTTTTGAGAATTATCATTACCTCAAACGTAACCCCAAAATGTCATCACCAAACTCCAACCCAATCCTTTCACTCGCAGAACCTCAAGATGCCCGCGAGCTTGCTGCCATTACCACGAGAGCCTTTGAAGTAAGCGATACTATATATCCGATTATATGGGGAAACACCGAGCCTGGGGTTCATGATACCGCTGTGATGTTGTTGTTCAATCCAATGCAGAGTGAAACTATAGTTACGTGGAAAGTGGAGATCGAAGGGAAGATCGTGGGTTATGCTCGGTGGTCGTTACCTAAAACTTCTGAAGTCGCTGAGATAGACATGAGTGAGAATAAAGAAGATGATGGAGGCGCCGCAGCGCAGCACAAGAAGAAAGTAGAGGAGGGATGGAAGACACCTGCTGGTATGAACTTCGATCTATTCATGCAAAAGGTGAAGAGTACAATTGAGTGTAAGAAACGTGATTATAATGCAGAAAAAGACATGTGTAAGTGAAATCCTTATTTCTTTAAACCTTCATATCTTTCCAATTATTAACGTACTGTTTACTGTCTAGTTCTCTATCTCTGTTTCGTCGATCCAGCATACCACAAACAAGGAATAGGAAATCTACTGCTTAAATGGGGACTGAGTATGGCAGATAAGGAAGGCAGAAAAATATGTTTGATTAGCACCCCGCAAGCTCGGATTTTCTACGAGAAGAGTGGATGGTTAGTAAAGGAGAGCCTAGAGATAAATCTGGACGCTTATGAGAGAAGCGAAATCTATCAACGGAGTTGGATGATCAGGGAAGCTCGAGACAAAGAAGAATTGTAGGTATGCGATTTTGGAACCTTGCATATCTGGGCTAGCCATCAAATTCCATAATAAAATACACTTGTTGATACCCATCATGAATTCGGAGAGCCTAGATTTCCTAATTGTATCACTAGGGGTTGTCGCTAATCCAGTGCATCTGTAATATCGGCAGGGTTGATCAATATCACGAGCCCTGGTTTACGAAGAAAATCTGACTAGACATCGATATTCGATGGACTAACTAGATTTAGAATCTTAACTGAAATATATGCATAGTTGAAACATCATTCTGCTCAGAAATGAGGTAAGAGATTGGTAAAATTAAATGACCACGCATGTAGAAGAGTTCAATCCTTCAATACGTCCAAATCCATGACCTTGTCTAAAAATCAACTTTTAACACCTTAAAAATCTACAGACTCAATACACCTTTTCCTTTATCAGCCTCTCGAGCTTTCCACAATGATTCAATCCTTTCAAAGGTCCCCTAACATCTCGTTTCCAAATACATTTATGAACCTCCCAAATTGCCATAGGACGATTTGGATGACCTGGATATATTGGCTCGAAGTTATGATGAAAGGCCAGTTCTTTGAGTCCCTTCTCTATCGCATCAATGTAGCATATCGTTGATGAAAGTTCTTGAATTCCACTCCTCTCATCCAGAATATCATCGATGAGTTCTGAAACCTGTTCCGAAATGTCGACTAGCGTTTGCTGAAATTGGTGAACCGAGTTGGGTATCTCCACTTCACGCACGTTTTCACCGGCCGCAAATTCATTGTCGAGCCAATGGGTCATATAACCAATTGTATCATTACCATGTCCCTTTTCTGATTTGTCCTTTGAGCGCTGTATAAATGAAAGTATTTTTTGAATCTCTGAGGGAGGTACAAAGTCAGGTTTTGTTAGATTTCGGTCTGTCAAAACTTTGTAAATTCCAAACTCTACAGTGAATCGTAGCGCTCGACTGGCATCGTTTGCCGCTTCAAGTTCGGGCAAAAAGGATTGGCCTATCTCGATGACTTTAAGTAACCCCACAGATTTTCCGAGATACAAGTTTGATCGGGGCAACATGTATCCTTCTCTTAACCCTTTCAGATATTCAATGAACAATTTTCTGATCAATTTTGATCTTATTGGTTGCTTGGATAGAGATCCCCAATAGGAGTCGCTTATCCATTGTCTGAAATTGGAGGTTCTGATGGGTCTAACATCAGAAATGAGTTCGGTCAAATCCTCTATCACTGCATTTGTGAGTATCATTGCGTCCTCTGCGTGTCGGCGAACCAGATCATAATATACTATATATTCATGATATAGCTTGTCAGCGTCAGCCTGTACATCCTCAAACAATTTTGGGAATTGTCGCCGTAGTCTGGCATCTCGTTAATGAACCTGTTGTAAGTTAAAAGCGAGTTGCCTGGAATTGTATCCAATCGTCTTCGAAATATGTCTCCTTCCTTTCTGGTAGCATTGTAGATGATATCCTTATACAATAATGGAATTGTAGATACATTGCTTGGGGTGATGAGTTTGACATTATAAGCACTTCTAATTTGTCTTCCGTGACGGAGCCGTCCGTCCATATAGGGTATAACATATACCCAAGTCAAGAAGAAACTCAGCAGACAGTATCCAAGCCACATCATTTGAGCTACTTGGAAGTCTGGAAGCCATGAGTCATGGGATTCAAGAGGAGCTTTATTTGTGTTTTCATCTGAGTAAGGATCAGAATCAGAGTCACTTGCACTTGTACTTGCACTTGTGCTTGGGGTACGTTCCCTGCGTTCGATCAAGGACTCTCGAGGGTTTCTGGTGGGCATTAAAGAAGTAGAGAAGCTTATGCCTTTTCGAATCATATGTGGTAGAGTTGCCAATATTTGCGAGTTGATGATGGACTTGAATGAACCGTTGATACTGAGCAAGGACAATTTTTGTATGTGATAGCAATCCGTTAGAGTCGAAAGGTTGATCGTTGTCGTGGTAATTTACAAGCATTTCTTTTTGTGCGCAAAGCTTTCTTTGAACTGTGCCAGAATATGGATGTTAGAATCTCCTTTGTCAAAATTGACGAGATTCCGAGAAACTTCGAAAAGCAGCTACTGCATATGGTGCGCTCGAGATAACCTATGAGAAAAAGAGACAATGTAAAATAAAGAAACTTTATACCTTTTGGCAACTGTATTGAAAAGATGTAACTTCCAGAATTATCGATCCTCGATCGTGAAAGGCTTAATGAATAAATTATATTTGGTTTGTAGTCAAATTATGTATCACGATCCATGATTAACATAGATTCATGTAAAGCTAGGTTCTTGAAAATTTTGATGGAAGGAAATAAGAAGAGGGACATTTGAAGAAAGTCGGTCTTGTCCACAAAGAAGGCTCCTCATAACCTTTGGTAAGAACTAGTTCATGGGGGTATGTACTGCTATGCGAGGCCAAGTAACTGGATTTCAATTTTTTGAAATTATCTATTGCTGCAAAGTTTTCCACTCATAATTAGAGTATTGAGTTTAAATTATGCTTCATCTTGAGGCACAAAACAGAGTAGTACAAGTCTTGGTGTGTTTGAAGTATCATAAATTCCGGGACAACACTTGTTTGTAGCAGCGCAGATCTGCAAATGAATAATATTAGAATAATTGGACGTAGAAGAAGATCACGAGGTAGATAGGGCTGAATAATTCAATAAAAGTCCGGAAAGCACGATGTTTTTAATAACACATGTTAGATTGAGTGAGTTTCTAATCTCATTTGTGACAGATGATCAGCCTGAAACTATTTCAGATCAATCAAATGTCAAATTCATGCGGCCAAAGTGCATTAACCAATTTTGAAAAAAGATTAGCTCTTAAATAGATTTTTCCCACAATCCTAGGTGTTGAAGCCGATCAAGTCCCTCGTCAACTTCTCCTCATCAAATCTCCATCTAGTCACGTCAATCTGTCCCTTCCAATCCGGCTTATCGCATAGCTCATGAAGAAGACTGTGATATCTGCCCAAATTCAAGTTGAATCCTAAGATGTCTTCATCTTCTGCCATTAATTGGATATCAAATGCCAGTTCCTGGAACATAGCTCCATGTCTTCCCGTTCCCAGTTGCTCCAAAGATCCATGATTACAACAGCGTCCAACACAACTGTATATGTGAAAAAAAGCATGACACATCTCGTGAACTAATATGCCAAATAACTTTTTCAATTTTTCTCCATTGAGCGGCTCAATCTCTGGTCCAACAAAGATGGTGATCGTGCTCCTTGGCCGGAAGCGACATTCGATGACATCTTTTTTACCCCTTCTGTAAATGGCCTTCGATTCTTGAGACGTGTGGCCTTGACAACCAAGTGGATTATTGCCGGATAAAGCAGTGATTAAAGTGACGTGTTCATTCAATGTACCTCTGAAAAACAAATCATCGAATATGTGAAAGTACTTTTCCAGAATGATTTTCGTTGATACGAGGCGAAACTGATTTGGGGTATTGAGAATATCTGTCACCTTCCACTTCTCAACCGCTTCTTCCTGGAGAAGGCTTAATTTTGAATCTGGATTGACATGTTTCCAGACGGCGCCTACAAGACTTGCAGGTCGATGTTTAAACACCTTTAGGCGATTTAAAGTCAAAGGTCGACGAAAAAATAGTCTTCCCGAGAGATAGCCCAATCGAGGGTTTGCTTTCCGAACGATCAAAGAATGTGGGAAATAATCGTCATCTCTGTCTTGAGCAAATTGCTCTATTGCAGATCGACTTTGACGAAGTAGTTGGGCGTCACATCCTGTCACATATGTTGGTCTGCCGGTTCCATTTGATAATTTTGAAGGTATTTGACCCATCGTGCGAGTTTTTCGATTAAGTCTAGAGGAACGTCGATATTTGAAAAGTTATGAGTTTTTTTATGTCATAGAATTGAGGAAATCGATTCTAACCAGTACGTATGTTTACAGATATAGTAGATGCCACCATTGGAAATGACCGTCTTGAAGATCAGCAACTGTATCAGCCGTAGGAATAAACTCATCCAAGGTACCGCAATTTCCATCTCAGCCGTAGTCGACGAAAACCATAGTAGGTACAGCATCTCATAAATCTCAATACTACTTGAATTTGGAAATGCAGCGAAAGACCAACAGCATGTGCTCTCATCAGGTACGAAGCTGTATACCTGTACTACATGCTAGGACTGGCAGTAGGATAAAATCCAATTCAATAAACAAGTAATCAAAATCGAAAGAAGCTAATTGATGAGTAGATTCCAAAGCTCTCGGAAGTTATGTGCATTATAACCGTCAGCGGTACCAAAGAATAATTTCTAGTGACGATATAGCTAATTCTGAGAACTACTCGAAATCGTGTTCTCAGTGACAGCAAGAGCTTGTCTTCTCTACCAGTACAAAGGAATGTCGTTATGTCTCTGAGAGAATAAGATCAACTTTTATAATGATATCTTCTCTGTTAACAATCAGAATAGAAGACACCGTCAGGAGATATATAGAGGTCAGATGTCTTCCTGTGGCACCTTCGATATCCTATCACTGATAATCATTCTTGACACGGGTCTTGTGGGCCAAGCTCGATACATCCATATATGTGTTTGCTTCGAACTGCTTTTTAATCTTGGCATCATTCGTACTAGTCTTATTCCATATGACTACCAGAAACGTCACGAGGCCTGAGAGCAAGTAATGCGTGGAGCACATGCGTTAGAACCATGTACTTATTTTTTCGCAGTGGTCAAAAAAGATTGTGAACAGCATTCCCGAAAAGGCGAGAGCCCCAGATTTAAAACTTTTGTCATTGATTTTGTCTATGATCTTCAAGAGCCAGAATAACGCATACTTCTATAGTTTTATAAAGGATCTAATATCTTGACATCATAAGAACTTTTGGGGGGAATTAGCTTGAAGGAGCTGCGAGGTTTCCTCTAACACCTCCCTTCTCTCCAACTTCGCGTGCAGTGACGGTAACGGACAAATCCTTGCTAATGTTGATCATGACTTCGACCTTGCTACCCTTCTTGACACCTCTGACTGCGGCCTCTGCGAGAACATTTCCGACCTTCCAGATTTTCTCACGTTGTTCCTCTTCTTCCTCTTCGCTATCATCATCCTCAGAATCGTCAGAGTTTGCATCCTCAACCTTGGCCTCAGTAGTTTTAGGTTTTGGCTCTGGCTTAGTGACCTTGATGTGAGATCCACCCTCGACAATCTTTACTAAAACATCACCACCTTCTTTAGGAGCAGCGATTTCGACAGTACGGCGAGCTGGGACGGCGGTTTCGGCAGCAACAATTGGTGTGAAAACACCCTTGTCAGTCTCTCCTGAGATGGAAAGAACTCCAATGGCGTTTGTGAGGTGCTGAACGGTAGTGACGGCAGCGTGAGTAGATTGCTCGATATCTTGAGCATCAAATTCTTGAATGAGAGATGCTTGAAGAGCAGCTCCACGGGCTTGCAATTCGGATGGGTTGATTGCGGTAGGGCTGGTGGATGGAGCAAGAACTGTAGCATTTGGGTAGATATATTGAACGTTGGATGCGATTTTTGGAGTGTGCGATGTACCACCAGAAAGGATGACCTCGTCAATTTCCAAAGCATCCAACCCAGCCTTCTTTACAACACCCTCAATCAATCTGTTGAATCCTTCAAAGACCTTGCGTCCAATAGTCTCATATCTGAGTCTGTTAATGGTAGAAGAGAAATCAATGCCCTCAGCTAAACTCTCAACACTGAAGTTGGAGTTTTGTCCGATACTAAGTGCTTTCTTGGTAGCTTCAGCTTCTGCCTTGAGTTTTGCGAAACTGCGTTGGTTTTCACGGGGGTCGATAGAGTTCCACTTGATGAACTCTTTGGAAAAGTGATCCATGAGGACCTGGTCCAAGTGAACACCAGCGAATTCGTAATCGTGTGCAGTAGCCAAAATGGTATACATGCCGCCTCTTGATGCGATAACTGCGACATCTGAGCGAGTTCCTCCGAGGTCTGCAACAATAACATTCTTATCCGCAACCTTGGCCTCTGGCCTTGCGTCGTATGCCAACAAAGCAGCGACAGGCTCATTAATTAGTTGTAAAACCTCAACACCTGCATCGTTTGCTGCCTTTGTCAAAGCTGCCTTTTGGCTGTCGGAGAAATTTGTTGGGATTGTGATGACAGCTGAGTTAATTTGTTTTCCGGTGTAGTCTGATGCGGATTGTGCGAGACGACGGATAACTCGAGTTGTTACCTCAGAGACAGAGACGGTTGATGGTTCACCCTCCTCTTTGTCTTGAATTTTGAATGCGATTGTGCCTTCGTGGTCCAAAGGGTGTGCAGAAGCATGGCTGTGTGTAGGGTCTATCGACTTGAAGCTATGCGGGGTGCGGGGCAAAGTGTTAGTCGACTTTCTCTTGGAATACTCCTGGGGTCCAAAGGGGCATTTTTGATATAAACATACTCTTGTCCGAGGAAATCTCTGAAATAAGCAACAGTGTTTGTGCTGTTTCTAATAAGTTGTTGCTTGGCCTGTTGACCATAATACTCGTCTCCATGGATATACGACAAGATGGTAGGAATTTGACGATCTGTAGTCGAAATCAATCAGTCTGCCTCCCCATCCTGCTCGGATGTATTCTTGAGTGCATTTCAATTGCTTACCTCCATCCTCATTGGCAATAACTTCAGCTTTATCTTCAACGGTTGTGTAGGCGATTGAGCTGTTGGAGTTTCCGAAAAAGATACCAATGGCATTTCTCTCACCAGCAGTGCCGTTTGATGCGGGGGCTTCAGCTGCCATTTTTAAATTTATGAAGGATTAGAGGAGAGGACAAAAAGTTGATGAATGGAGTAGGAAAAGACTTTGACTCAAAATCAAAGGTTGTTATAGTTCTGTGTAAATAATCAATGTAATCAAAACCATCCAGAACTTTTTTACTTTTTCAAAATCGCATCGAGAATTTCACTAGCGCCACATCTTAGCCCCCCACATTTTGTAGGCGCAAACGCAAGGCTGAGAAATCTGAACTTTTTGTCTATTGGAGCGAATGTTGAACATCCATATGGATACTCAAATAATATAATCAATACACAAACAAACTCACGAATATTCACGACGATACCTACATTTTGAGATATCCTTCTGCCAAAGGAAATTGCGCCCAGCTAACCGTTTGTTCACCATACCATAATGTCGACAGAAACATTCGTCCTTCCCGGCGATCATATTGCTTCAGAATTATTACCTTCTCACCCAAGTTTACCATTGAAGCTCGGCCCTGGGTTAAGACACATTCCTCCAAATACAATTACTTCAACTGTAGCAGGTCAACTACGGACAGATTCAAGAAAAAATGCAGTGTGGGTTGAATTTAATGCTGGTCGAGTAAGAGATAAAATCACAAGCTTCTTATTCTTCGGCGCAGCTAACCTTTCCCTTAGTACATTCCAACAGTAGGGGATCTGGTAATTGCTTCCATTAAAAAATCAGCAGGAGACGTCTTTTATGCAAACCTTAGCGACTTCACATCGGATGCCAGTCTACCGGTCCTCTCTTTCGAAGGAGCTACGAAGAAAACCAGACCGCAGCTTGAAAAGGGCGCGCTAGTATATGCACGAGTTACTCTTGCCAACAAACATATGGACCCTGAATTAGAATGTGTATCAGCATCGACGGGTAAATCAGAAGGTTTAGGGCCATTGGAGGGAGGGATGCTTTTCGATATATCTCTCGGAATGGCAAGACGAATGATGATGGCTCGCCCAGCTGAACAAGGTGGTTTGACGATACTTGAGGAATTGGGAGAGGCTGGTGTTTCGTTTGAGATTGCCGTGGGAAGGAATGGAAAAGTTTGGGTGGATAGTAAGACAGTAAAGACTACATTGGCGATAGGAAAGGCCTTGAAAGAAACGGACGAAAAGGGTCTGTCACCGGAAGATCAAAAGAAACTAGCTAAAAAGCTGGGACGCGAGGCTTGAAATACGATACCCTAGAATAGAATAATTACGCCATTGGAGAAGCTTTGCAAGAGGCTGAAGCAAAAGAGACGACCCCGTACCAACATTCCTCTCATATCAGCCCTTACAGGATATGATACACGGTCGCAATCCCTTCCCTCACTCCCTCACTCCCGCCACTCATACTACAATAATCCTTCACAAGCTTCGGTTGGGCTGCTCTATAGCAGTACGCATGGAGTCTACAGATGCTTCCAAGCGTGTATTCTCTAGAATAACATGCAAGCCATATTGATAATCAAGCGCAATGCATTCCAGTTGCCCCAACTTACTCACCAAGTTTCCGATTGATCGGCATTCAGTGACATGATGAAACTGGGAGGCAAACTAGGAAGTATATATAATGACGATGTACACCATGCAAATTTTCTTCCCTTATGCACTCAGCACATTCATCATGTTTCACTTTACTACTACAATCATATTGGCTATTCTCTGCCTAGCCAAACCATCACTTTCGAGACCCATCCCTAGAAATGAGAAAGAAGAACTTAGTAAGATCTCGTCCTATCTATCTAGTGATCAGAATACTAATGCTTTACTAGTTGATATCAATATTCAACTTATACCGGGGCTAGACATAGGAGTAAATGTTGGTTGTGGTGATAATATTGTGGATGTGAACCTCAATTCCATACACCTACCCTTGATTCCTTGTACCAACACCCAGAAATCGATTTCAACAACGGGTGTGATGTTGCCATTGATAGGCAGAGATACAAAAAGCAAGCCCGTGGAATTGCCAACTTTGCCAAATTCTACTGGCCGTGTAAAGGCCATAGATTCATCCATCCGAAGTTTGCCCAGTACCTCAGCGTCAACATCAATTATCATATCAGAATTCATCGGTCCTATAACAGCTACAGATTCTTTAACTCCTAAGTCTTCAATTGTCAGCAAATCTACCCCTATCAAGATCGACTCAAGACGGCTTCACACACATCATCGTACATTGGCCGCCAACCCCCCACCTACCATATTCATAGAACCTATTCCTACCTCGACGAATCTACCCAAGATAAAACATACCCATCACCGGCTAACGAAAACTTCCAAGGCCATACAGTATACTTCTGTACATCCTCATCCCTTACCAGCTCAGACCCTGATCAAGAGATTGGGAACAACGACAGAGTCATTGACAGTCGACTCGCACACAGCTAAACCAATATCCACCTGGAACTCACCTCCACAAACGAGAGTTTCCATAATACCACTTAATTCCGTATCGAGAGAAAAGACTACCTTGGTAACAAAGGCGTCGGGAAGCTCATCGATAAGGAGGGCTACTTGGCATCCGCCCGCGGAGACTTTATATCCTCCTGTGGTTGAGCGTGGAGCACCAGACAAAGGTTGGAAGAGAACAACTAGGTGGCATCCATCGGCCGAGAGTTCGTATCCTCCCGTAGTTGATCGTGGATTTCCAAACAAGGACTGGTGAACTGACGGATAATCATTACATGGGTTTTACGTCCTGGCGTCCCTGTCTAATTCATACCAATTGTTTGGCTTTGCTACTTTCCTCATTTGCATGCTGGTTATCGCACTTGGTAGTTGCAGTTAAAATTCTAGATAGTCGATCGTTATTATACAAAACTGTTGGTGACGGCCAGGAGCCGTTGTGGTGTCAATAAAAATGAATTAGTTCTTCCTTGCAAGTTTGCTTCACAAAAATTTGGCAAAAAGACTTCTGTCATCAGAGGGTTTTTTTTTCATTCAATACTATTCAGTAATTTCGAATCTTCAAGGAACCTCTGTATGCAGTCCTTCATACACGAAAACTTCAGTGCTACATGTGCGGCAATGTTCCTTGCAACTGTGCATTAAACATTGCTCCCTTCCCTTGACCTCTCTCATTCATTCATAACTTAGTAACCATACTCGATCAGTATACCAAACCCAATTTTATACAAAATGCCAATTTTGACAACACCTGAGCTCCGGTTGCAGCAAGGACTTGATCCTAACCTGCCCCATCACAACCATCCATACGTCATCTCATCATCATCATAACCATCAAGTCGATTCGTTTCTTCGTTATATGCCACCGGCCAGTCCTGGAAATTTTCTTTGAGGCCTTGATCTTGGTTATCGCACATCGTCAATCCCTCAAAAATCTCTTCCATCACTTTCCGTCCATTTTGATTCCCCTCCTCGATGATCTCTTCTAATTGATGACCTATCATGCAAACGAGCTCGTCATCATAATAATCTCCTCCATGGCCATTGATAAAGTTGAATAGATTTATAAATCCTTGTTCCATGCACCAGCGGTCGATGTCCCGATTGTTTCTAATACCTTCTGCAATGTTTGACACGGAAGGCTTCGCTGTGGCTTGTTCTTCATCCAACTCGGTCGGGTTGGTATTTCGTGGAAATTCGACCTCATCTCCAAGTCCTTCACTAATAAGTGATTCTCGTGTGGCTCTTTGCTCGTTTTCGTATTCTGCATCATCTTCCGCAGCTACCTCTTCAAAATTCCCCTCAGCCTCACCAAGATTCTGTTCCGCTTCAACCCTTATGGACTTCTTGATAATATCTCCAACCTCTTTCACATCGTCGTCGTTCGCGAAATCTAAAGTATGATAGTCCATATATTCTTCAAGGCAAGACCATCCGCGCTTCATGAGCCATTCATAGATTCCTTCGTCTTCGTTCCGAATTCTGTAAATTTTCTCGAGTTTTTCTTGCTCGCGAACTTCGATATAGCGTTTTAGATTGCTATCCTTCGATCTGTCCAAGTCTTCGTCTTCATCGTAGTCTTCCCAGTCGCTGTCGTCGGTCATTAGATCGAGAATTTCGTCTCTCTCTTGATTATTATCCCGTTCATTCTCTTTGACACCATCTTCATCGCAATTTCTCTCCTTCCTACCCTCATCCATATCCTCCTCATCCATATAATCCTCACTTGCCAAAGCATCGCAAAGAAGCTTCTCGAATTCAGCGTCCAGTTTCTCATTCATGTCATTGTCGTCCAATTCCTCCAACTCATCCTCGTCCTCCTCGGCTCCCCAGTCTTGCAGTTCCTTGTTTGCGAACGGGTCGCTGCTTCTATAATTGCACAAGACTTCTTCGGCTTTCATGTAATCTGCCGCACTTGTTGGATCATATTTATGTGTAACCATGAAGTCTTTGAAAGTTGGCCAACCTCTTGTATTCAGCCATTCGAGCCGAGAGAGCCTACAGGTGTAGCTTGGTCTGTTCATTGTTGCTAGAGAATTTGGAAGGTAGCTCGATGTCTTAACTTGTGCTGAGATGTTGTGATCTTTAAATTGGGTTTTAGAGAGTAGCAAAGACTTGAGAAATTGATAGATTGTACATTGACTCTAAACAATCAAAACATGACTCCAGAAGTTCTGGCAATAGGAAGAAAATTGGCTATCTAACTTGAAGAAGTTTTCAAGGTGAAATTCTGAGCATCGGCTTCGGGTAGTGCCGTCAGGCCATTGACCACAAATGGATTGGCAATAACATTACAAGACCATGAAGCTCTCAAAGTGAACTATAGCTATCCCAGTGACTAGTTACTATTTGGATTTTGTAAAATATTATGTGAATCACTAAGATTCACTTTCCTTTTAATCCATCGAGTGATTCCAATTTCAACAGGGCAAGTAATCAATGAGATCTTGTGGAAGCATGATACAATGAGTTTCACATGTATTTTAAGTCGCTTACAGGTTTTCTAAGCTATGGGGAACGAACCAACTTCCTCAACCCTTTGTTTTCATCTGATGTTTATAGTACAAACTATGATATAGAACATGATTTAGATAGTCTGATTCTATACTATGCTCAAGCACAAGGTATATTGAAGGAAAACTGTGTAGGTGAAAGAAGATGAAATACCTAGGTACCTAAGTATAGGCAATAGGCACAGAAGGAGGATTTATATCCATCATGTGTAATTCTGTGAATCTTCATAGTCTATTGCATATCAATCATCTGAAAAAGTACTAAAACTCTCTAATGGTCAAATAGTTATAAGTTGAACAAAGCAAGGCACACAAACATTTCAATGAATCACAATTCACAAATTTTACAAGGAATTGAATAAGTGTCGATGTCTTCATTCATAAATCTCATGACCAACCAGTATCTAGGCATTTCTTTTGTCTGTCTCTATGAAGAACTAACCATCCAACATTCCTCCTGTACCTCTGTTCTCTGCTTTCCTTCCATACACTTGACAATCTCATCTAATACTGCTGCGCTGGGAGTCTTTAGCCTTTAAGCCAACGAAAGATTCCGCCGTGTAATAGCCCATAAGGTTCTGAATGAATAGTGGCGTTCAAGTATGTTCAATCAAAAAGCCCTCATGTTCGATGAAACATTTCTCAGGATGATATCACATCATCAGGAGCATTTTTTGCATCACTTAAAATATCTTCACACTCTGCCACATTGCCAAAATCCAGAGAACCAATCCTATCACACTCATGAAGCCCGTCATTTTCAGCCTGAATCTCAGATCTCCCATTTCCACATGCCACATCCTCAACAAATTGCAAACCCATAGCAGATAAACTCTGCCCAGGAACAAAAATACTGTCGCTTTCACTCTTTCCCCAGAGACCATAAAGTAGACGCAGGTCATTTGAACACAAATGCCTAATACACATCCAAAAACAAATACGAGGATTTGCGCAAGAATTTTCTGGAGATGCGGTTCGGTCACCGTTAGCACTAGGGAGCGAGGAGTCAGGGTGAAGTTTAAGCGGGTAGCTTGGTTTTCGTGGACTTCACGACGATAGTTGCGATTGCGACGCTCGAGGATGAGTTCTTGTGCGTATCGGGTCATAGCTAGGCCGAGATATGTTCGCTGCATAGTGTGGAGCCAGTTTGGTTCCTCTCGAATTGTGTGAAGTCGAGCTCGTCTATTTCGCGGTTGCTGTTGCAAATTAGGCATCTTGGTAGTTGCGTTCTACTGTTTTTGAGAATTCTTTCTGTAAAGAAGTTTGATTGATGAGAGTCTTTGGATTACTTGAATAGATGGAATAGATAGAATAGATTTCTTTTCCTGTTGAGCTGGCTATGGTGTATGTATATATACTTGAAGCTCTCGAGTAGATGTTAGCACACTCGATCTGGTACGGCTGATTGAATTATCTCTCAACCGTACGTAGATTTAATGTAGAATCACAATCCGAGAAACGGTTTACGGTGCCATTTCTCGTCGCCGTATCATGTAATATGCAATGCCGTATCGATTGTGCTTTCAAACTCTGAATCTTATACATTGCATAGTAGCAAGTTGTGATAGGCTTGTTATATACAATTCTCAGTGTTCTTACGTCAAAGGGGGCGGAGATGAGACATCGGTCAAATCGCTCATTGAAATAGTCTAGCATTGAATGGCAATTTGAGATAGACACTTCCGATCCGATTCTTGATAACAGTTTGTATGTAGAGATGAAGATTGATTTCCTTAGTACTATGTGATCATCACTAGGTATCATCTGCCAAAGAGAACTCGTTTCCATCATCATTTCCTCTTCATCTCACCTTGTCCACAACCCCTATCTTTTCCTTATTAATCATAAGAACGGAGTTCCAAGCTCTATTGCAAAGTATGCAAAACCCATACCCGTAAAGATGGTTGCCAAAGCAAAAAGCAACTTTTCCCTTCTACTATATTCCTCCGACCATACAACATTCATACACCAATGGATACTCAAGTGAAGCCACATTCTACCCCCAACTAGGATCCCAGCTTTATCATAATCCTTCTTAGAAATACCGCAGCTGCAAACAACAAACTCGACCATGCGTAATAGTATCCAGATCAAAATGATAGATAAGATAATCCTGACCTTTTCCATGTTGAATTGGAAGAATAAAGTAAATCTCCTACAAGTAGTAATCAACTTGCACCTGATTGGGCCGAGATTAAAGATTCTTTTTCGTTCTTCGTCGACGAGGATATTGAACCCGTCAAAAGAGTAAGCTATCTGCCATTTGTCTAACCACTCTGTAAAGTCGACCGGCCGGCCGTTAATAGTATATCGCCGGGGTGGGAAAGATAAATGGTCTTCAGAGATAGCCATCAGGATGCTATTTCGGATCAGTATTGAGTTGTTCGAATATGCGTATCTTGGTGAACTTTGATATTGGGTCGCTGGTTGGATGAAGCCTTTTGTTTATTCGAATCGATTATGAGAAAGCTTCTGTGAGATCTTTGGTTCCTGTCGATTATGTTAGTGTGTAGGTAATTCAATCAAACATAATTTACCGTATCTACTAACATTATTGATACGGCTTGCTACTCGATGCGCTAGGTTCATTGCGGAGATACGGTAAACTTTTTCCCCAGTGAATAGGTTTCCAAGGTTGTTTTGGGCACACGATTTCTAATCTAATTTCGGACAACTACTCGAGTACTAGGTAATGACTGCAGTACGGGAATTTTCCTCGCGTAGCTTCAATCACCACATGACCAAACAAAATTCACTCGATGACGGAACTACTTGAAATTGAGCCCTCTGCATTCCAATTTTTAATCCAACATATTTACAAACAACATGATTCCGGACGAGGAACGATGACTTTCTCCGGAAAACCCTACATGCAAAATGATCAGCCAGATGCGCACCTATTGTATTCCCCCGATTAGTCCTGACTTCATTCGCCATTCTCGATTGTCTTTGTCTTATGTGCCCCGTCAAACTATCTATAGGCATCTTTCACGTCAAACTTTCCAAGTGTTAACGTTTTAAAATGGGTTCTGACTCATTCATCACCAGCCCATGCCCAATACAATTTTTGGATTTAAATTCAAGAGGTCTCCAGAAATATTTGACCGGATATGATTGATGTCCTGGTCCTATCATCAATAGTTCGGACATGAAGGAATCAGGGCCGGATTAATATCTTGGGCTCCGATTGATAGCTTAGTACAGTATTGACATCAAGTTTCTATTCTCAGTTAAATATCGCGACCACAAATGGCACACACAGATAGAATTAATGGTGTAGATAAACTTTCTTAATTGGGTGATGATCAAAGTCCACAACTTGCAGGTGTGTCCTTCTGGTGTTAACACCAGTGTTCTGGGTCACTTTGTACCAGTAGAATACTAATAAGTACATCCTAAAGCATAGCCTCCCAAATGACTAAATCCACACAACATTCGCAAATCAAAAAGATATGACTTCTTCAATCTTTTGCTGATCCTCCACTACCATAAGACGGATACGACTACATCATTAATTAGTTAACATTATTCCCCAAATGCTATCAGTAAAACATACCCTCAAAGTTCCCATAAACTCAACTGGTTTCTTGTCATCGAGGATGTCCTCACTTGGACCAGTGCTATCGCCTGCAGAAAGTTGCCTTCCATCTTGATTACCGGGTGCATCCGAGCGGTCTCCAGCATCATTATTCGCGGCACTATTGGTCTGCGTCTGTTCGGAAGTATTTGGAAAACCAGTGGATCTTTCAGCGTCAGACATTGCTTCATCCTCCTTGATCGCTCTGATTGCCGCCAGTACCATCTTGCCACGTTCGTAATCCTTTTCATTTTCCATTCTTAGTTGGTAAGAAAACATGAAATGATTCATCGACTCAAAGCCGTTCTTCTTGAGCCAAGCGGAATCAGTCAGTCGAGGTGCCTTAACTGAAGAATTCATGATTGAATGATTGGTATCGTTCAGGAGAAGTCTTGGGAGATCCTTTGAAAAGCTAATGTTTATCTGTTTGTGGAGTTCTGTTTTTAAGGTGGATAGTGCTTTTGAAAGAAAGTATTCGGGTAAAGATCTTATAGATACGAATCATGGCGAGAAATCAAGACGTTTCCAAGGTTAATGCGGGGTAGTCCCTTTTCTCATTTACGGTAGCACCGCCTGAACTATTTTTTTCTGTGGGAGTGAATGGAAGTTAGTGCTGTAGTTTACAGTGAATCATCACATTGTCTAGCTTATTTTCAATAATTTATTGGGTAGCAATTCATAATATCTCCACATAAAGAAATATTAATCGTGTCTTTTCCTTTATCTTATTCTAATTCTAAAGCAGTCTCGAAGATGTTGCTCGTAAATTTCCTGTGATGGCCCTTGCATATTTGAGCCCAAACACATTTCAGAGAATTTGAAATGTGCTCTTCCTCTCGTGGGAGAACCAGAAGATGATTGTGTGTTATGTTCAAGTGGACCAACTAATTCTGAGGACTGATTTCCAATTTCCAACCATTAGCCATTCTTGACCTGACGGATTGTAAGCATATAATCTTTGGTTTGAGCTCTACAAATTAAGAGGAACTTTACGAGTTGTTCTGCTCCAAAACGCTGAGGTGCAGCTTTCATAATAGTACTCGAAGGAATCCTTGACATAATATCGTGGCGCCATTGTTCTTTTGATATTCTAATCATCGAAAACCTCTGAGACTTTCGCCCTAAACTAGTATCCTGGAACTCTTGTGTTCATCTATGATATTCGAGTAAAGTAATCAAAATTGGTTGTGGCTGTGATGGCATATAGTCTGCTCAGCCGCTATCTAATAATGAGGTCACCGTTCTGTCTATTTGCTATTTGTTTTGTGAGAACTTTAAAGTCTCTATTTAATTACAGAGTAATTAACGTAGAGTTTTTATGTGATGTTGTTGGATGAAAAGCTTCCGGGTTGCGGAATTAGAAGATCAATATTTGAAGTCATAACATGAAAGGGGATAAAATTTAGCCGAAGGAAGGTGTAGCTACTTAGGTATGCAGAGTTCTTTCAAATGCTCTCTCTTAGATTTCAAGCAATCAAACTCTCTTGCTCTAGATTCAATCTCTCTTTAACACGCTGATCTCAGTGGAAAATATGCGCAAAAGTGTTCATTTTCAAAAATTTGGGCCCCGTTTCCTTCCAATCCTCCGCGTTGCCCCAGAAATAGTTCGTATTTGTCCTTAAAGATGCAGTACAGAGACCCAAACCACAAGACGCTTCCCGATTAAACTTCAAATTACGAATTAACTGAGACCACGGATCTTCAATCTCAAGAACAAGGCTGACAAAACCGTTCCTGAAATTTCTCAGAAGTATGGATTCCAATTCATCAAGTCAGATAACATGAGAATTTCTAGCAGGATCTCCATAGTATTGCCCCTCCAAACCCTGTTGATTGCTACCATTAATGTCAGTGAGAAGCCCACAAGTATTCCGTAATTGATACACTGAATACTATAGAGTCGAGACCAGTCAAAGTAATCAAACAATTCTACAGCTTTCATTTCATCATTATCTATCAATTGAATGATATTAGGTGTCGAAGCTAAAGTAAAATAACATGCTATCAATATTGCTGATTATCGAATTGATCTCCTATCAAACTTCCAAAGGACTCATTCGACATCTGAGATGGTCAGAAATCGTCATTTGATATGTTGAATGTCGCCATCTAAGACTCTTTCAAAAGAAAAGAAACTTATCTGGGTGGCGAAATGGCTGGGGGCGGGAAAGTATGGGTAAATGCACAAAAACGGATACACTTTGTTATCGATCGATATACATCTATCATGACCAGTGTTTCACAACATTGACAAACAGTGATATAGATGCAGGAAAGTGAAAGAAGCGATAAGGTTAAGGTTCTAGAAAAGTGAGACTATTCCCGCTTGTGGATTTCTCTTACCCCAACCTTATTTCAAACTTTATTTACTTTCATTGTTAATTGATGAGATCATTATTTTACTTGACGTTGAGATATTTGCATTAACTTAAATTTGCAAATTGCCAATAACAGTGAAAATCATTCACAAAAGGTTGCTCCAAAATGTCGAAGAATCGTGAAAAAAGCTATTGTACTCGCACCAATACTCTAACTCATTTCTTGCAGTACTTTTCTTCTGTAGTAAATAGAAATGCCTCAAATGAAGAGATATAGCACGGATGAAAACTATAAAAGGAGGAGGAAAACTCTAAGTAAGAGGGGACATCGAACGAAAGGGGGCTAACAAGGACAATCGAACATCTGTAGTGTAGGGTTACAATAGAGATGGCTAAGGAATGCCCTCAGCGTCTGTCGCTTATTCGTTACTCGGATTACATAGGATCTGTTCTGCGTTCGCTTTGATCGCATTCATGCGGTAACGAGTTCTCATCACACGACTTTACATACGTACATCAATGATGTCGCCGTATAGAACTTTATCCTCCTTATATATCTCTCTTTATACGAGCTGACCCCCTTTCTTTCTACACACAAGTTTTCAAGCACATGAGTAACGGCAAAAGCTACTCAAATACCAACATTTACCCTATACAGTGTATTAAAACTCACAACTACCACACCATCAAGCGACAAACTTTTCATGAAACCACCTCAGTCCGATACCATTTCATAGGCTCCGAAGCTTATCAGCCAATTAAGCTTACATTGAGTTTCCTTATAAAGCCTCAACCAAAACAAAATACCTAAACACTTCATTCAATAATGTGTATCAGCTTCGCCTCTCCTGCTCCAGCCCAGTGTCCTCTCGACTCTCTCCGCCCCGCCAATCCTACTCCTTACCATCCGGAAAACCTTCCATCAATCTTATCTCCTTTCTTTCGTCCCTCCAACCCAACTCCCTACCATCCACAAAACCTTCCCCAGGATCTTGAAGAGACACGATCCATATGCCGCGTCCTCAAAGAAGCTGGATTTGTCAACATAGAGCAATTCTTAGATTCACATGATTTGAGAGATGATGAGAAGAATCGTATATTGAGGGCCTGGGAGTTCAATGAGGGAATAATAGAGGACTGCTTGGTTCAGAATGCGAAAGAAGAGATCTTGATGCAAAGAGAAAACGAAATTAATGGTGGAAGGGAGAAGGAAAATGAGGTCTTTGCCACATTTGCTGGCATTAAAAAACATGCCAAGACTGTGAAATCAAAGGTTTTGGGTGAGAAGAGAAATCTCAACACACACCAAGCACCCATGCCCCAAAAAACAAGTGATGAGATGAATTATAGCTCCGATGAATCTTATTTCTCTAATTGCTAGCGGGGATGAATATTCACTGGAATAACGATCAAAGATGGAGCGATATAGCAGACCGGCTAGGAAATTCTATTACCGCCGGACGGAACGACATCTTGTCAAAGGAGGTTGACAAAAACATAATGTAATATCGAATACTAGAGAGTTTAAAGCAGGCCACAACAATGCTAGGCAGATACAATACCCGCGGCGAAGACTCGAAGAATTGCAATGAGTGTACTTACACTTTCGAGCGGTTCCGTTGCAAGGAGAAATGGTAATAGCGACGAGTTAATGGATTATGAGATCATTGTTTCGTCCGATGAGATCGATCACTGATTACTCAGAAGTGGAGTCATTGGTTGAGCACATGGCATGCACGTGGTATGCACGTGGTATGGTTTAGTTAGTTCAAGCATGGCTAGCGTTGGGGAACTGACCATCAAGCGAATATCACCCGCTGAATTGAAATGTCGATCTACCAAACTTTATTTTTCCTAGAACTGTGATGCGATTTGTGAGAAAATGCACATTAAAAGTTCGACCTTGCTAGCCCTCTTCAGGTCTTCCGGAGACTCTTGCGCTGTCAGGTTAGTGTGATTCCCCAGGTTTCAATGTTCGGTATCTAACCTACCTAAGCATGATTTCTCTTCTCAAGTATATTATTACCCCGCGCGAATTTGAAATGTTCTCTATATCTAGTCGCTTTAATGGCGGTTGAGCTGCAAATGAAGGAGAGATATGATTTTAAGAACACGATACCTCAAGCATCCAACTACGGTCGAGAAATTCCGTACGAACATGAGAACCAAGGCCGAAATCGTTATCAGGGAGATAAAGTCTTATTTCACTACTAGTCTACCGTGGAATCAAAATGTCCATTTGAAAGCCCTCGCCATCTTGGGTGTGAAATTAAGCATCGTAAAAGAAATCATCATCAAAATCATCATCAAAATCATCCTCGAAATCATCATAACCGTCATCTCCATCATCTCCATCATCTCCACCACCGAAATCTTCATAGTCAAAATCCTCGCCAACATTATCATCGACCATACCAACATCAACATCGACATCGACACATTCATCCGGTTCTTCTTCCCTAGATGAAACCCTATCCAGTTCCTCCACAATCTCAACCCCAGACACCTGAAATCCATCATCCACTTCGTCACTATTAACCACGTCCGCAAATTCGATTGACTCTTCTATGCCATCTTCTTCTTCCTCATCACTAACCACCTCCAAAAATCCGATCAATTCAACTACATCATCATCATCTTCCGAGCTCTCCGTACCTCGTTGATCCTTCACATTTCCTTCATCGTTAGCCGCCCTAAACTCCAATCTCCTCAGATCCTCCCCCATCAAATCCTCCTCCTTCATCCTCTCAATCATTTCTTTTGCTTGTTCTAGATGTTCATCATCATGTAATTTCAATCCATGTGAGAACATGAAATCGTTCATGCTGCGAAAACCGGCGTCTTTGAGAATTCTGTAGGTTGATTTTGAGGGGTTTGAATCTGTTGAATAGGTTGGTTGGTTGCTACTTTTGGTAGATTGAGGGGAGGAACTGGGTTGGGTCCCGGTAGAGGTGCTCATCTTGGCCCAGGTTTGGGAGTCAAGATGGGTGAGTTGTCTTGGCGTATTATTTTTTGACGTGTCAGGACTTTGGATTGGAAAGTATGTTGATGTTAATTGGTATTGTGGTTGTAGTTGTGGTTGTGTTGTGAAAAGTCTGTGAATGGTAGAATATATACTCACATTATAGAAAAGAAACGATGTTGATAAAGACATTTGAATAGAAGCAAAGAAAGGCGGGGTAAAAGATTACATGTTGTTCCACTTGGGCTTTGTTTGCTAGCTAATGAATTGGAATAAGTGAAAAAGAAGATTTGAAGTGAAATGAATGAATGTTCAGTAGAAGGTCGGTTTTACAACTTACGCGAGCTGGCTTATGGGTTCCTTTGACTCTTGTATTATTGTCATGCCTGATTATTTATAGTATCCAAAACAGTAGATGATTATATTCATATATATAGTAAATACCAACTACTATCAGCCGAAACGTGTTTTCACACTAAAACTTATCATTTATAATCCTAAATTTTCCTATTTAGTATTAATATAAATTAATCTTTTTTTATATTTATTGATTTATTTTCAATTAAAATTTAATAAAAATAAGATTGATTATTTTTTTGATTTTTTTTGATTATATAATATAGATTGAAAGTTAGAGTATTTTCAAAATCGTTAAATTTACTAATAAAATAAGCAAAAATCAAGCAACTTTTTTAATATTTTAATTCAATCATATAAATTTTCATAATATAAATTTTTAAAAGATTTAAAACTTTGAAAATATCAATTATCATTATAAAAATTTTCCAAAAATAAAATTTCAGATATTTTGAATTATTAATAATAAAGATTTTTCTATTTGAAAATATAGTAAAAAGCTGATTTTTGGTGTGAAAATGGATTTCGGCTAATAGCAGTTGACTAGTACTGTAACTTGGTATCGTGAATACAAGATTATTCTTCTCGCATCCCTCCCCCCATACAATCTATTCAGCTTCCAACTACTCTCCAGAACTCCTCCTCTTCAAGGACTTTCAAAATAATGGATTCCATCCGTCAAAGCTACCGTAATAATCTGCGTAACCTCCTGTCCATCCGCACTCTGATCTTCTGGAAGTCTCTGTAGCACATTATTCGTAAAAGCCTCATGTCCCAACAACAACAAGCCTAGACCAGCCACAATAGCACCATCCAATCCTTGCTCCTTGAACAATTGCTTTTTCCCCTTCAGGGTATTTACGGCAATAGGATTGTCGATTGCGAGAGTAACATTCACATGTTCAATGAGTGATTGTGCGTCTGATTCTGATATTGAAGGGGGCAAGAGAGCGGAGTCTGTGACACCTTGTAGAAGAGAAAGGTAGACGGCTGTGAGAGAGCCGAGAAGGGGAGCGGCTGGGAGGAGACCACCGTTGTAAAGGGCGGTTTGGGAAGTGAGAGCTCGGACATTGTTGTCGAGGGTTGTGATGTCGTTTATCACTTGGGTGACGGTTATCAGGGCTAATGCGGTCGAGGGCCACGAGAGGAGGGCTTTGATAGATACCATTTTGAGTTACAAGGAGTAATGTACGATGGATTGTGAAAGTATATCAAGCTTTTGACATGGATGACTCAAAAAATCAAGGGAAAAAGATTGCAAGAAGTACAGAGTCTGGGTGAGTAAAGAAGGCAAGACGAGGATAAACTTTTATAGGAAGTGCTTATTGAGAGATCGCCCACTAGGGAGGGATCCTTCATCAGTCGTCAATTATTCCCGATCTAGGATTAACATCTTTCCAGATATAGTAACCTGTAACCAAGCCTTGGTGCTCGCTAATGGTGGATCGGATCATCAGTTTGGAATCGTTGGATCGATTCGGTTATAGATTGAAGAAGATTGAATACTAAAAAACAACAGCTTATGAGAGAATGACTTGAATCAAATTATACAATTATTCTCAACTTTAGATCAATCCACACGAACTGTCGAGTCCTAGACAGCTGCTCAATCGAAGACATAAATATATCATCAAAGAGGCTGTAGATAGAGCCTGTGGATGATTGACAAACTCTTGAAGTAGCTGAAAACAAGGTACCAAACGATCTACCGTGGGCTGCATTGAATAGCGTTGTGATGTGCAGCGCTATTTGATAGACACCGAAACTATTCACAAGCCATTACCATGGGGTTAACCGAACCGCCTGGGCCATTCGGCACATGTGGCTGGCACGCGAGGCACGTGTCAAGATGTGATAGCGATCAATCGTTCTGCAGAAGGGTTCGAGCAACATTAGAGGAACAATGATCCTCACTCCTTACATTTTGTACAGTTTGGAGAAGATCGAGAGGACAGAATGCTTTTCATCGCGCAATCACCTGTTTGCTGTTTCTGCACGGTACCTGGCCGAGGCCCACGGGTACCTTACCCCGCGAAGTATATCTGATCCCCAGAACTTAGAATTTCGGGCTCATCCTCTAGCTTCCGAGCTTCTCCATATGCTTTGACATGTCGGCTGAGAACTTGTGTGGATGATTAGATGCAGGCACCATTTCCAAGCTTGTACCTGTGGTGCGCTTGAGGGTGAGTGACCTATGCCGCTGTGTGAGTTCTGAGAAAAGAGATACAGTATCCGTGTTATGGATTGCCTAGATTCCATCGTATAGTACGTCGAACAATGTTACTTATCGAGCTCAAGTAGATATAGATAGAAAAGACAAATTTTATGCTAGAAAATAGTTGTGCACACAGCCAGAACTCATCGCCGTTCTGCCGCTTTCAGTTTCCGGGCGGTGAGTCTACTTTTTTTTGGACTTTGAACATCTCCGGAAATAACTTTTTGGGATGGTTCTTATTCCCAGACGATGGAAATTTTCTTAATTTCTTGTCTAAATCTGGAGGTGACGGTGGAGGTGGTTGAAGAAACTGATCTTTTTTTCAGATATGCAACAAAACAAGATTGTCGGTCGCGTTCACGTGATATGGCAGAATAAAGCGGTGATTTGATAGATTATGTAAACAAATTGGATGAAAAAATGATTGTAATAACTCTTCTGTAATAACTCTTCTTCTACTCGAATGTCTTCTTCCTATCTCTCATCACTACCTAGTGACTTGGATCTGTTGCATTAATCAATGTTTCATCTTCATCTCAAAAAAATTGCAATGAAGGAAGACATATTATCAGTACTCGTCTGGTAGTGCCTGGAGTACCCTTGGATATCCTTCGAAGATCAATCAGTTGGGACCCGCTCCTTCATGATAACGCTTAATGGCAAAGATGGTCTGAATGGTGCAATTTGGTAGTATTCTTACCCTTTGCATGTTCATATTACGGAGGTTGGGGAGGTGAATGAATCGGTTGACTGTACTCCTGACATGGTTTCAATCATATCAACATCTACGAAGAGATGGAACTACTCGAAGGGTCTCTTTCTACATCGATAAAGACATCAAGTGGGCCATTGTCATCACATCTTACAACGACTTGAAAACATCCAAGTTGCATTCGACGAACAGCTGAAGGATACGAATTGCATTCCCATATCGGGAATGCTCTACGTGGTTCACCGACAGAAAGTACCTCGTCGCGAGCTCGGATGTACAAATGTACACGATATCATCACACCATCACATTATCACATCTTACTCCCTTTATCCACCGGATCTCTTTCCGAATTTGACCCGCACATAACCTTCCTCGCCACATGGTAACGCCACCTTCTTGGGAAATCTAGAGGTTGCATTGTCCCGACCAAATTTGCCAGGTACAAAAGTACTTAAGGTACCAGCAGTACCAAGACTCGGGGATTTCCGACCATTAGCCAATCACGTTATCTACTTTTATCAATTGAGGATATATAATGTTATCGTCTAACAACTTGTATCATGGATTATCATGGATTATGTATTAATGACAGCAAATATCCCTGACCCCACCTTCCTTTTCGGTAAAGGTCCGTCAGCTCGGATAAGCAACCATCATTTTCCCAGCCCATCACAACATTCAACAACTAATTTATATTACCAGGGACAGTATTTTACCATGAGTATGGAAATTATGAAAGAGGTATTGATCATCTCCAAATCTAGCCCCTTCTTCCGTAATTTACTCGATTTTCAACATTTCCAAGACTTTCGTTACTAAATGAATCAATTTACGTCTTATCGTGAAGTCGTATAACATATATACACCTTCCTAATTGGGATTCACTAAATGTAAAGTTACATGACAGCTGCAACTAGGATTAACGTGCGGGGTTTGAGGTACCAGAAAATGGAAAGTTTAACAGGGTCTACTTTTACTACATATTCCCCAAGCTCTCATGTTTTGTTATTCTCCATCTCTATCATCCTACTCATCTTCAATTCATACCGTTCTTTGAAGCTGTGATCATGGTTGGATTCTCGATTCTCATTTCTACAGCTTTGGCTGCTCAATCAGCTCTCGCGGGTTCAGTCATTCGCTCGAGAACAAACTATGCGGTCAAGGAAAGACATTATGTTCCTAGACAATGGAAAAGAGTTGCTCGTGCTCCTGCTGAAGGTATCATTAATTTGAATATCGCATTGAAGCAGAGTCAATTCGAAGAACTTGAGAGACAATTGTATCAGGGTTAGTTAAAGTTTCAACCTGTTGCATTCGAATCGACAGAACTAATATATTCTTTACAGTTTCCGATCCATCCCACCAAAATTACGGCAATCATTTGACTTCCGAGGAAGTCGATGAATTAGTTAGACCATCATCTCAAACTCTTGATTCCACTCACGAATGGCTTCTTGAGAACGGAATTGACGCTTCAAGCTTAAGATACAGTAGTGCAAAGGATTGGATTCATCTCTCCATACCAGTCAAGGATGCTGAGCGCTTGCTCGATACTGAATACCATGTTTATGAGCATGAAGCTGGTGGTCAGATTATTCGTACTCCAAATTGGTCGCTTCCTATGCATCTTCATCAGCATATTGATGCCATTCAACCAACAACTTCATTCATGCGTGCCGCACCAAGATCTAGTTACAACCCAAGAGAAGCAAAGATTAACTCAAGACACACCAACGTTATCGAAGGTCAACTTAGTGCAGGACATACTCCATCTGGATATACTCCTCCATCAAACACCACACTTTCGGCACTATGTGATGTTGCTGCAGTATCTCCTGAATGCTTCCAAGCTCTCTATGGAACCGGAAAATACAAGCCAAAGGCGGCTGGAAAGAACAAGATTGGATTCAACAATTTCCTTGGGGAAGTTCCCATCAGAGCAGATGATGCCTTGTTCTTACTCAAGTATCGCCCAGATGCAGTAGCCTCTGCATACCAATTCAAATACGTCTCTATCAACGGTGGACCAGTTCAAAACACCACTCTCACTGCTGAGCAATTGGCAGATGGACTTGGCAAAGAAGCCAATCTCGATCTCACAGCTATCACTGGAATCAGTTACCCAACACCAATTACCGCCTATTCAACTGGTGGACAACCACCCTTCAATGCTTCAATTGGTACATCTAAAAACACCAACGAGCCATATGCCGATTGGTTGAACTACGTTCTCGCACAGCCTACCTCCGAGATTCCTCAAGTTATTAGCACATCCTACGGTGACGAAGAACAAACTGTTCCCGAATTCTATGCTAAGCGTGTCTGCGAACAACTCGCTCAATTGGGTGCTAGAGGTGTATCCGTTCTTTTCTCCTCCGGAGATTACGGAGTTGGAGACAATGGTACATGTATCTCCAATGATGGAAAGAATACCACAATGTTCGTTCCAGATTTCCCAACAAGTTGCCCATACATTACTTCTGTTGGAGCTACCAAATTCTTCGAGCCAGAAGTTGCTGCTTATCGTGCTACTGGTATTGATCCCATCAGTGGTGTTTATCATGGTGGTTGGTCTACTGGTGCTGGGTTCAGTAACTACTTTGCTAGACCTTCATACCAAGAAAAGGTTGTTTCTGCTTACGTCAAGAAACTCAATGGTACTTTCGATGGTCTCTACAACAAAAGTAAGTACCTTCTCTTCTCACCTTGCGTATAGAAATATCACTAACAATTTCCAGCTGGTCGCGCATACCCTGATATCTCTGCCCAAGGTTTCTACTTCGCTTACGTCTGGAATCAAACTTACGGTTCTATCTCCGGTACCTCTGCCTCTACACCTCTCATGTCCGGTATAATTGCTCTCGTCAACGATGCGCTTCTCTCCAAGGGTAAACCAGTGCTTGGTTTCTTGAACCCTTGGTTGTACAGTAAGGGATACAAGGGATTCACCGATATCCTCAGCGGAAGTGCCGTTGGATGTGATACTGCTGGTTTCCCTGTCACTGAAGGTTGGGATCCCGCTACTGGATTCGGTACTCCTAACTTCCCAGAGTTATTGAAACTTGCTGGGGCCAACTAGATAAAACTCAACTGGATTGGCTGGTATCATAGAGGAGATGGTGGCTAGGTGATCGGTAAAATGAATGCATGAAGCATAATGAATAGATAATTCTAATGATATAATGATTACGCTCAAATTTGGTTTTATAGTCATGTCGTGAACCTCATGATCAGATGCGAAAAAATTTGAGTGCAAAGTGACTGCAGATTGTTATATAGAAGCGAACATATTGCTATCGTCTCTATATGAATTTTGGATGAACACATAGATAAGATCACATCTCATCTTATATTCAAGTAGCAGCTCCTGCTGCTGCGACGACTGAGTCCTCGGTTTCTTCATCTGAATAAGCAGCAATGGTATTTTTAAACCCGTATTCAAAGCCTTCAAAGGACGCAATCAAACAACCATTTAAGTGGCAACATCATCTTTGACAGAATCCTCATATACGGACTGGTTCTCACTGGAAGAGTCGTCTTGCTCTAAACCAATCTCCTGCTGTCGGCTAACCTCCTGTTCCGGTTCAGTTTCTCGTTTTGGGCCGATCTTATCAAACTCGTGGTTTGGGTGTGTCGCATCACTTGTGACCTTGCATTTTTCGCAAAAATCAAAGTCTTCGCAATTTTGACAATGGAAACGGATGCCACCAATCTTTAATGTTTGACTTAGTAAAGTACTACGTGAATACAATTCTTTCGTTTACTCACCTTACAATTGCACCCATCGCAGCGTGCCCCGTGTGACATACCTGCTGAGGGCAGAACTTCGTCGGGAATAGATGATGACTTGAGGAACTTCACAATTTTGCTGTGCCCGTTATAGCTTGCGATTTGCCGTGGAGTCCATTTTTTGGTCGATTCGAGTACTTTGGCATCCGAGTGAGCGTCTACTTCAAGAAGCATTTGTACAACTTCCAAGTTGCCAGCCTGCGCAGCCCAGTGAAGGGGAGTCCAACCATCGACGTCTTTCCGGTGATAGTCGTGTTTATTGGGAGGGAAGCGATCTATTAGGTAAAATATCATATCCATCGAGCCGCTGACAGAAGCATGGTGCATGAGGTCCCGATCCTGTAGATCACGGAAAGTTGATCCGAGCAGATTCAATCCTTCGGAGCTTTCTCTGAATAGCTTTTTAAGTATGGATACAGTGCCGATTTGTGCTGCGAACTGAAATGCAGTTCTTCCTTGCATGTCTTTCGATTCCGCACCAGCGCCGAAAGATAAAAGACGATCTACAATGTTCTCGGCTCTCCACCGAATGGCTTCTTGTAGTGCATTTCTAGTATGCTTCTGTCCTCTTTCAGGTTTTGCACCTGACTCTAATAACAACAGTACGAGTTTCTCGTCTTCTGCATAAATCGCTTGCAATAAGCACGTTCGTTGATAATTGCCCCATTCCTGTTCTATATCGGCTCCTTTACTCAAAAGTAATTTGATGCTATCCATATTCCTGTTGAGAACCGCTAGTGATAAGGGTGTCTCATTTGAGTTGTTTGCAGTATTGACAAGCGCTTCCTTCTCTAAAAGTAACTTTGTGATAATTTCATTTCCATTGCGAGTAGCCCATAACAGTGGTGTCTCACCTGTGTTGGATGCGATATTTGTATTCGCCTCCCTATCCAAGAGCAATCCGGTGATGATTTCATTGTCGTAACGAACTGCTGACAGAAGTGGCGTTTCTTTTGCTCCATTTGTCATTTCGATATTTGCTTCTGCGTCTAAAAGGCATTTCGTGATTTCATTAAATTCATAGCGAATCGCCAATGAAATTGGCGTCTCCCCGGTATTATCCATCGCATTTATGTCCACTCCATTCCTTAACAGCAGCTTTACAGTCCGTAAAAAACCCCTCCTACTTGCTTCTATTAAAGCTGTCGATCCACTGACGGCTTCTTGTACATTAGGATCCACACCTAGATCTAACAATAGATTCATGAGATCCCCATCACCAGTGTTGTACGCCAAAGACATTGCAGGATTGAGCTGCTCCATATATTGATCTTTATTCGAGGCGCTCTTAACTTCTTCACCGAGTAGAAACATCACGACCTTCGGATGCTTGAAGTTCAATGCCCAGATAAGTGGAGTCCAGCCATCCGTGTCTTGGGCCTCCAATCTAGCACCGAAAGTCAAAAGAAGTTTGACTATGTCGAGGTTGCCCTTCCAGGCAGCGACAGAGAGTGCTGTCTCCTCGTATCTGCTATTTCTCTTCTCAAGGTCAGCACCATGGTCAATTAAAACCTTGACACATTCTGTATTTCCACATGTCACTGCATAGGAGAGAACACTATCTCCGTCAGGGTCAACTTCATTGGAGTCCGCACCGTTGGCAAGAAATAATTCTATTGCCTCGTGTTTGCCATTCTCGACAGCAAGAAACATGGGTGAGTCTTTTGTCACAGGCTCATTTTTTAGAGTGACGCCGCTGTTTATGAGTTGAGTTAAGATGTCTAGCTTGCCGCGCTCTGCTCCCCAAGAAAGAGCTGTGCGTCCATTCTTGTCTCTCAGATCTTTGTCAACGCCAGCTGCAAGAAGCATTTTGACTCCAGGCTCGTATCCTCGAGATACTGCCAGCATGAGCGCAGTGAGGCCATGATCATCGGCTAGATCGATATACGATGATGACTTCAAAGGAGAGGAACTATTGCTAGGTTTCCACCGCTTCAATATACTAGCTACCATCATGTCGGACTCAGCATCCACTGCTAAGTGAAGGATTGATCGACCATTCTTGGTGTACAGCTGGCTCATGTCAACTGCGATTTCCTTCCAGTCAATGAGAAATTCGAAAGGTGTCTTGAAGTTGTTGTCAACAGCCCAAAGCAATAGTTTCCCGCCGTTAACAGTTAAATCTTCTTGTTTCAATAGTGATTTAATTACCGAAGCTAGCTGTCCTTCTTTTGAAGGTATTTCCGCCTTCCCAGCTTTTTTCGACTTCTTAGCTTTCTCATCGACACCAACTTTGCTGTTTGAATTGTCTGGATTGTCCGGGTTTTCACTTTCTAGGGTTCCGCCTGAAATATCTACAAGGTGACTGGGCTCTTCACTGAGATCTGGTCGCGGCAGAGGAGGGCTCTTCATTTTCTGCTCCATCTCAACAGCCAAGTCCAAAGCTTTTTTGTCGTCCTTGTCTTTGATCGCAACAATTGCCTCTTTGTCGATAAGCATTTCGATGATTTTGGCTCTATTAGAAGATCCATCGGTGTTTATGCCCTTCACTGCGACATGTAGTGCAGTCCGTCCAAGCACGTTCTGCGCATTGAGATCCTGGGCGTTGACGACTTTTTTGAGAAGCATTTCTACAATTTCGGGATTTCCACCGAGGGCTGCAAAGTGTAAAGGAGTCATGTCCGAATAATCTTTGAAATTAAGCGTCTTTTTGTGGAGCTTCGATTCCAGGATTGACTTTGTGGCTTCGATATTTCCTGTTTTCACGGCCCAATGTAATGGAAATAGGCCATCTCTCCCCTGTAATGGTCTTGCGTTGGCGTCCAAGAGTTTTTGGATAATATCTTCTTCTGCAAGGTCTTGTTTTGAGTTGTCCCTTTGTTTCATAGCGGCGTAGTGCAGGGGAGTACGGCCGGCAAGGTCACATTTATTGACTAGCTCTTTCCTCTTCTCTACTAATTTCTGCGTTGCTTCCAAAGAATAGATCACAGCGTAGTGTAGAGGTGTCCAACCAAGTATATCAGCAGTATCGAGGAATTGCTCCATATGTTTATCCAGAAATAATTTTTTCTTATCGATAACTTCTCTGTGCAAAATTGTCTGTCCGTTTCTTGCTGATCCTTTGACGTTGTCTTTGGTTTTATCGTCTAACAATCCTGCCTTTCCAAAGTTCTCTAACAATCCTGCCTTTCCAAAGTTCTTGAGCCGACCTTGCTTTGTATAAAGTGACTGCAGCATATCTAGACACGTTTTATGTTTAGGTTTCAAGATAGCGATCAAAGTTCTTTTACTCTTCTCCAATCTTCCATCAGATGTTTCCATGTATTTCTTAGTTTCTGAGGCAGATGTAACAGTCACAAGGAAGTCAACGGCTGTGCTGACTACTTTGTATACAAAATTCCCCTCTTGTGGTAGATCGTCGCACATTTTCAGTAATTTTCCATAAAGATTGCAAGCAAATTCTCGATCGCCCTGTTCATTATCTTTGGCGATTTTTTGTACTACGTCCACCATGCTTTCGTTAGGGAGTTTTTCAAAATAGCTAAGTGGGGGTATTATCAGTGAATTGGCGTCTTCCAACGTTCCGAGGCCAGAAGTCTCGACGGCTTTGGTCATTTGCTTGATTTTTTTGTTGCTTAATCGTAACGAATTCCAGTTCGGGTACTTCTCATATAGTCTAAGCTCATCATCCCCGGGTAACACAACTTCTGTTTTGTGTGCATTTCCCCCCTCAGATAGTGGCAAGAAATTTGCAATCGCCCACAAAAAGGTGGAAAATATATGTTGAGCGAGAAATTTCTCCTTCGTAACACTGGCGAACATGGCATAGTATGAGGATTTTGGGGAATATGCTGCCATTTGAAATGTCAGAAATTTGCCGAGTATTCATGCTATCCCTGAATAAACATTGGAGCCCACTTGATAAACATGACTCATGCCCAGTGTCGAGTAGGCTGTAGGTGAGGAAATAAAGAGAATGTTAGGTTTACCTGGCAGACAAAAACCCATGCTGAGACATTGTGTGTCATTTACACCATCCCATGAAAATTTACCAAGTGCTTCAGCACTCTCAATACCGGCCCACCACGCCATATCTCGTTTGAGTGTAGATCCTAAGGGTCCGATGACTCGTTGAAAGGAGTGTATGTCACGAGCAATATTCTCAGTGCTATTCTGAGCCCGGTTACCGCTCTGGTGATCATTACTCAGATGATACATCCACAACGAAAGAACTGACTCAATATCTTCGGCGGAGACGCTCCATTCGTTTTCGTTTTCTTTTTCTTTTTCTTTCTTTCTTGTCGCGTGAAGTTTAATTTTTTGGGTGTATTCACCTTTCGCAATATTTACGTCAATGAGCCAATGGAGAGTAGAACCCTGCCATCCTTTGAATAAACTCATGATTGTTTGGATTGCTAAAGCCGCAGAGGCAGCGTTAGATTTTATCACAGGGTCGGACCAGCCAGTGAGCTCTCGAAGACGGTTTCGTACATTGAGAACCTTCTGAACCCTGAGATCGTTTTCATTAGATTCCCACCAGTCAGTGAGCTCCTGTAGACGTTTCCGAATGCGTACGGATTTCTGCATCATCGGCTTATTCTTAGCAGGGTCCCAAGAAGCAGTGAGCTCCTCCCAAGTGGTGAGCATTCGGAGACATTCTTTTATGAGAGCTTCAGTCGCTGCTCTGGACCCTTGGATATATTCGTGGGATTTAGATATTGTCGAGTCAGAAGTATTTGGTTCTACCTGGACAGGAATTTCTCGGCTACCGGCGTATATGTTGTTAAGTCGAAGTGTTGGCAATTCACTTGGGCGTGTTTCTGGTCCAACAGTCAACTCGCGAATTTGTTTCTGTATTTTAACAATTTCCTGAACTATCGACTCATTGGTGATGGGCATCAACTCGAAAGCCACTTGAACGGTTGGATTTATTCGACTGCAAACCTTCCATGAAGGATGATAAGGAGAAATATCTGGGGGTTGAACTTTAGATCTGCTAAGATTGCTCAAGTAATTGTCATCATTGCCAATCCTAAGTGCAAGCCAGTCAATTTCATATTTCTCCGGAATCTCCTGGTCGATAGGTCTATCCAGCATGCCCCGACGAATAATGGCTCGAACAACAGTCATTATCGAAATGGCAACAAGCTGTGCAATTGAACATGCCCAGCTGATACCGCGAAAGCCTTCAAATTGCAATATAAATCCAATGACTCCTGTAGATGTCCCTATGATGCAGAGCGTGTTGATCCACTTGGAAGTTGACTCATATGGTGGGATCTGCTTTAACGGTATAGGAGGGTTTTGAGTCTTGGACGTCATCGAACGAGAGTGGGAAGATCTAGCACTTCTATTGGATACAGTATTTGAAGGCTGAATTTGGAGGCTGGGCGTTTGAGAAGCCCCTGTTTTGTTGGAACTATCTTCGATGATAGGATGTGAAGATTCGGTACCCAAAGACTGTTTGCTGCGACAAGAGGTCATGATTAGTTCCTTTTCCATTCTTGCCATAAGCATATATGAATCGAAGGTCTGGTCGCTGACAACAAAGCGCTGTTGAAGCCAGAAAACAAGAAATTTTCGGGACTGTGAATCACCCTTCTTTGCATTGGGCTTATGTGCTTCAAACGAAGATTTAGTGTTTCTTTCGCCGTCTTTCATTAGAATTTTGAAGAATCCTCCAAGAACTCTTCTCCATAAATGCTTATGGTAATTATGAGAATTATTTGCACCTCCTGTTTCTACGTCTTCACTGGATTCTTGGAATATTGATTGACGATTCCCTTCAACCTGCTGCGTTGTAGCATTGCTATCTGCCTTCAATTCCCAAACACACTCATCGGTGCTCTCTCCAATGACTGAGGCGCAAATACCCATTCCGATAACCAGCACAGCTGTCCCACTAGCCAAAGTCGGGAACGCATAAGCGCTTGGGCGCCCGCCTACCGCAGCTCCGAATCGATTGTCGTAGGCAACAAAGGCAGAAAAAATGATGACTCCCGCCTGAAGAATTATACCTAGAACGGCAGCTACAAACAATTCTCCTCTGTTTTGCTTAGGATGTATATTTAAAGAAATATTCGGAGCTCGATCCGAACCGTCATTTTCAAAATGACCCTCTTTGGAATTTGTTCCTCCAGACATGTTGTTGTGTGAGTCGTTGTTAGGGCTTTTTGATACACTTGTTCTTTTCCACGGCGTCTGTGTCTTTTTTTGCCGTAGTTCCTTTAGTATATCGATGAGTGCACTTGTTTTTTTCCACAGCTCCTTTGTCGTTTTTCGCCATAGTTCCTTTAGTATATCGATGAGTGGATCACTATATGCTTTTGAAAGCATCGAACATGTCATTCCCAATTCATACGGAGACACAGGACCCAGACGTACCTTTTTTTGTCATATGTCTTAATATTTCAGGGTCAGACAAAGTGAAGAGACCAAATTTCTCCGTAGGACCACGTCCCTTCAGAAAGAGTATTTGTTTAACTTCACCTTTTCCCATGGTCCGGACTACAGTGTGTCCATTCCATAACTCGGATACCTCATGTGAAGTTGAGGACATGAAATCAAGCTCTGCAGAGGCTCGATTCTCTCGTGCACGACCGATCAAAGCTTTCAGCTGGGGTGGACCGCCAACGCGAATGGCGCCTATAATAGCAGTAATGATGCCCAATGGAGCCATGGCGAAGATTATGTGGTCAAGCCATGTGAAAGATTCTCTCAGGAATTGTTGGGCAAAAGTTTCACCAAACAAGGCCAGAAGCCTGAGATTGTATCAGCGATGAAACTTTATGCTCGAACTTCCAATACTTACGGCCCTAGGTCCGAAAACAGATTGTTCGTGACATCTGTACCATCTGCACCGGCCCGCGAGGCTAGAAACAGCAGCAAAAAGATCTTGCGCTGCATTGATCCAATAACTCTTGGCTGGAGTTGGTAAGACTGCGTCCCAATTGATTCGCGATGGAAAAAAGATTACTCCACGACAGAGAATGTGTGAAGTCAAAATAATGTGGCTATTGGAAAAGGTGAATGAGAATTAAGAGACGAAGAAGCCTCGAGACTGATGGATGGCATGAGTATTAGGTGTCTCAACACCTTCCATTCCAGGAGCCCTGCTCCCACCATTACAATCACTAGGATCACAATGAGGCTGACTCACCGATCCCCGCGCACCGAGCCATTAGATGGTGTGCGGCTCATGTAAGTGCGGCAAGAGAGCCTGCCAGGTTTGTATTTATCCATCACGATGGCAAGTTCTCCATTGAATACAGATCAATATTCCGGGACTGTTCCGTTGCGGAAATCTATTCAAAGTATGAGAGGTACCCATCCCACACAGGATTATTTGCAGGTTTCCTCATTTGATGAGTATCGAATACAATCGTTCTGTGCTGCTGAGCTATACGACACAACATCCATGGCTCGACATAGTAAAATACCTATCAAAAGTTTCCTTAGCCACACTCGAAGCCCTAGTTTTCACGTGACGGGCTAAATTTATCATTTTTCTAGGTAGCTCTAGCTTTCAGCAAGGAGCAATCTGACAGCTAGATGACACCCAGGTGTGCGACTAGTTACTTTACCTTGAGCCTGCTCAGGCGTCTCAGCCGCATGTACATATCGAATTCTCATTTGCCATCTTTCTACAATACTACCCTCCCAACATTACTGAATAGCAGGGTGGTCTAATCAAAATTCTTGATTTCCTGCAATAACCTGGCCAAATTGTAACTCTACAATCAAAATCGGAAGAGTTTGCGATTCGATCTTCATATATAGTGATATAGAGAACACATGGAGTGATTTGTTTGGTACGAGATTTCCAGAGAATCACCGCAAGGGTAAATGGAAAGGCTGAATTGTATTTTTTCATTGACGCTTGAGGCTTGCGAGTTGTATTCTTCTTATCTGCACCAATGTTGTTGAGATGCTTAATCTTGGTGTAGTAGCGACCAGTATGGGTATTGAGTGGCTGCGAGTACCTATATGGTTATGAAATTTAGTAAGAAATTGCTTACTATTGATATGCACTTCTTCAGTGTCTTGCATATTCATATACCCTGCTTTCCGGGATACATATTATCAGCTGGATAGGATGATGGGTGATGGCGAGAAGAATCTCTTGTTCTGGACGCATATCACCTGGGTATTTATCCCATATGGCAAGATCGGAGGTCTCTCTGGAAATTTTGCAGAGTTCAAATTCCTACATGAGAAATCCCAAGAGATCATAGGCATTCGTTCCATTATCTTGCTTTCCCATACATGCCATACGTGTTTTACATAATTACATCCTCCCACATACATTTCCTATTCCAAACCCCCTCGATCCTTCTGTCATGGGTATTCTTTTTTCATGTATCAAAAGCTCTATCTACTTATCCTACTTTTCTAAGCCAGCTCAGCCAAGTCAATCTATACCCAGTCTTTCATCTTCGATCAAAAGTATCCATGAGATTGCCTCACACAAAGTCTTTGTGGATAACCTCAATTTACAAAGTCAAATAGATGAAATTATTCGAAGTACTGCGATATATGAGGTTAGAAGAATTCGCATATTTAATTAATCGGTGCTCGTATAATGTCAACTTTAGTGTTTCAAAGACTTTAGTTTCTTAAAGGCTCCAGTTATCTGCTTTTTCAAATTCAACTCCGACTTCTCCAACGGAACTCTCATGTTTTTCCTGTTTTTGCATCACTTCCGGTTCCAGCAACCCCATCAACTCCGCAAATGTATCATCTACTCCCTTGGCTACCTCTACACTTCCTGCGATAATCTCCCTTACTCCTAAACTCAAATTCCTAATCGCTCCACCCTCCATACACGCCGCATCCCATTCGTTCTCCCCTTGATTCCACCTCCAATTACCATCCAACGCCCACTTCATATCCCCCTCCATATCCATAAAAGTTCTCTTCCCCTCATCATCACTCTTCTTCCTCACCAACCCCCCATTAAACCACAGCAACTCCCCCTTCTCATCCACATGCGCAATAGCACTCCCACAAACATCCTCCCTCGTTATCCCATCCGTCACATTCCACACATGCCTCCCAACAATCCCCCCATACTTCTCAGCAAAACTATATTCCACCCCACTCAACTCCATACCCAACCAATAAGTTTCCTTATCCCCATGCGTATTGCGATACGTAATTATTTCTCTCACTACGTATGTATTCTGCCAACACGCATGCAATAATCCCATAAGAACTCCCAATCTGCTCTTATCCAATACCACTACCCCAGAATCCTGTTCTTGTCCAAAATTCTCATTCATCACTCGAGATTTGCGAAATGTGCGGCTAGGAGTGTGATCTTTCATTTGCCAACGCCAGAATTCATGACGATATCTATATGAATTTTTCCCAATCAGTCTATCATGGAAGAATAAAGTCCCTGTTTCCGCATATGCAGCATGCGTATCCAAAATGATCTCTGGTGGCTGGAGAAAAATAGCATCAGAGTCGACTAAAATCACCTATTCGAAGGTTGATGCTAAGAGTGCAAACGGTTTGATAGCCCATCTACTCAATCCATCTGATAATTGAAGTGTTGTATCATCCAAAATCGTTGTTAAATCCAAGAAATCGATTGCCCCGATATTGTGAGTGGAAAAGAGAGATAGAAGAGCAGAGCGATATTGAGGTGGAAGATCCGAATTGCCGGCATAGATTATTTGTATAGGTAACGTTGATTTGAGAATGGAACGGAGATTGAGGATAAGATGGCATGTATACCGGAATGTTTTTATGCCTGTAGGTATAACGATCCCGCGGGAGCCGGGCACAAATGATTTTCTGAGGTTGGCGAAGGAGGTGGGATTCTGGTTTGGCAGTTCGGTTCCTCTCTGTATGAGAGGGAAAAGAGAGATGATGGTCTTCTCTACTACTGCTTCGTACTCCAAAAATGCCTTGGTAGTGGTTGGATTACCATCCACACCGATTTGCATTAACCATTTGGTGAGAATTTGGGTTCTTCTCCCCATCTCACCAAAGTCATCTTCAGAGACAGGTACTTTGATGAAATGGCGAGCGACAAGAGAATTCTCCTTTATTTCATATTCCGTGATAGGTTTCAGAGTCGGTGCAGAACCCACATGGTCGAGAAATGATGTCGATTTACATGTCCACAAGATACCAAGTATGCAAAGTAAAATCAGAGACTTGATATTGAAGTCTTTATATCGGACTTGACGTGGTATTCGAAATCTGATGATCGTTCTGGGTAAGGACAGACTTGATAGCATTCTGCCCTTCCGTCGTTCTGGTACACCTCTCACCTAGATGCGAATACACATTCCAATAAGTGGTGCCGACTATGAATCCCTGCAAAGTTCGGCTTGGATCACTAAATCAATCCTTCTTTCAACAACTGACGTGCTTTAATCAAAACAATGCGTGTTTGCGACGGAAAGTGATGGTGATAGGAAAGCAATGTATCAGCTAGCTCTGGCTCTGCGAAAAACGTAACACTAATAGCCCGAGAGCGACATATCAAACAAATTAAACGATTGTACGAAACATGATTCGGAATCTCTGGAAACCTTTGAAGTCGAAAATGTCAACATAGACACTATAGCATCAAAATGTTGAATTTTCCTTTGTCGTTGGAAGATACTTTGAACTTGCGCGTCTAGGCCTTGAAGCAGAAATTAATTCTTACCTGATTGGGAAAATATTCAAGGGTCTCTATGGAGAAATTTATGGGTCAAACGGACCCAAGGAAAATTGTAAAATGCTTCGAAAACCACCGTAAGCTTTTGAAACTCTCGAATAGCACGTGAGTAGCTCTCAAGTCAATGCTGTCCGGAAAACCACAGACGCAATAGATAGACGAAGTAGAATTTCGAAAAGGTGAGGAAGTGAAAGTGCATCGCGAACTTTGCCACCTCACAAAATTACAATACATCAAAAGTGGGTATCAACTCTTTCAGACACACCTTGATGAGCCATTCTGATAGATTGGTAACCTTGATGGGCTGTAACCTTTTTGGCCGGTGTGAGCTGGAGTAATAATGATTCGTATATTGACAAACGAGCTTGCTCTGTGTCACGGGATAAGCACTTCACAGTAAATCAAGCAAGAGGCACAGAATGTGTGGTAGTGAGACGGCTTTAGGAAGGGTGAAGACAGAAAAGCCTACAGCTTCCCGAGCATTGCCGACATCTCTTTACTTTACGGCGCGTAGCCATGTAGATACACCTACCTATCTAATGGTTAGGCATTTCGTTAGAATTACCAAGGATGTTTTTATTCGGAATGTTCTATTCAATATTAGACCTCGAGAGTATCTTGATCACTCTGTGTAGTCGGTGAATATACCGTTAGGCACTTTACATCTGTAGACCTGACCCGACTGCATGTCGTCTAAAAAGTTTGTTTTGCCACTCTTCACCGATTTATATAATCCCCACTTTTGGCGATTTTGATAGGATTTTAGCGAATCATGTCATCGTTTTCTTCCCATCAATTAGAGCTAAACGCATTAAAGTAATTATTGCTCTCTTCCTTCTGAAGTGATTCGTCAATTTTGGCGGAGACCTGCATTAATGAGTCTAGTCAGGAACCGTTAGACGTTTGTAAGCCCTGCCAGCCACCAGTTGCCAGCCAATCAATAGACCTCTATTCCCCACATATCTGATGGCCGCTTTCTTCCATACACAGCAAAACATAACGATTCCTACAGACCGTCGACAAAACATTACACACCAACATCATTTCTCATATCTTACCCAGCTTTAATCAGAAGTATATCTCCATATCTCAAATGATATCAACGTAACGCCTTTACCTTTTCTTCTTTTGCTTGTGAGAAGGGGCAAAGCTCTTTAACAGAGCAGTGTTTGGAGATGGCTGGTCAATTCGTTTTGCTGCCTGACCAGATGGCTGCACTTAACGGTCAAGGAGGCCGCAGCCACAACTTTGAATTCGACTTGAACAACAAGAGCTCTTCATGTAGTCGAATTTGGGTATTTTTCCCTTAAGTCTTCTTCACCTCGTCTCCCCTCCCATTTCAATGAATACCGCTGACGCAAATTCAAGGACCCTGTGAATGCAAGATTTGAAGCTTGCTTCATACCATTCATAGCCGGTATTCCAGCAGCCATCAGCGCCTTAATTATCCTTGGATTTCTCACACAATTGATACCAATCCCGCGTTTATTGCCATCATGGCTTCATCCATTCATAAAAGAGCCAGAGGATAAATCTGGAGAGTTTGAAAGCAGGCGCCAACGGCACGTGTTCACACCCATGACAAAATATTTGTTGGCTGTCTCAATTTCCGGTACATTATCACAGTTATCATCAATATTTTATCATAATTTCTACCAAAATCAAAACTTTCATATGATGGTGATGATATTTCCCACAATAGCATGGACAGTTGTATGTCTCCTCATTGCTATCACTCAACCTGCGAAAACACCAAAATCTTTGCTTTTTCTCTACATCAGCATTTTTGGTTCACAGTACTTCGTTCTGCTTGATAGATACTCGAATATGAACATGCAGGACGGATCCTTGGTTCTTTCTTGGTTGGCTTCAATTGCAGCGATCATCATCATTCTGCAAATGCCCATGCGTGATCCATTCCTAGGTCATGATCGAATTAGTCCAGCATTTAGTCCACCGAGCGAGTCGCTTCGAAGTCCAGAGGACAATCTTACTCTATGGCAATTCATGAGTGTTTCTTGGATGTCACCTCTCATGTCGATAGGGAAAGCTCAACAGTTGAATGAAGACAATGTCTGGAGCCTTGGCTACGAATTTCAACATAGAGTACTACATGAGAAATTTAGAGATACAAATGGCTCAGTGCTAAAAAGACTTATAGATGTCACAGGGATTGATCTTGTTATACTTGGTTGTTTGGGAATTTATAAATCGATTGCAGGTAAGCATCTTATGCATTTTTGGTGCCATAGAAATAGAAACCTGATAGTTGACGTTCATCAAGATATTGCTTCACCTTTGCTACTCCAAAAAATACTCGCAAGTATGGAAAATCAACTAGCGCCAAAGCAAGCCACATTGACTTACTCTCTGATTGCCCTTGTCATCCGCCTAATGTCTGCTCAATGCGATGTTTTTTCAACCTGGTATGGTAGACGTTCTTATGAGAGATCTCGAGGAGTACTCATTACAATGCTTTTCGAGAAATCGTTGTCAAGAAAAACTATTAGCGTCAGTACAAAGCCTAAGGAAAACGAGCTGGCCAATGGGCAAACCAACGGGCAAAACAATGGAAGCAATGGAGGCAATGGAACCTCTGGAACCAATGATATTCCCCTTCATAATTCAGCAAAAGATACTATACTTCCATGGTGGAAGAAGGGCTTGAAAATCATTGCAAACCCCTTTACATCATGTTTTGGTTTGCGATCCAAGGAACCCAAGAAGCCAAAAGAGCCAGCTACGATGGGAAAGATCCTGAATTTGATGAGGTTAGATTGCTCTTCTAATATTTTAAATGCTCACTAACAATTCCTATAGGGGAGATGCTTATGAAGTTGCGCAACGGTGAGGGAAAACTCTCAAGATAAATATCTTTCTATGCTAATATTTGATTCAGATTTTGGGACTTTGCCGATTTCATCACTCAACCACTTGGGTTGGTTCTTTCCATTATTGCTGTTTGGAAGCTTCTCGGGTGGCCCTGTTTTATTGGGGTGATAGCCGTATTCATAGGTCAAGCTCTTAATGTTTTGGTTTTAAAAGCTCTTTTGTATTATGAAAGACAACGAAGAACCGCCTCTGATACCAAACTTCATAAAATAACACAGCTAGTTGAGTCAATAAGGTATGTCATTTTATTAGTTTCAGCTAGTATTGCTAGTCTTCACTTGAAATCTGGGTTTCCGAACTAAATTTTGATAGGCACTTGCGTTGGTATGGATGGCAAGATATTTGGCTAGGCCGCATTATGGAAGCAAGACAAGACGAACTATGGTTACGTGTCATAACAAGGGCTTGGGGTATTCTCTTGTCATTTGTTTACATGTTTTCAAGTGGGATGTTTCCTGTAGTGGCTTTCTGGGCCTATTGCGTGTGGGCAGGTCAGCCATTACGTGTTGATGTAGCCTTCCCTGCTCTCCAACTTTTTCAAATGCTTCAAATGGGATTGCAGACTGTTCCAGATCTTGTAACCACTCTGCTCAACGCTCGAATTGCAATGGGACGTATCGAAGACTTCATGAAAGAACCCGATAAGCCAGAGGTAGAGGCAAATCAACAGACAAACAGCCGACTTGAAATGAATGATGCCTCATTCGCTTGGCCTGGAGCTACGGCCCCTGTATTAAGGAACATGACTCTTTCATTCCCAGGTGGGTTATCGCTTATATATGGGGAAGTGGCTTCCGGAAAGACGGCTTTATTACAGGCTCTGCTTGGTGAGCTTGATCATCTTAGTGGTGTATACAGCCCTGTCAATGAGGTGGTAGGTTATTGTGCACAAACACCATGGCTACAGAGCATGAGTATAAGAGATAATATTTTGTTCTCTGCTCCATATCAAGAAGTCCGATACAAACAAGTATTAGATGCTTGCGCTTTGGTGCCAGATATGGTCAATTTTAAGAATGGAGATTTGTCCTTGATTGGTGAAAACGGAATTGGACTGTCTGGAGGACAAAGGGCTCGTGTCGCATTGGCACGAGCAGTCTATTCCAACGCAAAAATCTTGTTTCTTGACGATCCTCTTTCTTCACTTGACCACCATACAGCGGAGTCAGTCGTAAAGAAATGTCTGACAGGTTCGTTGGCAGAGGGAAGAACTATTATACTGGTGACTCATCGCACGGAGTTATGTCAGGGAATAGCACAACAGATTATTAGAATGACAGATGGGACAGCAGAGGTGTTTGATCCCGACTCCATACCGTCTGAATTACTACATACAGAAAATTCGTCAAATTCTGTAGTGGAAGAGCAAAAGGAAGATGAAGATCAAATAGATTCAGCAATACCCGACAAATTCATGGAAGACGAACATCGAGAGCATGGCGGTATCAGAGCTTCGGTCTATTGGGAATACATTAAAGCAGGAAAGCTTAGGTATTGGGCTCTAATCCTAGTGGTAATGACTGCTTTTCGTCTAATTGATATCGCCGAAACATGGTTTCTCAAATCTTGGGGAGAAGCATACGAAGGACCACGAAAACCATCCAGAGATCCCTTAAGTCGACTTCCTTCTCCAGAAACCAACATTCAGCCATGGTTACTTGGATTCTTTCTTCTTGCTTTGGCTCAGTCTGTTACTTGGGTATTTTTTCAGGCGTCTGCACAACTGATGGTTTATACAGCTGGTAAAAGCATTTTCGAAAGAGTCATGACTAGAGTAGTCCATGCGACATTCCGTTTCTACGATGTGACACCAGTAGGGCGTTTGATGAATCGTATGACATCAGATATCAGTGTCATTGATGGAAATTTAAGTTCTCACTTTACATCATTTGCATTCTTGATGATTATGTGGTTTACATCTATTCTGGTTATTGGATCTCTTACGCCAACCTTCTTAGCATTTGCAATAATACTCGTCATCACGATTGTGTTGATATACACGCGATTTTTGCCTACATCTCAAAGCTTGCGCCGTCTGGAAATGGTCTCTCTGACTCCATTAATATCAAACTTCGGTCTCCTCACTGAGGGGCTCGGTACTATACGTGCATTTTGCGCAGAACGTCGTTTCCAGGATCGGGTTATTGAAGTGACAGATATTTTCCAAAAGATGGATCACTTCTATTGGTCATTACAAGCATGGCTCGCGTTCCGATTCAATATACTTTCTGCTGTATCAACATTTCTTATGACAGTCATAGCCGTATACCAAGATTTATCACCCGGTCTTACAGCCTTCGTTCTTTCAGCCGCAGGTCGATTCGTATCATCAACGAGAGGATTATGTCAATCTTACGGCCAACTACAAATGGAGTTCGTTTCAGTTGAACGTGTTGTAGAACTTCTACATCTCGATCAAGAATCTCCTGGTGATATAGATCCACCAGCCTACTGGCCCCGTCTAGGTGGCGACATAATTTTTGAAGATGTCAGCATCAAATACGCCCCTCATCTCGAACCATCACTAAAGAACATCTCCTTAACCATCAAAGGCGGCTCAACTACTGCGCTGATCGGTCGCACTGGCAGCGGGAAATCAACACTAGCTCTCTCTCTCCTCGCAACAACATTACCAAATACAGGTCGCATTCTCATCGACGGTATCGACATTTCTCAAGTAAAAACTCAAGCTTTACGTAAGCGCATCACCTTTCTCGCTCAAGAACCTGTTTTATTTCCAGGCACTATGCGTACGAATCTTGATCCAATGGATGAATTCACCGATTTTGAATGTTCGTCCGTTCTTTCCAAAATCGCCGTACGACATAATTGGACACTCGATACAAATATTGATTCCAAAGGGAAAAATTTAAGTCAGGGTCAAAGACAATTGGTAGGGCTTGCGAGGGCGTTGTTGAGGAGAAGTTCTATTATTATAATGGATGAGGCGACAGCTAGTATTGACAAGGAAACGGCTGGCAAGATTCAGGAGCTTATTAGAGAAGAGTTGAAACAAAGTACGGTGATTACTATTGCGCATCGGGTTGAAGCGGTTAGGGGAGTGGATTGGTGTGTGGTGCTTGAGAAGGGTGGAGTGAAAGAATTTGGTGAGGCCGGTAAAGTTGGTAAGATGAATGAGGAGCAGATTGATACTCCTCCTGGGGATAGAAGTGGAGAAGAATAGATATTGGCAAATCTCAGTTGTAGAGCCCGGGTGGGTTGAACATATGAGAATTGCGTTGAAATCTTTGAGATAGTGCGTTGGAAACCAAAAGGCGTTAGATCTCCACTTATGGATGCATTCTTTCTTATAGACGATAGCTCAGCTTGCAGGTGTGTATGGGACACAGCGAAGTGAGTTATTGATTTATCGGGGAGCATATCACGTAACTGCGGTGAAAAATTGGAAGGACATGCTTTATTAGATCTGCACTCAGATATATCTAGACAATAATTCTAGATATGAGAAATAGGATAGTGAGTTATAAAACCATTTTATACATAGCAAATAGTATGATATAAAGAACTGTGATCTTGCATATAACTGTACATCTTCTCAATTATATCAATGACCTCAGAAAGCGATACTTGGCTTAGAGGTGCAGTTGGACTTCAGCGAAAAAACACCACCACTCCCAAAGCAAAATTTATGCAACGGAACAATTTCGGAAGCAGAAATTTTCCACTCTTCAGCTCGTCACATGATTCAGATAGGCAACACTTCTCATTGGAGAGTTCTGAGAATTTGTACACACTCTTGTACTCTTCTAATTAATTGAAAATGATTGTTCCAAATGTAGAAATAGAAGGTGGTATGGAGTTAGGATAATGTTGAGGAATTTACACTTTGAATCGGAATATGTCACATGACGTTCCGCTTTTGGGAGTTCTCTTTTGGATATCTTCCACACGTCCGCTGTCCTGCATTCGACGCGAATATCAATTTTGACATTGTGGTTCGGAGTCTTACAGATCAAAGAGATAAGATAGTATCTTTTCATAAGCATGAAGTTGACAATTGACAATTGGGAGAAGCTGTGTACGGTTTACCGACATCAAATTGATTGATTTGGATTGCGTTCCAATATGTTTGAGTAAATCTTTTGCTCTATATTACCAGACAATGGAATGCATATCTCCAACCCATCCGCCGCCTCCTCGAAAATGGTTCCTAACTATCCAGCAATCTCATAGCTGGCAAGATCGTGGAAGGTTCCATGTTCATATTTATGATATTGCCCTTCACGAGGATGAGCATGGTTCAGTATTGGAATTCGTTTGGTAACTTACGTGGAATTTCATGTCCCTTATTCACACAGATTGATGATTTGTGATCCTCAGGATCTCTCATACATACCAGGTATCAATTTCCATCCTCTCCATTCCATATCACCCCCCCCGAGCCTCTGATTGAGCTTCCTCATTCCGAGCTCTACTCATTCAATTCGTGCTTCCAAACGCCCGACGCCATTTCCCCCAAAATCAAAGAACAAAGACTCAGCTCGAGCTTTACGCGCTCCTGCTAACCTTGATCTCCACCGATTTTCCCTGATCTAGAGTTGAAGAATGTCTCGCCCCGACTTTATCCATCGAATTTTCAATTCCATCTTTAACACAAGCACCATTACTCGAGCTCACAGTCGATCCATAAACTGATCCTGTATCATCCCCATGTCGATGTCCTCCGGTATGTAGAGACATTCTGATAGCCTCCTGTTTCTCCGCTGCCGGAGTATATAATTCAATATATATACTTGAACGCGCGGGCATCGTGTTTGAATTTTCGAATTCGACGCAAGTAAGAATAGATGATATATCAAACCGATCTATAATCACGAATCAAAAGTTTGAAACAATGGTTATAGTTTCTTTATATATATCTCTCTGAAAGAAAACATATCTCAAAGGGCCGAACCCGACCTCGTATTATCATACGCAACACTGTTATCGTTCTTTTGAAAGAGGTTTCTCCCGTCAGAGATGGAGCTCGCTCCACTTTCCTTACATACTAGGTATTGGAATTTGTCAAAATCGATATCCACATATCCAAGCCGTAAGCCTGCAGTGACATGACCAAGTTATCGTCTCACCGTTGAGGCAAGAAATATTTTCTTCCGTGCCGCAATGCATTTTCTAGTGGGAGGGGAAATGTAAGCAGTATGCATGCATACATTTATTCGTTTCGAATTAATGTTTAATGATTGTTAGTGCGATCATATCATGAGATGTATGCATGAAGATTTTAACATTCCGGAAGTTTGATGTTGTAACCTTTTTGAATTTTTGATGTTCTCCAACCAATCGGGAATTTCGAGGATGATATATTAGAGTTTGTCATGGGGAGTGAACCAAACCGAAGTGTCGGTGAGAATAAGAACGACTATGAGATCATATTACACAAACTCTCTTCTGCGTAACTCCCATCACTTGAAGGCACTACTCCAGGATATCTATTCGCAAACCATACTCTGTAAAGGATCATGATGGATATCTTCAACTCACTACCGACCAATCAAGGATCAAAACCATACTTCTCGTTCCACACAAAATCACAATCCTCATGATTTTTTCCCAGGCCAAAAATTCTCATCTCATCTCATCTCATCTCATCTCATCCTCCCCACTCTATCTTATATCTTATGTAATACGCAAAGCAAAGCAAACAGCACAGTACAGTACATGCACACAATCACATCACATCTCACATCTCACATACCATCCCCTCACCTCTTCACCTCCTCATTTATTTGTTCATCCATCACGATCCCAAATATCCGCTTTCGTTGGTTTGTTTCTAAAGCTTGGCGGAACATCATACCGGTAACGTCAGATAAACTTATACGGCTGACATAAGATCAACTTGAACACCTACCCACTCACTGTATTCCTCCTTACAATATAATTCAGCTCTCACAGATCACTCATACACACATATACATAATATCGTATTAAAACTATATAATCACATCCCATGCGGCTCTTCTCTACCCTATATACTCATCCTTACCTCCCCAAGTAAACAAATAACCTGGGGCAAAAAACCGCATAGAAAAATCAGATGTAAGCAAATCGTAAGCAGCCAGCCAATTATTTAATATTCTTTGAGGAAATTTTATTTGGGGGCCGTCTTATTTTCTTGGCGGGGCAAGGAGATAAATGTAGATGTAGATGTAGTGTGTTGGGGTGTCTTGTATTGTATAGTGTGGTGTTGTAATGTGATATAAGCAATTTGTTTAGATATAGTATATTATTTATTTTAGTATTTATTTACTTTATTGCTTGTATTAAAACGAGAGAACGGGATAATCTCTTATAAACATAAGTTCTAAATCTCAAATATCAATATATTCACTCCTTTTTCTCTTATTTATTTATTTATTTATTCATTTTTTTACAAACTTATCTGTTTATGTAAATACAGAAAGGACACGAAAACGAAAATGAAAACGAAGCAGAAGATTCTATATTACATTTCAAGAGCTTGCTCTTCCCACACCTCCTCCACCTTACACTTCTACTCTCCAACTTGTGTTTCCGCTATCTTCTCCTATCTTGCGCTCCTCTTTACCCTACCCAGTTCTCTTTTTCCCTTTACCCTTCCCCTTCCTCAATTCCCCTTCTACTTCCTCAATTCTAGTTTCCCCTCCCCTCCCTGAATCCTCATTCCTCTTCTCGTCTTCTCCTCCCCTCCCCTCATATCCTCCCCTCATATCCTCCCCTCATATCCTCCCCTCATATCCTCCCCTCATATCCTCTCCTCTCCCAATCCTTAATCCTCAATTCCAATCTAATCCTCAATTCTCGGTTCCCCTTCCCCAACTCCCCAATCTTGACTCCAACTCCAATCTCAACTCCAATTCAAATACCATCCAAGATCAGATCAGATTCCAAAGATCACTTCTTATTTTCTCATTTTCTCATTTCTCTATATACACATACACATACACATACACATACACATACACATACACATACACATACACATACACATACACATACACATACACATCACTCATATTCCCATTCATATTCCCATTCACATTCCCATTCATATTCCCATTCATATTCCCATTCATATTCCCATTCATATTCCCATACATACACATATACATACATCATATCGTATCAAAAGTAAAATAAAATCTATACAAGTTACTCATATCACGCGCTCCCTACCTATTCAATTACCGTTTCGATTCAAATTCAAATTCAAATTCAAATTCAAATTCAAATTCGGGTTTAGATTTCAATTTCGATATTATATATATATAATTGTATTATTCATATTAGAATATACTATATTAGAATATAATATAATGAAATATAATAATATAATAAATAAAAATAAAAATAAAATACTCTATATCAATTACATTACTATATACTATACTATATCATACTATACCATACCATACCATATTATACCTATCTAATCTAGTATTCAAGAAGATATATCTATCTATTTATTTATTTATCTATTTATCTATCTATTTATCTATCTATTTATCTATCTATTTATCTATCTATTTATCTATTTATTTATCTATCTATTTATCTATCTATCTATTTATTTATTTATCTATTTATCTATCTATTTATTTATCTATCTATCTATCTATCTAATATTCATCCATTTATCTATCTATACATCGTAAGATTCAATTCGATTCGATTCGATTCGGGTTATATTAGATTAGATTGGATGAGATTAGATGAGATTATATAAGATAGAGTATATATACATATATATATACATACATTTAAACAGCATCTTTAGTATCCATTCGTAAAGAAATTGATTATCCTACCTAGTATCTATCAGTATGAGATAACAGAGTAAATACTACATACAGCCCCCTCTAGCGTAGTTATTAGCTTTCTAGCACCTTAAATAGCTTCAATCTTTCGTAGGAAATACAATCAAGCTTTTCACCCTCTTCAATACGTATTTAGCCTCTTTTCTGTATGCTATCTAGTATTTCACGTATCCATACATATATATACATATTCATACCTATACTCATATCCATTATCCCGATATACCTGCATATAGAAAGTCAATACGAAAATTGGAGTATCCCTGCACGCCCTGCCCATATAAAAATTTCCATACAAACATCCATATATATATATATATATACCTATATAAATACCTACACAAATCCATCACGAACTCCTCAACCTCGACTCACCACTCCCCATCCCCGTCCTCTCGACCGAGAATTCAAAAAGGCCCACCCCAGCCCCCTCCTTCCCCACCATCCGTTCCTCCCACTCCTCCTCATCCTCTCCCTCCTTCCCCAGATCCCCAGGCAACTCTCTCAATTCGCCTTGGACCTTCCAACTCCCCGTCATGCCTACTTGCTCCCAAACTTCTCCCCACAATCTCACCCATGAATCCGCATCGTGGAGCCATCTCCCCTGTTCCCCCGTTCCACCTCCTTGTTTCCCCACCATGCACCCGACGAACAGGGCGCCCTCGGTGTTTTTGAGGAGTTTGACGATATTTGCGCAAACGAGGAGTTGTTGATCCCAGGTGAAGAGATGCATGAAGAGAGAAGCGTGGATGATGGAGAAGGAATGGATGTGGTTTCTGAAAGTGAGAGTGAAGAAATTGGGATCGAGGATGTTAGCTGGAAGGAGGGTGAAGGATTGAGACGGGGATTGGGATTGGGGCGGAGAGGCATCAAGAAAGATTTTGTAGGAGGATTTTAGGAAGGAGGCGTTGTAGTCTGTGCCGTAGAGTTGGGAGGGAGGGATACGAGCATGGTGGGCAAGAGAACGCAGTCTAGATTGTGTTAGCTTAGCTTTGGTGGTGGATGTATATCTCAGTATCGATATGAATATGAATTTGGGGGCGAAAAGTAACGATTGGAGAAGAATGATTGGAGTAGTAAGTGGGTATGAGAAGAAGAGATGAGGTGAGAGATGATGGACCAAAAATGGAACAATGATAGATGAACATACTCCTGAGCAACACAACAACCGAGATCAAGAAAAAGAGCCGGTGGATTAGAAGGCGTAGATGGTGTGGAGAGAATCTCAACGATGCGGGGATAGAGTGGGTGGGTCAGTAGACGCAGGGTGAGGAAGGAAAAATTGCCGATGGAAGGGTAGGGGGTTTGATTCCAGAGGAGATCGCGCTATGTATAGAGATTGGGTGTCAGCTATTTAGACATTTTTTCTACGGGTAAGGTAGGTAGGAAGGTAGGAAGGTAGGTAGGTAGGTATTTGTTCTAGATTTATCCCTTGTCTCTTCATGACATTTTTTGCCTTTCTTTGGAGAAATGTCTCATTCTCTCACTCAAAACAGAATGAATTGAAAGACATGAAAGAAAAACCAGAAAGAAATAGGATAAAATGATAGGAATATAATCCTAGAAATCTTACATACCATTTTATACACATGCGCATCTACTTCCTCGGGAGGTATATGACTATAATTCTCCAACAACTCACGTGCTTCCGGACCTAGACGTTTTCCAATGGTGGTATGATACCATGGTTTCGAAGTCGAATATTTATCGGATATAGGCGTTACTATTGAACTTGTCTTTGATTTTGATGTGAATAGAGGAAGACATGGAGACTTCGAGGTAGTTGTTGAAGGTGGTGGTGAAGGAGGAGGAGTACCAAAGTCGAAATGTGAGGAATGAGGGGAAAGAGGATCTTTCATCATGAATTCTTTGGTGTTTATGATAGCCATGAGATAGACACCTGATGACGGGATATATGTGGTGAGAGAGATGGTCCCGAGGGTATAAATGATATAAATTTGTGTAAAATATTGTTGTAAAAAAGAAGGCGATTCAATCGATGTCCACGGTGCCCAGGTGAGTCGAATACTGAAAGAAATGAGCACCAGGAGGTTATTCACCCAAATGAATGAATCAATCAATATCTACTCGTAACTTATAGGTAAATCGGCGATAAAGATATACAAGTGAAACAAAACTCCGTTGGTGGGAAGTTATTTAGCATTTATCCCAAAGAAAATCCAAGGTTACAAATACATACAGAGAAGAGAGAATACGTGAGCGAGCGAGCGAGTGAGTGAGTGAGTGAGTGAGTGAGTACATACAATACATGCAATGCAATGCAATTCATTCATTCATCCATTCAACCATGCATCTCGTGGAAGTTCTAGAAAGATTCCCAATCCAGCCAGATAGGACAGGGCTGAAAGTATATTATATACCTAGGTACAAATACATATAGGTACATATACGGAGAATATATACCCAGGTAGAGAGAGGCACCTGTGTACTGGTAATATATATGTATCACCCAATCCTCTGGGACGGGATCTTTTTTTGCTTTTCAATACTTGCTTGCGATGATCTACCTGGATGATACCTACGATAGGTCAGTGTTAAATGATTGATTGGTAAGAGATTGCTGACTTGAAGTTAAATTTGGGTGCACATACAATATTAATTCTGAAGCAATGCTTTCCAGGACCCGTCGCTCTTACTGGCTGGTGCATTCTTTGTTGTTTCGAATATTCTTGGATTTCATCGCATTCGGTAAATGGTCAGGGCAGTGGGAGATCTGTTGTCGAGTGTGCACTGGACTTTTTGATGGGAGCGAGGGAGTGTGGTGATGTGAAAAGGAATGTTCATGCGAAGAAGTGGAGAATGGGTAATTTGTAGAATGAGCCTTGGAATGGGTTTGATGGAGAGCTCGAGAGTGGTGTTGTGTCTGTGATAACGAATGGAGGTGTGTCTGTGATAAAGAATGGAGGATGGGGTGGAAGTGGAAGTGGAAGAATCTACGAGGGAGGTCCACGTCGTCGTCTACGATAGATGAAGATTGATATATGGATGGATGGATGGATGGATGGATGGCTGGTACCGGTAGTACTTTGTGCGGATAAATGCTCTTGTACTGTATGCTTCGTAGTAGTAGACCTTCGGGAATCAAGGGAAATGAATGAGACGGGACCGAAAGTTAAAATGTACACAGAAGTGGCTGATATCTGTGGCTGATATCGTAAATAGTAATAAATATAAAATAACTGGTACGATTCAAGATAGAAAATCCATTAGAATATATACTTTGTACAATAGAAGCTTATTTTATTATTACACACACTATCGATGAAAGCTTCACCTCGCATATCAATATTTAAACCCAAAGATAGAATAAAGGGGGAAAGATTGGCGCTAGATGAGAGTGAGAGAAAGTTGTACCGAGTACCTGTTCTTCTGTCTACAATATCCAAATACAAGATCTCCAAGGATGGTCTGGTGGGCTGAGGCCGGAAATTATCTAAATGTTAAGTCCGCAGATCTAGCTCCTAGAATAATTACCAATTCGGCGCCCACAGAGTAGACATCTTATTAATGCTTGTCAATAAATTTCTAATCAATATTGGATACTGAAGCCTCACGAGTCACGATCAGTCTCGATATATTTACGCATAACGAGAACTTGGAGATTTAAACCACTGCGAGTCGATGAAAATGATATAAAGATGCGTACAGTCACTTGTGCCGTCGCAAACATTCCTTGATTCCCATGGCAATACATTAATCATGGAATTCATGGCCATTCAAACGACTCACGGCATGCATGGACGTTGCATGTAGAGCTGACATCCAGTCGCAATCTTGGGGATTCGTCGCGTTGAAACGCATTCTCTTGGATGACACATGGCCATCATTATTCCTGATGCTGTTTTGACTCCAAATCCATTCCTTCTTCGTACCTAGAATGTGCGAACGTATGTGAATGTATAAATACACCAAAAATATCAGAAGCAATAAGAATTTTGGAACTGTGAAAGCTAGGGTAAGCTTGTTTTTTGAAATTATATCATTGATCATATCAATCCACATCACCAAGCTTCAAATCGCGCAAGGTCCTGTGTCGGGAACGTCGTGGCATTGATTTACTTTTCCGTAGCTATTGCACATGATTTTCATGCTGCTTTTCCAGTATTCATATGATCACAACCCTCCTGATCAGCATCCCGAAAACCACATGCACCCCTTGTACGATAAAGAACCCATTTAGAATTTGCTGAAAGACTTGACAGCCTTGCCAGTTCGGGGAAGGACACGGAGAACATTGAAACGGACCTGTTATAGTTGTATTAGTCAAGTTCATCTTTTCTGCTTTGTGGAAATGAAATATAATCCATCAAGGGAAATCTGAGGGTTTGCGCAATTGATTACGTACGGTCTTGCTCAATGGTCTGCATTGTCCAACTGTGACTTGATCACCCTCCTCAACACGGAAAGCTGGGGAAACGTGGGCAGCGAGGTTCTTGTGTCTCTTCTCATATCTGGCGTATTTTGGGATGAAGTGGAGGTATTCTCTGCGGATGATGAGGGTACGGTGCATCTTGGTGGAAACAACAGTTCCGGTCAAGATACGACCACGGATAGAAACGAGACCGGTGAATGGGCACTTCTTGTCTGTTCAGAATTTCATGTTAGCATGGCGCTCGACTTCGATTCAAATTTCGCCATTTCCCCCATATTTCATTTCACCACTCAAAGTCCTCCATCTCCCATCTCGAACAAATATGACCCAGCCTTCAATTTCCCGAGTCGCGTTGTTTAATTCCACCTCGATTCCAATAACCCGTAGAAAATTCCACATACCGATGTAGCTTCCCTCAATGGCGGTCTTTGGGGTTCTGAATCCCAATCCAACGTCCTTGTACCATCTGCGGCCACCCTTTCCAACCTTGCTGGACTTGGTCTTCGACTTAGAGTTAAGGAAGATGTGAGGTTGCTTTTGGAAAGCGCGCTCCGATTGTACGGTAAGTTCGGTGGCCATGGCTGCGAAATTTGGTCGATAGGTCGCAAATTCGTGGTGGTCGTCGATAGGAATGTCGATTGAAGGCTTCTGTAAATTTCCAATTTTTCTCGAAATGTGTGTGCCGCTAAGGGAATCGGCTAAGCGAGGATGCTCTTGTGAAAGTCATGTGACATGTGATTGAATCAAAAATTATTATGAATATTCAAGTTGTGAATTATATTCCGAAGTTAAACCGAGTTTCTCGTTTGGATCAGAACGCGACTTGTTTGTTTACTTTGAATAATTTGGGGTTTGTTTCATTTTCGGCATAGCAACATTACGACAAGAGTTCTACCATTACTCCCCCAAACTTCATAACTAACATATAGGGAATAATTTATGATACCTTGACATAATTCACATTCGACGACATTCGAAATGTCTTCCTTAGAGGAAGCCACACTTCCCGCGACTCGTCGCCCAAAATCGAGAAAATCATTATCCGCAATACCTGCAGATAAAGAAAATATGACGGCGGAACTTGGGGCTCTTCCTGGGAAAAGAACACCAATCGAGAAGCCTGCAAAGAAGAAGAGGAGTAAGAGTATAGGTCCTGGCGGGCTAGATGCACTGAAAGATACTACAGGGAATCGTCGCAAGGTAAGCACCTCACAATGTGGGAGTCGAGAGCCTTGCTAAATACATGTATAGTCTCTGGCTACGATACCTCAACCACCTCCAAGATCCATCCTGAAACCTACCATGCCACCTCTTCGTGAGATTCCAGCGCATAACCCCAACAAAAAGTCGAGTCCGAAAAAGGCCAAAACACCTTCACCACCACTTCCAGGCTCTGAATTGTTAATCGACTTTGGCGTTGACGCTGGATCAAAGGCTTCAGGCGCCGAAACACTTGATGATCCATTCCATATCGAAATGCCGAAGACCAACAGTGATAATCGAGTCGCATTGCGAACGGAGGAACAGCAACAAGCTGCTGCTAGAGAGAGGGAAGAGAAGGAAAGAGCTGATATGCAGAAAGAAGTTAATGCCAGACGAGATGCTCGTCGAAAGTCTCTTGCTAATCGACGTGTTTCATTTGCGCCTGAAGCAACACTTCACACTTGGGATGTGGTTGTGGAATATCAAGATTCCACCACATCGTCCAATTCCACAAATTCCACCCGCCGGGCCTCAAATGTTACTGGGGACTCTGTCACTACCCCGCACCAACAAAATTCTGGACCACCTAGCTCAGACCCTTCGGAGCCTCCATCAACACCACCTGAACAAATCGAAGATGACACAGCAAATGGATCACCAGAACATCAACGCGACCTACATCAGAAGAAGCGCCGCAGAAGTTCTGTCATACCTCCTATGAATTTCAATGACCCCAACGATGCTTTCTCATCCAGTCCTTTGAGTGGGAGTTCCGTGGGCGCTGAAGATATCGAAGAGGATGAATTTGCTTCTAGCGATTCGGATGATGATGACGATGGGACCCGAATGACTATGGATGGTGGAGAAACAACAAATATGTCAATGGCATCAGTTCAGTCAGGCTTCAGCGTTGGTTCAGATACGATGCTGGAACAATCTTTAAGGCGAGCTGCAAACCAAGCTGGTACACCAGCAATGAGTTTCGATGAACAAGGAGATACCAAAATGAGTGAAGACAATGAGATCGTTGCATCCTTTGCTCCATGGGCGAAGAAAGCCCCTCTAGAATCACAAAAAGACCAAGAGAATGTAAATCCTTTCTCATCAGCAGCCAAATCTGATATTCAGCTAGATGCTGAACAATCAGATGGAGAAGAGATGACAATGGATATGGATATGACAAGTGCAGTTGGTAGAATCTTACCAGGGCAACAACGAGAAGATGATGAGCTTTCTATGGATGTCACCCGTGCTTTCGGCGGTATTATTCCCAGCAATCAATCTGGAGCAAAACTCAATCCAGCAGGTCGTCGTCAAAGTACTCGTAGAATATCAGCAGGTGAAGAATCGGCATTCGGAGAACAGACCATGGACTTGACTACTGCTATAGGTGGAATCCATGCAACTCAAGATGATGAGGAGGTTTCCGAAGATGAAGACATGAGCATGGATTTTACGTCCGCAATTGGTGGCGTACTATCACAGCCAGCTGCGGTCAAGAATAAGAGACGAGCATCCACAGCTTCAAAGGCAAAGTCAAGCCAAAACCGCGAAAGCCTGGATTCTGCGGCCGGTGATGAAACGATGGGAATGGATATGGATATGGACATGACTACTGCAGTGGGTCGTATCATACCTTCCACGAGGGATGAGACCGAGGAAATGGATATGGATATGGATGTGACAGTTGGTATGGAAATGACAAAGGCTTTAGGTGGTATTCTACCGCGATTGAATGCTGGAGATCGAAATCAAGCCAAGAAGATTATGGAAATGGAAACAGATCTTGGTAGTTCACCATTCCGAGTAGATGTCCCCGCCAATTCTCCACCAAAGCCCATTAACCACAATGCTTTGACTGTGGCACCAGAAACTGGCAGCCCAAGCTTCACAGCCGGATTCAAAGGAAAGGGTCTTCGTAGAAGCATGGAGCGAATCTCTACAACGCCCAAGTCTACACCTAATTCTAAGATGTTGACGCCAGTCAAGAAACCTACTACGCCTCAAAAACAGCTCACTCCACAACCTGCTCAACCATCTCATCCTGGCAAAACTCCACCATCCAAGAACATTCTCATGCGCACAGGATCACCAAAGAGACTTTTCAAGCCTGATCTTAAAGAATCGTCTTCTACTCCTCGTACATCTTCAAGTAAACAACAAACACCCAATAAATTATTCAAGCAAGATAGCAATACGGGCCTTGCAACACCCAATTTCATTCTAACACCGCAAAAACGATTATCTACTGGCATTGGTCTCGATAGAGTTGGACTGGGGTCACCAAAAGTTGCTGCATTGTTGGACCGACGTGGATCGATTGGAGAACAGGCACGATCATTCACACCTACCCAGCCAGCGGATTTGAATCGTGGTGTACGATTCCAAGATCCTCGCATTATGGAAGCGGAAGTTGACAGAGAGAGAGAATTGGAAGAAGATAGAGAAAATGGTCGTAAGATAATGGAGCGTGAAGCAGATCAAGGTGAAGGAGAAGAAAAAGATGCCACTTTGAATCTCAAAGAAATGATCAGCAGTCTAACCCCTAAGAAGAAGTCAATGAAAGGCCGCAAGAGTTTGCATGCCGGTGCCGCGATTGGACTTTTGGGCAAACGACCCGCCGAGTTAGATGAGGATGATTCAGATTCAGATGAGAGTGGTATGAAGCGACTGAGAAATCATCAGGGCAGTCCTGTAAAGAACGTCCATCTCCAAGGGCCACCCACCAAGGAACAAACAACAACTGGTCGCCTAACTCGGTCAAGCCGAAAGAGTATAGAAGATTCGACAGTTCCTTCGATCACTCCTACTCTCAATACTTCACCTATCAAGGAGACGATCACCACACCACGTGATCAAGGACGTTTCAAAGATGCAGAAGCCAATTTGACTGAGCCTGTGGCAATTCCGTTCCAGGAGACAGAGCCAGTTGAATATCCAAAATTGCCCGAGGAATCCCTGGACAATGAACGCATACAGTTGCAGGATTTCTTAAACATGACAAGTATTCGATTCATGGAACTGACAACTACCAAACGAAGGCACACAATCGCACCAAAACGATCTAGTGATGGACCGATAAGAAATCGACTGTCGGATCAAACCAAGGTTTCTCTTGAAGATTGTGTTGCTGCGGGTGCTGCTACCATTCCTATGCTTGAGTTATTTCAACATGTAAGTTATCCACACGAATTCTTTTTGGTAGCGCATGGTCATACTGACACACTTAGGCTTGTCATGAACTCAAAAAGTATATATCAGATGGCCGAAAAACAGTTCGCGAGATCGAGAGTGAAACCTTTGAGGAGAATCCCCCACTCTTCCGTGAATATATTTCTGCGCCGGCGGATATGAAGGTTGTCATGGATAATCAACTCAAGAATGTCAAGACGCATTCTCGTCTTCTCAGTAAAGGCATGTGGTATGATTGGCGATCAACATTACTTGAGACTGTTAAGGATGAACTCGTAAGAAGTGCTGAAGGCATGATCAATGATGAAGAAATCCTTGACAAGCAACAAGCACTGCTAGACGCTGTGCTTCCAAAGATGATCAAACGCGCTCAGCAACTTCAACATGAAGAGACCAACCTGAAGACTGCTGCTGAAGAAATTGCAAGCTGTGATCCTGAAGAGCTCAGTGAAGCTCGACAGCAGCTGATCACTGTTGAAGCTGATGTTGATGCAAAAAGGCACATGATTGAGGAATTGAAGAAACAGCTTCAAGCAAAAGAAATTGAGATTGAAGCTGGCACTGCAAAAAAGGAAACATATCTGGAAGAAATTCGTGAAGCGGAAAAGATTCGAGAGGAGTGCCGAGGTTGGAATTCGAGCGAGCTTAGTAACCTTAAAGGTAGATATTAGTTGCTGAACATAATCTATGACGTCGCTAACAATTTTTTAGCAAAAGTGGATGCTCTCGAAAAGAAGCATGGCTGGACTATCACTGGTGTCTCTGGGACAACGACTTCAATGACTTATCGAAAGGAGATTGAACTTGTTTTCGACGCAGCTGCATTCAAGTCAAAAGCTTCGAGCAAGACTACAAAGCCAGCAAATTCAAGAATCGATCTTTGGTACATCGCCGCTAATCGAGAATACAATCCATTAACCCTCACCCCCGAAAAGGAATTTCTCCTCCAATGCATCCGTGATCATGTTCGAGGATTACCACAATCAGAAACCGAAATCAAGACTCTGCTCAATTCTGTTAGCGTCGCTTGGAACAAAGCAGCAAGAGTAGTGGATGATATTTATCTTCTAAATATAGTTTGCCCGACTGTTGTCACCAAAACATCAGATAACTCTATCCTCGTCAAGTCGAAGTTATTAATTACGGCTCTTAATACAAAGGTCGAATTAGCTTTCAGTCTCATTAGTCACAGCACAGACGAAGGATTTGATGTGGAGATTTCCCCAGTTGCAAAAGTAATTTATGGAGAAAGGTTTAATGAACCGAAGATGAGGGAGTTTCTTCTTAATCGACTCGGCAATTATGCTAAGGAGAAGGGAGATGGAACTAACGTTTCTTGGGGCTCAGCGGTAGCTGAGTTGGGGGATAAATTATTGGCGAGGGGAAGAAAGTAAGATGTATAGGATTGAGATATTGTGTTCTAAGTTTTGATTCAGCGATGGTTATTTAGTCTTGATGAGTTTAATGATGATTATGAAATGGGGATTTGATATCCATGGAGTAAGGGGTTAATGTTTATGTGGCAGTGTAGGGTATTTAATAGGATTTTAAGAATGGAAGTCAGATGTTTAGTCTTTGTTTTGATTAATTCTTGTCTATTTATCATGAATGATATGACTCTACCAGATAACTCTACCTACCTAGCCTTTGTACCATTCTGATGATTGACTTTCATTTTTCTCTCGTGAAATTCAAGCTTTGTATCACATAGGTTCACCAGTGGGTGCATGGATTGACGGGACACTTTCCAACTCTGAAATTTTTAATTAATTTATTCTTTAATCATTTGGTATAAGAATTTATATCTTGATTGTTTTGGTTCCAATGAATGATCATAAGAATTCTTAAGATATAGAATTTGACATAGTAAGAGATATTCACAAGTCCATTCCTGCAGTGTCCCATCAGTCTGTACGCCCACTAGTGGTTCACTCAGCAAATGGAGATTCACCGCCTTTGTGCTTGCGGATAAAAGTGGTTTGATGAATATTAATGCACACCTGGAAGAAATGGTGATTGACTACAACTTACAATATACTGCGTAGCTTTTAGATTTATAAGATTCCGTATTGTGTATAATTGTTTGTGTTCTACTACATATATTTTAGTCTATAATAGCTACCGAATATCAATGCATGGACTCTCGCTGGCGTCACAGCGACGCGAACCCTTGTTCAATCCAACGTCATAATTTATATATATATATATATACCTAGTAATGTCCAATCCTAGCATAACAAACAGCTGAACCCAAACCTCCACAATATATATGGTATCATTTCCGAAGCTGAATATATTCTCAATTCAATCTTCCTTTCGTCTTCATTGATACCGATTCATCATGCAAATCATCAATATCCTTTCTCTGGCATTCCTCCTGTCTAACGTCAATGCCTTATATCTCTCAGCTGAACAACATCCGATCACACCACTGTCTTCCCCCTTACTACCACCATCCCGAATACAATCGATTCCTCAACCTCTTATCGGTTTCGGAACATGGAATCTAAATCTCTCTCCTGAGAATACAACTGAAGCCGTCGCGTACGCAATTGAAATTGGTTATCGACAAATTGATTGTGCGGCGGCGTATGGGAATGAAGTGGCGGTGGGACAAGGAATTAAAGAGGGGTTGAAGAGAGCTGGCTTAAAGAGAGAGGATATTTGGGTGACGAGTAAACTTTGGAATGATCAGTATGTTGTTATTATCATTTTATCTCTCACGTGGTTGTACGAGTTGGGAATGATTGATTGAGGGTTATCTTGGTAGAAGATGAACTAATTGTTTGATGAAATAGCCATGGAAGTTATGAAAATGTGGAAAGGGGGTTAAATCAAACTCTTCAAGATCTAGATCTCGAGTATCTGGATTTATATCTCATACATTGGCCTATTGGCTTTTCTTCTAATGGAACCAAGAATCTCGATCACGTTCAGGTTTGTCTTGATCTTCTCCACGTCCTCGAATTCCAACTAACACGGGATAGACCTACAAATCCATGATTTCCCTCCCCAAATCTCGTGTGCTCAATATCGGGGTATCCAATTTCTCCCCGCTCCAACTCAAAAATGTCGTGTCGACTGGTACGATGCCATATACGCATCAAATGGAACTTCATCCCTATCTGCAACAATCAGCGTGGGTAGCGACGCATAAAGCTCTCGGTATTAAAATGACAGCTTATTCTCCATTGGGAAATACTAATCCGACTTATCATTCATCTCCTTCCCCGGCACTCTCATCATCTTCTTCATGGACCTCATGGACATCCCTCTTCCGCCTCACCTCAAAATCAAAAGCCCCACCTCTCCTCCAAAACCCCATTCTCCTCGACATCGCCGAACAAAGACATTGTTCCCCAGCTCAGGTAGCATTGAAATGGAATATGGGGAGGGGTATTAGTGTGATTCCGAAAAGTAGCCATGAGGAATGGATCAAGGAGAATTTGCACGCGGAGGAGTGTGAGTTGACGCATGCGGATTTGACAAAGTTGAGGTTTGTGGGGAGGAAATGGTTGAGTAGGTTCAATAATCCCGGGGAGGAATGGGGAGTGACGCTTTTTGAGGGATTGGAGGGAGTTTAGGGACTTAGGCATTTGGGGATTTAGTGGGTGTTGTGAGGAGAGGGGGGATGGTAGGAAGTACAGTAATTGGGATTTTTTTTTTCGGAAAGCGTTGGGATTTGATCTGTGTTTATGGTTTACGAATGGGTTTAAGTAATGGATCTGGGAATTGAATTTGGTCATCGAAATTTGTTGTTTCTTGATGAAGGGGAAGGAATATGGGTACATACATAACAGTACATGACAAGGTTGTGATCCACAGCGAAACTCTCCGTCAAGGCCACCGCAACTCTACACAGAAAGTAGGCAAATGACTCGGGTACCTGCAGACTCTTGCTTGTAGTATCATATAGTGCTTGTAGTATCATATAGTGATGAATCCTTCCTTCACCTTAGCATCTATGCTATAATCTCCACACCAGTGGGTATGGATACCCGGATCATTTCCATCGACAGAAAGACTATTTCAAGACCCGTACTTCTCTTCCGATGTTTAGTATCGTTGGATGACGAATCTAGTAAGGACAATCGGATGGTATTATATTATACTGTAGTAAATTCCCTCTGCACAGCCCTTTTCTACATCGTGTGTGGATCCAATTCGACTTATTTCCCAATTCATTAAAGGATTCCGAATACTCAGGAGACTCGAGTCTTTTAGTATAGTAAGTAGACTTGCCATTGACTATTCGTCTATCTATGAGGGAGAAGTAGAAAAGCTCACATATATAATCATCATCTCATATCCTCGTATACCCGAGCTCGAGTCCAGGAAGAAGTCTTCCTAGCGAGAAGTGATTTATTGAACATGATCCGAAAGAATGGTATATGAATATTTATCCTCTGGGCTCGCTCACTCGTTCGCTCGCTCCCTATATCTGAGAATTCGACGCGTCCTCGGGAGAAAGTTAATCATGTAATTTCCATTCCCTTGTACGAGTTGATGATAATCTAGAAGATCCTCACAACTGCCTACCTAGATGCCGAGAGCCAAACCCATGAAAGTAAGCCTAGTCGGCTACAAGATGGGTACATCATACTAGCTCGATCTTGGCGTGTGAAGGGATCATGGTATCCCAAGTATTCGGGAACGGGTGCTGACTTTAACTTATACTATACCATGTCTACGATTGCGTTCTTGAATATCGTGGGATTTGGAGGACAAGTTGAGTTGTTTGTGATGGATTTTGTATCTCGTTCCTATTCTATTTGGCTACTCTGAGATGCAAGATCTACCTACATAGATTTGCTGGGCCTTTCTTTGGAATGCAGAGACTTTGTTGATACGGGTGGTCTGAAGTTTCATTGTTGAGAATTGAGTTTATGCGTGATGATCATTTTTGTCAATAAGAAAAAGGGTTATCGAAGGGAATCTATTTCCTCTAGAGGTGGAAGGTGGGTAAGGATGACAAGTTGACAAATTGACATGGAGGCGGGGAGACGGGGCGAGTAGGCCTACGATGAAAGAGTCAAGTACAATCTGAAGGTTCCATGAACCAGTAAAACTCTTTCTAGGAAGAGAAGAGGGGCAAACTAACGGCTTCGAAAGTCAAATCTCGAAAGTTCTGAAATCTTCATATGTGGCAACGCCCGCGCTAGTTGACATCGTGAAGTGCCTCATTTTCGTACATTACTCTTCCTCTCCCCGGTAGTCTAATCGTTAAGCAATGAAGTTGAGATGGTAAACACTACTCTTATGATACTAACAAGCAAATTATACATAATCACATTGTGGACAGAGAAACTAGGACCCCAAGCTCGGCAAAATCGAGACTCTTGTAAAAAATACTATTACTTTAAAATGGAATGAAAAATCGGGAAAGTGTGGAAAATTCTTATGAATTAGAATTAGAGATCAGTCATTATTTCTAAGTTTCCAATACTTTCATATAGATTTTCTTCAGCAAGATTGATGATTTAATTTGATAGAGAGTTTGGAAGATGTGGTAAATTTCTGGTGTGCTAGTTTTTTCGTCCACCGTGTAATGGATGATCTTTATAATGATCCCTCTTACCAGTACTGAGGCCAATAACGCGCATTTGATATAAACCCCAAAAATAGATTTCTGCCTAAAGAAAAAAGAAATTTTAGAATCTGTATGATATGTTTATAGAAATCTAATGAAGAAAGATAGAATTCAATTTTATTAGGGACTTTTTGTAAAACAAATTATATTATTAGATAGTTTTTAGAGTTAAATCTATTTATATCTTTTTAGAATTCATTTCAAAATTTTCTATAGAAAGTGTATTAATATTTAAAATCTATTTTCAAATAGTTTTCCTTATAATACATAAACCATTTTAGAATAAACGAAATAAGCGAGCAAGCTTAGTAAGAATTCCTTATCAAGCTTATCTCAGCTTAATAAGAATTCCTTATCGAGCTTATCTCAGCTTATCTCGTCTCTACGTAAGCAAAAAACAGATGGAAATTGAGTACTCTTTCAAAGGTCTTTTTTAATAAATTATAAATACATTTCAAATTAAATATTGAAGTTTGAAAAAAGCAAACGAAAATTTAAGTCTTCTTTGTATTGAGATTAAGTATTTTTATTATTTAATATTATATTGAAAAGAGATCTTAGTTATTGAAGGCCTTTCGAATAGTAGTTAATTTCCGTCTGTTTTTTTATTTATATAGAGTTTGTTTAATTTGTATGACTAATATAGCTTTAATTAAATTCTATAATTATCGTAGGTCATGAGCTAGTATATGAGTATATGGTATATATAGTATATAAGAGAGATTAGACTAGTATTAGTCTATTATAGGAAGCTGGCTCGTATTAACAACTAAATAGCTTATGAAACACGTAATTTTCATGAAACAGTATATGATATTCCTTTTTTTCTTATTCTATATTCGAGGGGGAAAGGCCTTATTTTATGCTTTTTCCTATCAATCTAGCTTTCCACCATCGTAGATCTCTTCCTTTTCCGGCCATTCCATTAGATACAGCTCTTCTTTCTTATTCCTTATTCGATTTCACTAGGGTTACGTCAACCTAGCTACGTATGAGTTGAAAGAGCTAATAAAGAATCGGTTTTCCGGCCGTTCTGGGCTAAGGGCCTTAAGCGACGATCACGTGATATGATCATGTGACTTGGTCAGGTGACTTGGTCATGTGATCCTGTGATTCGCTCCCAGTATACTATATGAATATAGAACTATATATATACATATATATAAAAAGATGTATTATTATATTATTTTTATATAAAAACAATAGTCCCCTTTAATATATACCGTCTTTTTAGAGTATATATATATATATATATATATATATATAAATATTAACCTCGTTAAAAACCTTTTTATAGGAAAAGAGTACCAATATCTTATATATATATTAGTCTCATTAAAAACCTACTTATAGGAAAAGAGTATTAATATTTTTATAAAAATTATAATATTTTCAATAATTATTATAATTTTGAATCATATCAATAAACCTTGATAATTTGATTCTTTCTAATAGTTTAGTTAAACCATCGGCTAATTGGCTTTCGGTAGAAATCCAAATTAGGTCTAAATACCCTTTATTTATAAGATCTCTTATATAATAGTATTTAGTATCAATATGTTTACTTCTGTCGTGATATATAGGATTTTCAGATATAGCTTTAGCTGACATATTATCCGTATATAATGGGAATTTCCCTTGTTTATATTGGTTTAATTCCTGTAAAATACGTTTTAAATATATAGCTTCTCTAGCGGCTAAATTTATAGAAATTAGCTCGGATTCTGCCGTATTTTGGGCTACGACAGATTGCAATTTAGTTCTCCAACTTATTGGTCCATTAGCGAATAAAAATATATATCCACTAGTGGATTTAGCAGAGCTTTTATCTCCTGTATAATCCGCATCGCAATATCCTTTTATATAGTTTTTAAAATCCTTTTTATATATTGTTTTTAAGGTTTTAGTCCCCTTTAAATACCTAAATATTCTCTTCATAGCCACTATATGATCTTTACTAGGATTAGACGTATATCTTGCTAATTTTAATACAGAATAAGCAATATCCCATCTAGTTCCTAGAGCTAAATAGAGTAGTTTCCCTATTGCTTTTTGAGCCCATTTTATTTTATCTAAATCGGCTTTATTTGGATTTATTTTAATATTATTTTTAGCGACCATAGGTGTAGCTACAGGGGTACAATCTTCCAGTTTTAGGTCTTTTAGACATTTATTTATATATTCTTCTTGATATAATTCAATAGAATCTTTCTTTAAGTTTATTTGAATACCTAAATAGTCTTTTATTGGACCTAAATCTTTCAGATCTAAATAGTTTTTAAGATTTTTAATAAAATCTTTGATTAAAACCTCGCTAGAGCCTACAATAGCAATATCATCGATGAATATATTCAATATTAATCCCGAATATTTATTTATAAATATACATTCGTCTGATTTTATATTGATAAAATTTAATTTATTCAATATATTTTTTAATATAGTATACCATATTCTAGCGGACTGTTTTAATCCATATAGAGCCTTGTTTAGCTTTAATATTATATCATTATTATTATAATATACTTCAGAAGCTTTTATATATATATTTTTATCAATATCTCCCTATACAAAAGCTAAAACCATATCTATTTTGTATATATACCACCCTTTATTTATAACTAATACAAATATCAATTTCCAGACCATTTGCTTTATCACACTAGCAAAAATATTTAAATAATCTAATTTATATAATTGTTCAAATCCTTTAACTACATATCTAGCTTTAAATTCAATATTATTATCAGATAAATATTTAATTTTATAAACCCATTTAGTTTTTAGAACATTTAGCTCTTTTATATTATTATTCTTTTTAATAATATTCCAGGTATTATTCTTTTCTAGGATCTTTATTTCATAATTCATAGCTTTTTCCCAGTATTCCTTTTGATCGGAATTTATAGCTTGTAAATATATTTCAGGAGTTATTAAATTTTTATTATAAAGCCTTTTTATTATTACTTTTCCTTCAGTTTTTATACTGAAACA